TGTAGCACACTGTGGGGTTATCTCGTTTTTGCTGCTTAAGAGTACTTGGAAGTGCAGTTCCAGTTCCAAGTAAGTGGATATACAACCATAGTTATAGGATGTTATAGGGATAATATCCCAACTTATTACTGTTTACAACCATGATTATCATGGTTATAGCTAAATCACCTCAACTCCACCCAACAAAAAATAGCAATTCACTCAGGCGAGTTCTCTATGTCTCCGTGGCCGGCGCCTAAACCAGGCTGCCCAATGCAACGCAGTATTGCCATCAGGCCCCTGGTTCCAGGGAGCGGATGAGAACTCCGCTGTCCACTGACAAAAGGGGATTGGAAAAATGGAAAAATGGTACCCTCTGGTTATGGGAAGTGTATCTGACGAGGATTTTTCATGGTGACAGTCATCATTCCGATTTTATTCTACTTGGTGGCTCATCCCACTTAGTAAGTGGGTTATAACCCCAGTTATAAATGGGAATTTTGTAGGGTTAATCCACTTATAATTGGGGTGAACTAAGCCACTTACGATTCGTGGGATGAGCCACCAAGTACCCTCTGGTTATGTCAAAATAGCTATTGACTATGGCCATTTATAGATATTTATAGTGAGTTTTCCCATTAAACATGGTGATTTTCCATAGTTTTTTGTATGTTTACCAGAGGGTACAACCAAACTGGATACATCCGCCATCCAAAGTTGGGATTATCGGATAGAAGTCTACCAGTCTTCATAGATGAATTTCCTATCAAGTTACACATGTCCAATCAAAACCTCCATTTACCATCTAGTTACTTAACATAGCCATTGAAAATCACCATTTTTAATATTTTTTAATAGGTAATCCACTATAAATGGCAATTTTCAATAGCTATGTTAGTTTACCAGAGGGTATAGGGGATTGTCAATGTATTTTCCCTTGCCACATTTGATTACCAAAGGGTAATTTTCCCAAAGCATCCAGCGAAAATAGCCAAGAAAAATCTCACCAGCGCCTGACTGTCAACTCTGTAGCCCTGGGAAAGCATCTCCACCACAGCATCCTGGGAAAGCAAACATGACCAACCGTTGGCAAACTTCATACCGGAGACATCCCATGAAAACCACGGAAATTCATTGGACTTGTGGAGATTTAAATATATGGAACATCATGTTAACCGATGGATTTAGGTACCCCATTTTCAGATAAACTTGGATTTGCGATCCAGCCAACACCCACAAAAATCCTCAAAAAATCATGGGATCCAGAGACCAGCGGAAATGATGGGGAAAACATCATCCAACTACCATCCTGATATTTAAGGCGTCTTAGAATCTTGGCATGGGGAATGCTTAAAATATACCATCTGGTTATGACTAACATAGCATAACATAGCCATGGAAAGATCCACCATTTTTCAGAACGGTAAACACCATCTATTTCGATTAGGGCCATCGAAAAACCATGGCGAACTGTTAGTCATAACCAGGTTGGGTACAGTAAACCTCCATTTTCCTATGGTTTTCCTATGGTTTTCCCATGGTTTTCCCATGGTTTTCCTATGGTTTTCCCATGGTTTAAGTGTTGGTGAGGGATTCCATGGCACCATCCCCTTCTCCCTGGCACCACCCCTGAGGTCAGGACGATGTTTTGATGCTGCGCTGCTTCCGCGACCTCTGCGGAAATTCCACGACTCCACCACTCGCCAGCCATGGTCCATGGCGGTAACACTGGATCAACACTAGAATCACCCTCTGGTAAACGGAATAATTACAAATGATTTGATTACCCTGGAATGATTACCCTCTGGTAAACGTTTACATAACTATGGAAAGATCCACCATTTTTAATGGGAAAATCCACTATAAATAGCCATTTTCAATAGCTATGTTAAATTACCAGAGGGTACTGTCACCATGGAAAATCCTCGTCAGATACACTTGCGATTTATGTTGAATATTTCCCATGATCTCCCATTTCGGTTATCCCCTGTTAAACCAGAGTTCCTGGGGGTTATTTCGTATTAATGGGTAATGGATTATAACATGTTTTGATATAAATTCCGAATCATGACTACGAATTGACAGTATGGGGAATCATCATCTAGACTATACCTTTCTATAGAAACACCTATTTTGGATATGTTTTTTTGGGGGGTGCTATTTATAAATATGTAACAATATGTATATACCCTCTGGTAATTTAACAGTTTGCTATTGAAGCCATGGCCCATAGAAATCGTTGATTTACCGAACTTCAAAATTAGGTGATTTTCCAGTTCGCGAGCTGTAACCGTTTACCAGACAGAAGATAGCTATGGAAATCCCCATCTTTAAGTTCGGTGAATCAACTATTTCTATGGACCATTTTCAATAGCAAAACATTACAGTAGATTATCAGAGGGTAACCCTTAGTGGTTGTTGGATGTTGGTTTAAAATCCCTTGATCAATCACTGGGTCACCTGTTGGTTTATTATTGTTTTACCCACATTACTTCCATATACCATCTGGTTATTTGTTACATAGCCATGGAAAGATCCACCATTTTGAAGAACGGTAAACCATCTATTTCGATTAGGGCCATCTATACCATGGCCATGTTAAATAACCAGAGGGTATTGATTTTTAGGCAACACTTGTAAATTGATTGTTATAGCAGTGGCATATGGCCCAAAATGATCCAAAATGCACTTTTTCTAATGAGGAAAATGACCTTACCACTCATATTTTGAGACCACTGAGTGCCCCGACTGAAGCAAAGCGGCTACCGGCTCCACCCGGCGTGGAGTGCGGGGGCGAACCCTGCACGGCAAGGCACATCTACGGGCGATGTTTCACCAAAAGATAGTCAATGGATTGGTTAAAATGTTAAAAGGACAAAAATACAGGAAACACCCTAATTTAAGAAAATCGATAGTTTTGGGTTTTGATTTTCCCTTAAGCCAATCCATTGAGAGAGGGATAGACATGATAGAAGCATTCAAAATAGGGATATCATGGGATATAAATGGATATAACATGATCTAATCTGATCTATATAACCACGGGGAAAATTTGTGATAGATCAAACTCATCTACCAAAGTCAATGTACAAAGACGCAAAGTCAGGCTACGAGTGCGACGCATTTCCCACTGATTGGATGGCCACCAGTCTTATCACATGATGATCACTCATGATGAGTTAGTATAGTAATTACTGAGTACTGATAATTGACCATTACTGATAATAGTACTGATACTAATATCTCTAGTTGATACTGATAATTACTGATCATTGTTTGGTAATATCAGTATCAACTAGACGATAGTAATTGATGAGTCATTCAAATACTCTCATCGCCCCTGAATTGCAGCAAATTCCCACAATCCAGCGCTGAATTCGCATGAATTTGCCACTTGAAGATCCGTGTTTTGGGTGATATACCATTGCATAATTAGAACTGACCTAAGTTTATGAGATACCTCCAATCTAGGTCTTTTCAGTGGTCCCTCAATAACTGTGGAACTGTGTTTTCATATTCTGGATCGATCTGGCAAGTGTTACATTCCCTGCATGCATGCAGTTTTGGGAGGTACCCAATGTAATCAATCCTTCTACGCTTGTCCAAGAATAGTATAATATCTCTATAATTACACCATTATCACCGCTATTTAGCTGAGAATCCAGTGGTTTGTCATGATTCTCCAAACAATACTCCATAATATATATATATATGTATATATATATGTATATATATATATGTATATAATCCATTATAATCTCCATCATAGCATGGAAAATTGATGGTATAATTACCCCATTTCTGCACAGACCCCTTCTCAATCCTCATCATTCCTGGACAACCTCGTCCTCCCCATCCCTTGAGAATCTCACATACGTTGTCATGGCTGAGCTACTTGTCAGGCCGCAGCAAGAAGTTCTGAGTCCAAAGTAGATGGGTAAACCGGTAAACCTCCGAAAAACCCGGAATGTCGTACTGTACCACCTATTTCTGGTACACTTTGGGGATGGTTTATGGTGTTGGTTTTACCACATCAGCATGGATGGGAACCCCATCGAAGTGTGGCAGGGCATGTCACAACTCAGGGGCATCGATAGCACGCCTTGCGGGGGCTGTCCGGAATTTTGAGTTACAAGTGGTGTCATCCAAAATGCAAAATTGATGCCTCAACATGCTGCATCCACATGCTGTGCCGCAACCTTTGCTGCAAACTGGTCTGTTTCAATTTCCCTGGGGGAGCCATCTGCACAGAAGAAACGCAACTTGAGCCCAACACAACATCATGTCGACTCAATGGTTGAAATGTCAGGACTGATCTCGAGATGTTCACGTGAAACTGCGTCGGAATTGGTTGCTCAATGACTCAATGTGCCCAAAAAAACAAAAAATAGAATAATCTGAAAGCAAGGGTTGGGTTAGGTTGGTTTGATACTGAAAATGGCAAACACCTGAAGAAGATTATGGTATCCCAATAAACATCCATTAAGATGATCAATCATACATATATATATATATGTATATACAGTATACACATCAATAGCTTGTGCTCATGCTTCCTCAAAACATGTAGAGTGGCATAACCCATCTGCAGAAGGATCCTATATTGGACTTGTCTATTATATATAATATATAATGTATAATTCCACATGATCCCAATTATAGCAACCACCAAAAAGATATATTTAGTCACGAGTTTAGGCGGATTTAACTTTCCTATCTTGACTTGGGGGTTACCAAAAAAACACTTGATCAAAGCATGGTCAAGCTTTGGTAGTCCACATCTTCGTTTCGTTGTTGATGTTGTTTTTTTCCCCATGGCAAAAACAAAACTCAAGGATGAAACGACCCATCCAATGATGTACTCTCTGGTAAACTAACATTTTGCTATGGAATATCACCATTTTGAATGGATAAATCAACTATTTCTATAGCCATTTTCTATGTCGCAAACTGTAAACGTTTACCAGGCCGGGTAAGCCTGTCATGATCACCGTCCCCAACGTGACGCGCAGCCAGCCGGTTTGTTTTCTGACGAGGGCAGACTGACCTTGGGAAATCAACGCAAAACTGAGACAACTCCTTTGTGGATTTAAGCAGCAAACATGCTGATATCATGGGAATATCATGGATATATATATATATATATACCATCTGGTTGTTTGTTACATAGCCACGGAAAGATCCACCATGCTATTAAGTTCGGTAAACCATCTATTTCGATTAGGGCCATCGAAAAACCATGGCGAACTGCTAGTCATAACCAGAGGGTATCTCAATATAACCATCATTAACCATTAAATTAACCATTATCTACCAACCATATATATATACAGTATATAGCTAACCGCTACCCTACAGAGTATGATCTCCGGGTGATTTTTTTGTCGAATTGATGGGAATCATCCCATGGAGCTTTCCATGGGGCTACCCCAAGCGAGCATTGGATGATGGCTATCCGATTATCCCAGCTATCACAGGAAATATGTCCATTATAGAGGGATTATAAATGGATTATCATGGATTATCCCAGCTACAATGGTACCCCCTAATGTTTATTTATAATGGACATATCCCCATCTCAGGAAACCTCCATATCACAACATCTGTGTTATGGTCAAGTTGGATGTGAAGAATATGGACGAATCTGGTATGGTCATGCCACCATCATTGGAAACCCATGTGTTGGCCATTGTCATTTTCTTCGTACTGGTGGGACGGCATAACCATCCCCAAATTATACTCCATGGCTAGTGTATCCCTATTGTGGGTTGTAAAAACAATCCCCAATTGAACAGGTAGCTTAACACTACAATGACCAATCAGCAATCATTTATCATTTATCAATCAAATTCCTATATCTTTGATTGATTAAACCATTAAAACCACTCTAAGTGATTGTTAAATCCCGATCTCTGTTGGTTAAATTGTTTTCCAATCCCAATTTCGAGGCGAAAATCCGTAATTATCATTCATTATCCCCATTCAAACTTGGGATTGAAATATATCTAAGCATCAAAAATCATCAAAATTTGGATGTGGGAGTTTCATCAAAATTTTAAGCATCTAATCCCCTCAACAATCCCAACTGATTGGTGGTGCAATAACCATCTTGAAAAATAATGGTCAATGGGAAGGATGATTCCATATATTACCCTCTGGTAAACTAACATAACTATGGAAAATCACCATGTTTAATGGGAAATTCCACTAGAAATGGTCATTTTCATGTTAAATTACCAGAGGGTATGGAAAAAAAAAATGTTTGAAACCACCAACCAGCCCAATCTTGATGCTGAACTCCCATGGTCTTCACCACTGGCCTTGCTCCGATCTCAGGCTGTCCCCTCGCCCAACTCGGCCTGCGAAACACGTCCAGGTTAACGCTTGCAGCGAGAGTACCCAGTGATTTAACATGATTTAACGTTGGCCAACTGGAACATCTCCATTTTTAATGGCTGACCCATTCTAGTATTACATTTTAATATATTGAAACCCATTTTGTGACTGAGAAACCCCCATTTCATGGCCAATCAGCCAGATACCCTGGAAAAAATGACAAATTCTTAGCTGGTGAACGTAGATATATCCCATTGATACCAAAAGACTAAAGGATTAAACTACCCATCTACAGTAAGTGTGACCTAGTATAGATCATCATTTTCGTTTTAAACCAATTTATCATCTAGAAATGAGCCATTCTCCATAGCTATGTTAAGATACTACATGATACACGTCAGATCTCATGTGAATATTTGTTGTCTGAAAATAATATGGTTTAGCTTGTTTACAATTGACCCCAATGTCTCGCGGCCCAAAGTAAAATATGTTTTTTGCTTCTTTGATAGGTAAAACACATGCAAAATGTTGCAAAATCCCTCTGAAATTGCTACTTGAAACACCGTCGTGAACATACAGGCTCGTACATGCCTTCTGCACCACCAAGGTTTTGTATGTCCCAATAACATGTTCGCAACGTTTTCTATAGCCAAAACTTAGAAACATGAGGTCAACATGTTTGTAACAACCAGCTGAATCCTGGTGGTTGCCTGTTCTTTCGACACGAATGCTTATCATAGCGCTGATCATAGCGCGCCCTGTGTGAAACGTCATCCCGATACGATTCAAGTTTGCCTCCTCCATCATTTGCTCGTACTGTTCGCGAATCAATGTTTGCTCCTTGCGGCGCAAAAAGTCCCCAGAACATCCATCCGAATCCGACTGGGAAACTCCTGAAATCTCCTGCGTTAAAACATAAGAATGGAACCATGCAAGGAAAACATGAGATGTTTTAGTGATTTTAGTGATGTTGAAAGCATGGAATCTGCAGCACAAAGAGTGAGATCTCTACAGTAATGCCACAAGCATATGGAGAATCAATATCACATATATAATATTCTTATAGGATGGCAACATGTCCTAAAATCAAAAAGTCGCATTGATCAAGAACAGTAGGTGTTACCTTTTGAATCAGTAAGAAACGATCACACATCTAGACTTCTGTAATGATTCCTGATTGTGGTTTCAACATATGTACTCCAAGCATCTCCAAACAGCACAAACAGATACAAACAGAACATGTCAATCCGCCTCACCTATTTTTTGAGACCAACACGTCATGAAATAAATAAAAAAAACAATGCAAATTTAAAAAGAAAAAAGAACAGCCACCTTAAACAATGAAGAAAAATGGATGGTCATTCATTCAGCAGCTGCTAGAGCGGACTCTGTGCTGTCTTGCAGGTGGTGTCCAAAAAAACGGATGGTTTTCATCCCAAAAAAAATCCTCATTGGAACTCAAAAAGTGATCCACCCAGCAAGTCCGTCAGTCCGTCCTCGCGCATGCGTTCGTTCTCCTGGGGCTCTGAATTCAAGTGATGTCAGGTGACCCATGGTGACCCCTCCCGAAGAATGGGGATTTTAATTAAGGAACTATATTAATGAACAAGCAATAACTTAAGGATATACCAAGATTGGTGGAGGGGAAATCTTCACCATCCTTGAGGAGGTCACAAAAGTGAGTGAAAGGCTGTGGACCCAGATTTCCATGATTTTTGCGCACGCCTGTGGACCGTGGATGGATTTCCCTTCTTGGAATTTCTTCCAGCTTCAAGTGTCTGAAGCCAAAGGATCAACAGTTTTATGGCCACTCTTTTTTCAGCGGCGCCAGCTAAACACACAAAACACCTGCCATCCCTGGTAGTCAGGCTTGAATGATGGTGCTTACATCTGTCAAACGATATTGTTTGGTTCCTGCCCAATAGTTTATCATACTATTACTATTACTGTAAGTACATAATTGCACATAGTTTGATTTGTGATACTACAAGTAAGCGCCATAAGTCACCCCAGGTCGCGTTAAGTCACCCAAGCCGCCTGTAAACATCTACACTCGCTCGAACTCGACCCAGGCGCATTATAAGTCACCCCAGATTTGGCAAAACACAGCGGGCACAGTATCTGCAAAAATCGACCGCACACTGCACGCACATGCCCACCACCCTGGCCAGCCCACAACGGCGCACGCACCGCGCACACGCTGCACAACTCGCATTCAAGCGCTTGATGTTTGCCTTTCCTGTGCACAACGGCCCATCCAGGGAATCAAATGGAATCAACTCTCAACGTTGCCCGTGTCAACCGGGTGCCCTGTAGCATGAAGATGAAAACAAAAAAAAGCCAGAGGATGTCATAATGACGGACTGAAAGGCGCACACCAATGAAATATGAACCTCATGAAAATAAATCTGAACATACAAGGTGGAATTCAGAATTAGTTTGGGCACACAAACCCGGGACGACTTGAAACAACCCGGCACGACTTACAGCCGGTACCCTGTAATTATTTGCATCCATTTTCTTTGACAGACCTCCAACCCCCCCAAAAAAAAATATAAAACATGATGTACTGTGGTGAGGATGAATAGTCCTTTCCTTTGAACAACTACATATATATATACATATATATATATATATAATTTATATATACATATATAATTTATATATACATATATCATATATATAATGTTCACATAGGATTCTTCATCCTCAACACAATAAAGTAAGGCAATTCCCAAGACAGATGAGTAAAACCACCACCTCAATAAAGTCCGTCGTTTGGGAGTTTGGGATGTTTTTTTTTTGTGAGTGATGTTTTGTAGATATGTTTGTATTCAGATTAGTTTTCCATAGATTTCCATAGCTTCCATCGTGTCAGGCCATGCCATCCGTGTCTCCTCCTCCAATTCTTCCAGTTCCCTGCGCTGCTGCATGACCTGCGATGGTAAAAGCCCCCAGTGCCTGGCTTTGCACCCCCAAATGTAGATCTGGAGGTTTCCTGAAATGAGGGATCCCCAAGTCACCATACTAAACTTATCGAAACTTATCTACTGGATACTGGATGGAGATCTAGATATAAGTGGTTTTGGGGATATAAGTTTATGAACATTGCCAATCTTAGATACCCTGCAAAAAATGACAAATTCTTTGCTGGTGAACGTAGATATTCCCATTAATACCAAAAGACTACAGGATTAAAGTATCCATGTAAGATTGACCTAGTTAGTTTAATTGGGGACGCCGAAAACAAGAGGTTTCAATACCAAAAAAATATCTACTTTGGGATGAGTAGGGGTAGCCCTAAAATTTTAGGACACCTCCACATGGTGGCTCCTTAACATGGGAAAACAATAGGACACCATAGGAAAAATATAGGATGCTTATGTATACCAAGTGGTATCAATTTGTCAAAGTGGTTCTATAGTTTGGATTATAAAATTAGATAACCAACAATAACATTGAACTGCAACTATGATGTATGGTGGTTGATAAAGTCATGGGGGATCCCCAAGTCACCATGATTGTTTCAATACTAAGACATGGTCATCCATGACTCGAATGATTTGGGGTACCCTCCCAGTTTAGGACAAGGTATTGCAAGATTGGGTAATGATGGGATAATGTTGGGTAGATGAGATATCCGGGACAATCATGATACAAGGTTGTGCCCCCTCCAGTTATAAGTTGGTTTATAAACCATAGAAAGTAGTTCGATATATCTGCCATAAACCATAGTGAGTTATTGGAGTTATGTGGCCCCCAACTGAGCGATTCCGAACTGGGGCACCACCTTGTATGAATCATGATCTGCCCCATGACATATTAGCAACCCCCCCAAAATTAACTGGAAATCATTAGGAATACTGTATGGATTACCCTCCGGTAAACATACAAAAGCGATGGAAAATATGGCCAATTAATGATGATTTACATTGATTTACCTAAATTCATCATGGTGATGGTTGATAGTTATGTGACATTCTGGAGGCAAAATGATGTATCATCATCATTGGATTGGTTTAAGGGAAAATGTTAACCGGAAACCCCCATATTTACAGTAATGGTAAAAACTTTTAGTAAAAACCATGGTTTCCGGTTAAGATCTTCCCTTAAACCAATCCGTTAACATCAAGAACATCGTGGGAAATAAACGCTATCGTCCCATGTGGTCACCTCACAAAGATAGCGATTATACAACTGTCATCACTTGCAATTGAAATATCACTTGTCTAAACATCTAACTTATGATGTAATTAACTGAAAAATTAAATAAATTAACTTATATAATCTTATATCACATATCTAGATATCTAACTTATGTAACCTAGCTCATATAAGTTACAGATTTAACAGCCATTTAAATAATTACCCGCTGGGGAAACGTGTATGAATCGATGTGGAAAATGACTCCATTTCCTCTCCCAGGCCTCGGCACTGAGCCATCGGAAGCTCTCGAGTTCCTCCTGGATGTCCTGCGTAGAGATATCTTGTGTTGAATTTTAATGGTGGTATAATGACCTACCATTGTGGTTAGTATATCGTTAATATATGGTTAGTATATGGTTATTATATGGTTAATGGTGGTTAATAATAATCTGGTTGGTATAATGGGAATCCTGTCATTGATTTTTGAGCGTCTAGGTTTTAAGGACCCCAGAAGTGGTTGTGCCTACCTTTTCAGAAATGACTTTTTTACCTTAAAAACAGGGAACTTGAAATTATTAGATCCTGTAGCTGTATAGTCGGGATATAGTGATTATCATGGGAATAGAGATATGTCCAATCATGTCCAATCTGATATAATCTGATCTTCTTGGATCTTTTGTGGTATAAATGATGACATAATGGGATAGCAACCATGAAAGTTGGAAATCATATTTATAAACCTGGCTTAACCACATGTACAAAATCAACTTTTACTGGCTTATCATGGGGATCCTGTACCTTTCTTGGTGAAACGAATGGGAATTCTCTTGGAGGGCAAGCCCTGTAGATTCACCCGTGATCTTCAGCAAATCAAGGGTAATCTTCAGGTTTCCCATTGGTTATGGAACATCCTCTAGAAATATCTAGAAATATTGGTTTCAATGGGAGTATCATCTATAAATGGAGGATGTTCAAGCAAATCAAGGTTAATCAAAGATGGCAATTGATCATCATCGATCATCGAACTAAATGGAGGATTTTCCAGCAAACCATGTTGCAATGTTTGAGTACCAGAATGTACCAGAGGTTAATTGGGAACTGTCATTCCACTATAATGTGGGTAAAACAACAACAAACCATCCCCCAGTCATCACCATGTTTATAGGTGGTATAAACTTACCACTCCCAGTCATGGGTGGTTTATATTGGTAAAAATGGCATTGTTTTACCCACATTATATCCATATTATATCATATTATCATATTAAGTCCCTATTCTTCATGATTTCCCCAAATTTTCCCCATATTTTCCCAGTATAAAAGCTCCAATTTCAAGCTCCCCTTTGAAACCCACCAGATGTCGATCCTCCAGCACTTCTCCCTTGCTCGCTCCTCCAGGGTAAACAGCACCGCATCAGCTCCTTCGGCTTCTTCCCTTGGCATTTCGAGACGCCACATGGCGCGTCACTAGCGCATTACCCAGATGAAAATCCCGTCCCTCGTTCAAACAAAAAACACCACCTAAATGGATCAAAAAAAAGATCCCAGTTGTGATCAATGATGTGGAAATTCCTTACTAAACCATGGTTTCGTTTGGGGGTGATTAAATTGTTTAATATGATTGTGGGGAAGGGATGATTATGGGATTATACGATGTCACTAACCAATAAAACTTGCGGGCCATCTGGGAATGATTCCTCCGAATCTGATGCTTCCAGGGTTCATCGTCTTCCCTGGAATCGGCCATGATGGGGGGTTATCCCCCCCTTGTAGAGACACACTAATGTATTGGTTGTGAAATTGGCCATCATATCGATTGTGACGTTGGCCATGAACATGGTTTGAGTGATATTGCCGCATTTGGGGTACCAAATTATAATTGTGATATATCGTGATATTGCAAAATCACTAAAACATAAAATGAACATATATAATGGATACTTTTCCAATATTGGTGGTCATAATTTGCATCATTTCTCAAATATTTTGAGCAGTAGCCGTCTCTGGCTGGAAAAAAACACCAACACCATGCTGAAATACAATTCTATGCTTTTCTGGAGTTCGCTCTGGAAAATGGTCCGCTATGCATGACTCATGATGATTTACCTATGCAACATGGTGATGTTCCAGTTTGCTACGTTAAATTACCAGATGGTAAACGTGAAAAACTCTGCCAATTCCAGGATGGCTAAGGATGGCTATAACATAGGAGTAATTGGGGCTACATCAGGAGGAAGAATGTTTTTTCCCGTTTAGCGTCTTATTAATATAATCATCCTCAGCCGCGGATCAATTATCCTCATTTCGCGTGGCCTGCGCGGTGGATCGTATTTTAAGTCGGAATAAATTAAAATTATTTTAAAGCAAACCAGCTGATCCGCGATCCGCCATGTCATCCATATGCAACCTGTCAGGAGTCTAAGGGGAGAGGGTTGGAGTAGCTAGTCAAGAGGAAAAACTTTTGTCCTGGTTTTGTATCCCTAATTTGCAACATGTGGGTCTGAAACTTGGGCAGAGACCTGCGCCGCTTCATGGGCTCAATGGGCTTAATGGTAGTATTTTCATGTATTTTGGGCTCTGTCCAAGTTGCAGACAGAATTGGCTCCACAAACAGCGATGTTTCTGATGTTTTTTTAAGGGAAAAACATGGAAAAACCCAGGTTTCGTCGTTTTGCTACCCACCATTGGTGGAACATGGAGAGCACCCTGGCGGGCTCCAACGTGCCATGACACAGATCTTGTTCCCGGGCAGATTCGAGTCCTCAGGACAGGAAACTCTCCTTTCGGGGGAGAACATAGTGGACCCCACTGTTGGAACATAACAGTGGGAAAAAACCTTCAAGGTGGTTCCCAAAAATCGTTAGCTAAGTTGGTGAACATAACTCCCATTTCACTATGGTTTATGGCAGATATAACAAACTAGTTCATGGGGTTTATAAACCAACTTATAACTGGGGGGGCACCATCCTGTTGCGGAAATCCATATTGATACGGCTGGCAATCTTTTGGCGTCAATGCTAGTGATGTCTTCTTTTGTGTCCTTTACAGTAGTTTTGTTTCAGTTTCCCTTAGTATTCTTCAGTCAAGAGTAGATTGAGAACAACCCTCATGGTGTGAGTTTGTGCATCCCAGACCTTCCATGAAACAGCCTGAAAATGGGCCATGTTCATCACCCAAGGTTTAAGAGTTTGAATTTTCCACCGGTAAAATTGCCATACTTGCCAAAATGGCGGGATAATTTGTGGCAGCCTCCAGTAAACCCACAGTCTGCTATGGATAATGGCATGTTTATAGATGGTTTTTCCAGGTAAACCTGCATTCATAGGGGATTGTCCATTACGTTTGAAATAACTAGTATGTGGTTGGGAAACTCTTGGTAGCTCCTTAGCTCCCCATTTAATAGGGAATATGAAAACCCATAGCTCCAAATCGCTCCCTCCATTCACCACTGGATAGTAATATCAAACATCTTTTCATGGGCATCGGCATTGGATATACTTGGCGATATACAAACCCGTCCGGTGTCATCAAACATGGCTGGAACATGTAGAATTTCTAGATGATCTTCTCAGTGAAACCACCATTTCCAACTAACCCTCTGGTAAACGTTAACAAAAAAACGATGGAAAATCACAATGTTTAATGGGAAAATCACCATTTTTAATGGGTAAGTCACCATCGTTAATGGATAAATCAACTATAAATCACCATTTTCTAGCTGGGTAAATCCACTATTTCGACTGGGCCATCTTCAAGTTCTATAAACGTTTACCAGAGGGTATTTCTAGATAATGTTCAATGGCCATGTTTGATTACCATAAGCCCAAACAATAGTATGAGTAATATGGATTTTACTATGGACTATACAAGTATTATGTGTATCAAACAATATTATACCCTCTGGTAAACAAACATAGCTACTGAAAATGACCATTTTTTTGGTGCAAAGTTTTGGGGACAGTCCCCTCACTCCCTTCCCCGGGTCCCCGGCCTTCCAGTAGATCTTGCAAAGGGTCCGAGGGCAACGTCTCAACCTGTCGCCAGTTTTGAACGGTACCCTCTGGTAATTTGTTACATAGCTATTGAAAATGACCATAGAGATAGTGGATTTACTCATTGAAAATGGCCATAGAAATAGTGAGTTTTCCCATTAAAAGTGGTGATTTTCTATAGCTATGTTAGTTTACCAGAGGGTACCCCAAAACAACATCTCCAATCAAGGGCCAATGGATCTACCAAGACTTGAAGTATGCCAATCTTCCAAGATGCATCCAAGTGCCGAAATTCCAAGACAAGCAACGTACTTGGTGGCGAACTACCCACGAATCGTAAGTGGCTTAGTTCACCCCAATTATAAGTGGATTAACCCTACAAAAATCCCATGTAAATCACTGGGGTTATAACCCACTTACGATTCGTTTGACGAGCCACCAAGTATAAAAATAAACATCCCTTACATAGCCCTTATATAGGCCTTATATATGGTAGGTACCTCCATTTTAGGATCGTGGAGATCTCCCATTGAAAAAATAACCATCCCAAATGTGAAATCCCGAAATCGTCCCCCAAGAAATGAACTGAAACTATCCCAGTCTGATAAAAAAAAAAACGCCACCGGCCTCGAAGTTGGACACATCCACCTGACATGAGGAGAGAGATAACTGTTCGGTTGTTTTCATATGGCTATGAGTCAAAACCCTGGTACCCTGGGGACCCTAAATAGATGGTTTATGCCTGTTTATTCCCCAAAATATGGCAGTAATAGGTTTTGACCCATCCCCATATGGCTTTGTCTGAAAAATCTCTACCCTCTGGTTATGACTAACATAGCGAACTGGAAGCCATGGCCCATAGAAATAGATGATTTTCCCAGCTAGAAACCTCCATTTATAGGGGATTTTCCATGGCTATGTTAAAGAACCAGATGGTATATCCAAAACTTGTTATTTTAATGGGGAAAATAAGTTAGGCTAAACCATTGGGATTGAGGGTACTCTATTTTCAGACAAACTTCATATAATATGTCACCAAGAACTAGAGCGTTAGGGCTTTGTTGAGATTCTTGACTTTGACTTTGATCATCAAGAACGATGGGACCACGCTTGGAGCAGCAAAAAATGCATGTCCAACCCACAGAACTACGGATTTGAGCCAGAAAACGAGGGAAAACATGGAGAAAAATGTGAACAAAACTGAGACTACCGAGAAAACATGGAGCTTGAGCCACTTTTGACGGAACTTTGCCAGAAAGACTAGGGATTTGCTTGATGGCTACCTGAAACAACGATTTTCACATTACAACAAGAAAAGAAACACAAGAAACAAATAGGATATTGAAGCAGCAAAATGTGGACATATCGCCAGAAGCTCCCCTGTTCGACGCCAACCATTTTTCATGGTGAAATCTACATGATGATGAAATCACCAGGTTTTCACCATATTGATTGGTTAAAAGCCAAGTTTTAAGACGTTTTCACAGTTCAATTCCCAGTGGTTGACATTTTTTAAATGCTTCCATCCCCCAAAAAGATCCAAAAAGGGCTTCCACCATGGCAGATTCGCTTTTGGGGCGCACCAGTTCTTGGACGTCCTCCGTGTCATTCTCCCAACGCACTGAAAGTAGCGTTGGGGACTGCGCCGGGACCGAGGGTGGATCATCTTTGCATTGGTTCAATGGCCATACAACAGGAACCGATTGATTGGAGGTACCGAATCCATATATTTTTGGCCTATTTTTGAGAGGTAATTTTTTAGGGAATACCCCCAGAAAATATGGTCTATATGGTACGTTTACGTACCTCCTGGTGGTTAGTTAAGTTCCTAAAAAAATAGCACAAGCCTTAGTCATTACATTTGGGATCATCCTGGGGCTTGACATGAATGTTTGCAACCACCAAGTAGTACAAAAAAAGTACCCTCTGGTTATTTAACATAGCCATGGAAAATGGCCCATTTATAGATGGTTTACCTATTAAAAATGGTGATTTTCCATGGCTATTATGTGAAATATTAAATAACCAGATGGTATCCTAATTGTCTATCCAACGATTTCAAGGATACCTCCAGTATACGGCTCTCCAAAGCTAGAGCTTTGCGCTCCGCGGGGCTTTATTTAAGCATCTCTGCCCTGGACAACCCCAGGTAGGATTTGTATCCAATCGTCTCCAGTCTCCGTGGATAGAACTTCGTCCCAACAACAACCCAGCAGCCAATGTTGTGCTTCTCATTGTCTGGTTGGTGGTATACCTACGCCTCCGAAAAAATATGAGTCAGTTGGGATGATGACATTCCCAACAATAAAAGCCATGTTCCAAACCACCAACCAGCCATGTTTTTGCTTACCATCTACTTTACCCCAAAGTTTGGGGGACCCAGCAGCCAATGTTGTGGTTCTCATTGTTGTTTCTAGTATTCTTATCTGGTTCGTGGTTTCAACCCCCCTGAAAAATATTAGTCAGATTGGATCATCATCCCAACTATTGGGGAAAATAAAAAATGTTCCAAACCACCAACCAGTTATGGTCAAACACCTCAATTTGCCCGCAGCATTCTCAAAACACTACAAAGTCACTAGGGGACCTCAATGGACTTGTGAGTCAGTGCACAAGTCATCCTGAACCCTAAACCAACCCTGAAGCCAAAAGCTTAAACCCTCAACCCCCAAAGCGTATAACCTTGGAAAGCAAGTGATTGTATATGTATATATATATGGATATATATATATATATGGATGTGGGTCAAAATGGAAGACCTAGGGGACCACAGATGTTAGTCTAGTTTAGTATTAACCATCCAATTATTGGGGTACCTAATTTTGACCCATACCCATATATATATATCAGGACATATCAACACAATGCATTCGCCGTGTATTTCTCCCATCCTTGCACCGTTGCACCATGTTGCACCACCAGGGTCACCATCACCTCGTCGGCGGTGTTGAGAATGCGGCCATAGGACCTCTGCGAAAGAAAGCCCTGGAATCCCGTTCTTCACCAAGAAACCGCAGCATTTTGCCCCCCCAATTCACATGCAATGTGGGGCCCCCTAGTTATAAGTTGGTTTATAATCCCCAATAACTATAGTTATAAGTACCATAAACCATAGTTATTGGAGTAAAAAACCAACTTAGCTATCTAGGGGGCCCCACTTTGTGGACATGTTTCATTTTTCTTGTCGATGTTATTGTGCCAGGGAGTATACTGGTTGGTGGTATAGCTACCCCTCTGAAAAATATGAGTGAAAGTCAGTTGGGATTGGGATGATGACATTCCCAATATATGGATAAATAAAAGCCATGTTCCAAACATTTCCAAACCACCAACCATATTGAGTCCCTAAGATATCTTGAGTCCCAGCAAAACCCATATCCCATAGGATCCATATATATCCATATATGGTATATATACTAACATTGGGGGTATATTAATGGTAAATGTTAACATATATGGCATACATCTGGGTAAATTATCATATTTCACTAACCTGAATAGTTCGGCCATAAAAGGGGATGATTTCCCCTAAATAAACCATGATTTGCAGGGCTCGGGAGAACAGGGTTTGGTCGTGATCAAATTTACCCAGTTATATGGCATACATGGATCCTATGGGTATTAAGTCCCTACAAGATATATTAAGTCCCATTAAGCCATATTACCCTCTGGTAATTTAACAGTTAGCTATTGAAAATTGCCATAGAAATAGTGAGTTTTCCCAATAAAAATGGTGATTTTCCATAGTTTTCCCATTGTTGATGCTTTAATGCCTATATTCTGAGTCGGACATGTTCACCAATCCGCCAAATCCGCAAAATCTTCTCTGGGCGAAAAACCATGTCGCCCCAGGCTCCTCCCGGCATCTCAACCTCTGATGGGAACAAAGAACAAGTGGATGGAAAATATGGGATAGTAATGGTTAATACATGTTAATACTGGCTAATCATAGTTGATAATGGACCAATCACCAACAATACTGGATGAATCATTGATAATTATGGATAATTACTGGGAAAACCATCATTTTTAATGGGACAATCAACTATTTCTATGGTGATTGAATGGGATGTAATGGGATTTAGCCTCTGGTAATGACTAACAGTTTGCTGTTGAAAATGGCAATAGAGATAGTGGATTTACTCATTGAAAATGGTGATTTTTCATGGCTATGTTAGTTTACCAGAGGGTAACTGTTTGATCTATTTTACTCAAGTTACCCTCTTGTAAACGTTTGCATAACTATGGAAAGATCCACCATTTTCAATGAGTAAATCCACTATCTCTATGGTCATTTTCAATAGCTATGTTAAATTACCAGAGGGTAACATAAGTTAACCAGTTGACCTTCATGAAACTGATTAGGGACATCACCAAGCAGTGTGAAGTCCAGTATCGACTGGAAAAACATCATCAGAAACCACTGTGAAGTTCATAGAAACCCATGTAATTATCAGTTACTATTACTATTCATAGTCACTAGAAAAGTCACAATGGAAACACCAAAAAAAAACGTTCTCATCATTTCAAGTGTGGTTGAAGACCAAGTGTGGTTGAGATAATTTGATATATGTTGATATGTTTCATATCTTTGCTTTTAGGTCAATTAAAACCAACCCTTCGATATTATACAGACCTGATCAGGGAGCCAAACATGCATATATCCAGTACTAAAGTAAGCGATGATGATGAAAAGTGTTCATCAATAGTGATTGATTGTGCTCAATTGTCCAAAAAGGCAAGAACAGAACGCAAGTTTGAAACCACCCCAGTTTCCTAGTTATGCCAGTTATGCTTTGTGGGTTAGTTTCCTCACATTCTATCATGTCATAAATTGTAAAGTGGTAAACCAAGATAAACCCAAAAAGAAACCTACAATTTTGGGATGGTTTATTCAACCCATGTGTGGTGATTTCGGGGATGGTTTATTAATTCTTGGGTTTACCACATTACTCTGTCTTGTTTATGAAGCTGCATGTTACTGTTGGCGACAAATAATGCAGCATTACGTGCTAGAATCGTATCCGATCAAACAATAAAATACAATAAACCCATCCCCTGTGCTTACATAGCTCCCTTAACCCTTCCAGTACTACAAAAAAAGACACCAAAACTTGCTTCAAAGTTCACTCTGGGAAAATGATCGTAAAAGTCACCATCACCATCAGGTCACCATTAATCCCCATTCTGGTAAACTAACAGTTTGCTATTGAAAATGGCCCAGTCGAAATAGTGAGTTTTCCCATGAAAAATGGGTGGATCTTTCCAGTTCGCTACTTTGACATAACCAGAGGGTAATCCCCATCTATTAATTAGGGGGGTACTCCTCCAATAGTCATTTCATCCAATACTTTTTTATGGTACCCCCCCAATTAAACAACCGTTTGGGGTTTATTGATCCAGGGTTGATATTAATCCCCATCAGGTCACCATTAAATCAGGTTACGGCACCTGCACCCCGGCTGCGGGGACTCCGCATCTAGACTCTGCCAGGCCTAAAACACGGGATGCCGAGAAATCACAACCCGGAAGCTGAACAAATGACCCTCTGGTCAACCAACAAAATGATGACTTATGATGATTTATGATGATTTATGATGATTTATGATGACTTATGATGATTTATGATGATTTATGATGATTTATGATGACTTATGATGACTTATGATGATTTATGATGATTTATGATGACTTATGATGACTTATGATGATTTATGATGATTTATGATGATTTATGATGACTTATGATGATTTATGATGATTTATGATGACTTATGATGACTTATGATGATTTATGATGATTTATGATGACTTATGATGATTTATGATGATTTATGATGACTTATGATGACTTATGATGATTTATGATGATTTATGATGACTTATGATGACTTATGATGATTTATGATGATTTATGATGACTTATGATGACTTATGATGATTTATGATGATTTATGATGACTTATGATGATTTATGATGATTTATGATGACTTATGATGACTTATGATGATTTATGATGATTTATGATGATTTACCTATTAAATAGTGGTGATGTTCCCTAGCTGCGTTGAATTACTAATGCGGTAAATACAAAAATAATAAACCTACCATTTAGGGATGATAGTCACCACCCATTTATGGTGATTTGGGTGATGGCTTCTTATTGGGTTTACCACATTCAATCATCTACAACTGGGTGATGCTGAATATGTATGGACATTGCTAATTTGAAACCTATCTATATATGCGAAATAGGATGAAATAGGTGTGTGTGTGTGTGTAACATCTGAATAGATGTAAAACTTCTCTCTCTTTTTCTTCCTTTGTCCTCTCCCTTTCTAATTCTAAATTCAATGCAGGGGGGCAGTCTCATGTTTGCAGCTGATTGCCCAACGAAGAGGGCTGCATTCATGACTGATATGACTCCGGGACGCTGGAGTCACGTACCTGCCAATTTTATTCAGAAATGGGAAGAGGCTCAACCCAAGAACCTCAATGTCACATTATTTATTTCTTCACGGTTGCCACAATCTGTATTTTCGCCGAAATTTTATCAAACGGATCTAATCTGCATGTTTCAGGATTCAGTTCCTGCCGGATCATATAATGATCCATTCTTGTCTAGTGTGATTTCCATGGTGGCTCCGACATGGTGCCATGGAGCCATTTGAGGCAACCCTTTTTAGGGTGAGTGAAGACTGTCCTGACTGCCGAATTTACACATTTTAATTTGGTAATTCATCTAAGTAAATCGCAACAGTCAGCCTTTCGGTTGTGCACCTTTTTGTGAAGTCCCGCGTTTCCGGCTGTCCTTTATGAACCCAGTGGATTGCATCTCTGTTGAGTGAAGCCACTTCGAACTACCAGAAACCTCCTTTTTCGCAGCAGCTTTTACAGTCACATTACAAGAGACAGAACGCAGGCAGGTACACGATCTTTAGGTGCGGTTTTCTTTCTTTTGATGGTCTCTGGTGAGGTGAAACATATTGTGCACCTAATTCGTTGGAACTTGAAAGCCGTCTTATGCCCTTGGGGCCGACTGGACTACGGGCCTGGATTGGCACAACGCACGACCTGTAGGTTTAGGAGCTGAATCCTGTCTTTAATTAATTGTTTTGGTTTTCTTGCCTGTCATTAACTAGTTCCCCATTTGGTCCCTAATTTCCCCGCGTGCCTCTCCGTAATGTGTCGTGGGGTTTAGGTGTGTGCGCTGTTTTTGGTCAGGTCCGTTTCGCCGTGTAGGTTGGTTCCGGAGGTCCGTCTGTTCCCCTCCCCCCCCTGCGCTGTTTTTGGCCGTCTGCCCGTCGTGTGTCCGCTTTTTTCTTCCTCTTGCCTTTCAGGGTTGACCCGGCTCCGGCCGGGTGTGTGTGTGTAACATCTGAATAGATGTAAAACTTCTCTCTCTTTTTCTTCCTTTGTCCTCTCCCTTTCTAATTCTAAATTCAATGCAGGGGGGCAATCTCATGTTTGCAGCTGATTGCCCAACGAAGAGGGCTGCATTCATGACTGATATGACTCCGGGACGCTGGAGTCACGTACCTGCCAATTTTATTCAGAAATGGGAAGAGGCTCAACCCAAGAACCTCAATGTCACATTATTTATTTCTTCACGGTTGCCACAATCTGTATTTTCGCCGAAATTTTATCAAACGGATCTAATCTGCATGTTTCAGGATTCAGTTCCTGCCGGATCATATAATGATCCATTCTTGTCTAGTGTGTGTTATATATATATATATATTTATATACATTTATTTATTTATAGTATATTTTTTACATATAATATAATATATATATATAATGTGTATATATATATAATGTACATATATAATGTGTATATATATATAATGTATATATATATAATGTATATATATATAATGTATATATATATATAATGTATATATATAATGTATATATATAATGTATAATGTATATATATAATGTGTATATATATACAAAACACACACATATCAAATGTTTAAAGAAAACATGCCATGATATGCCATGTATGGAAATGGCATAACGTTGGGAGGTCAAGGCCCATCGCCATAGTCCGGTCACCCAGGTCAAGTTTTCCTGAAATGGATGGTTCATTTCATGGAAAATCCGAAAATGACATGGATGATTTTTGTTAGGGGTATCCCAGCTATCCGAAAATGGTTGGTTTATAATGGAAAACCCCATTAAAATAAATGATTTGGGGATACCCCCATTTCAGGAAACCTTCATATATGTTCATAATTGCGAGTGCATTCCGTCAACTTCAACTTGCCTCAACCCGTCTCGGATTTCAACCGTTCTCTGATCAAAAAATCATCCGTCGAGGGCCAAACAGCTAACAGCCGCCCCTGAAAGCAGTGAGGTGAACATCGCCGGGGAACACTAGGTCAAGACATAAATGGCTGGTACCCGATCACCCGTCGATCCAGAATAATTGCATTGATTTAAGGGAAGATCTGCAAGAACCAAGATTTTTTTGGAATCCCCCAGTAGGAGACTGTCCTGCAATTTTCCTTTCGCCTTTCAACCAATTCTGTGAAAGAAACCCATGTTTCTATAATTTTCTATATTCTATATACATTCCTTAGTTCGACTGCGTGGCTAGCAAGTCCCCCGTTTCCAGAACTATCCCACTTCAATGGGGCGAACCAAATGGTGTGGCGCCAGAATCTGCCCCACCTGCATCACAAGCGCCAGAAGTACCACGACAGGGCGATGTGGCGTGGGACCTTGGGAGGATTGAAAAAGGCCTTTGAAAATCGAAACCGGAAACCATGATCAGGGGTTGGTAACTGTCCCATTTTGGGTTTTTCTTGGACATCACCTGAAAAAATAGCCATCTAGTAGACCATATACCATTCATGGTTGGGTGATGTGACCCATGGGGACATCAGTCATGACCCATGATGATTGTGACCATAAAAAATATAGGTTTTTCCTCTATTTTTTTCCCTTAAACCAATCCAATGATTTCAATCATGACTAATGATGCTTCATGTTGATTCATACTGACCAATCATGGTGCCATGATAATGTTTGATGGTTAGTAATGGTGGGATGATATTTAACAATAACTATTTTGGCTATAGAAAATGGGATATAACCAGGGAGATAGATGGATATCATGAAATATGAAATAACAGATGATAAGTCTGAAAATGACTTAAAACATATCTGGTTGGTGGTTTTAACCATCTTGAAAAAATATTAGTCAATGGGAAGGATTGTCCCATATATTATGGAAAATAAAAAAATGTTTGAAACCACCAACCAGTAAAACATGTCAAAACCAATACTGTCGTTATGGTCCAAACGTGAAATCCCGATTATATAAACGACCCATTCGTCAATCAACAGTTGTATTTTCAAAAGCACCCCGCGGCCTGTGGGCATTCACATCACCCAGCGAGGTTGGTGATCGTCAAGAAATAATTAAGTCATTTGGCAACCATATGATACCATATGAATGACCAAATAGTGGGCTATATCCCATGTATATATATAATAATAATAGTAATAATAATAATAATAGTAATATATATTATTGGGTGATTAAGCATATTTAGTTCAACCATGCATATGTGGGATAATCCTGTATCAACCAACCATATATATATATATGATTATATATGCTAGAATCATGACATGGTATATGGATGGTTTATGGGTCATCCGTCCCATATTGGGAATCCTGAATCATGGGTACCCTCTGGTTATGACTAACATGGCCATGGTATAGATGGCCCATAGAAATAGATGGTTTACCTATTAAAAATTGCGGATCTTTCCATGGCTATGTTAGTCATAACCATATGGTAAATGAATTCCTATGTAAATGGTTCGATCAAAAACCCCCAAGATATGGCGGTTTACTAAAATGGGGGGGCATCCCAAAATGGATGGTTTATAATAGAACATCCTGTTGAAATGGATGATTTAGGGGCACCCCCATTTTAGGAAACCTCCATATGATTTCCTATGTAAATGGATTGATGACCATCTTTTAATATGGGGATGGGTCAAAACCTTGCTTGTACCTCTGTAGTTCACATCAAAATAGCTGGTGCTTCTGGATGTTCATCCCCCTATAGCATGGCTATTTATAGCTGGTTGGTGGCTTTAACCATCTTGAAAAATATTAGTCGATAGGAAGGATTATCCCATATATTATGGAAAAATAAAAAATGTTCCAAACCACCAACCAGAATATAGATCTATTAAGTCCATACTAAGATTTCTTAAGTTCCATTAACCCATATTTAAGTCCCTACAACGTTGATGGGAAAATATATGTTCCAAACCACCAAGCAGTATAGGTCTTGCTCCATATCTCCCCAGAAATGAGGCTAAACTGACATTTTGACCATGGCACATACTTTTTTGTGGCTCACTTCAGTCCGAATCTGGGCAAAGATAACATATATCTGGGTAAATTATAATAATTCACTGAACTGAATTAAGGCCATTTTGGGATGATTCTTCTTATAAACCATGATTCCAGTTAGGGAGAACAGTGAGGTCGTGATCAAATTTATCCAGATATTTTTTTCACACTTCACTAACCTGAAATCTTGGGCCACTCATCTCCCTTTCCCGGCCATGCCTTGCCCGACAATTCTGAAATGTTGGGCCATAAAAGGGGATGATTCCGATCTTCGGGAGAACAGCTGGGTTTCCAGCACACCCGGCCACCAGCTCTCTGGGATATGGCATCCATGGCGGTTTTTGTGGAAAAAAACCTGGTCCACGTGAAAACGATACAGGATGAAAATGTGTAAAAACTTGTTGATATGATATGCTATGATAATCTTATAGTGTATTGTAATATTCATCGGGGTTCTTAAAATAGTGCATCCCCAAAACCATGGGTTTCAATACTACAATGGTCTAATTTGGATAATTTGAGGGAACCACATTTAAGGAAACCTCCCTATCAATATCAAAGGTACCGATAGGTACAGTAGAATCGTTTTGATTCAAGGTTCTGCTTCAAGTTCTTCAACTCCATTGCTGGGCTTGCAGTCTGTGTCTGAATGACTTGTGGGTTTCTCATAGGTAGACTCCAAAAGCCTATGAAGATGTATGAAGTGTTTTGATTTGACTTCGGGCTTCATATCGTCACATCTCAATGGATGCAAGCTGTGTTCACAACCCACATGTTTTCGGCACATATGACATAATCAGCTGCAGAGCTGGTGGAAAGGTAGTCAAACTTCCCAGTGAGGAAGCGTCCTTCGGCCAGGATTGTCACAAGTTGGACATCAAATACTGAATGATTTGGGGTTTCCACAGATTTTGTGGAGGCATTTCAGACCTTTGTCATGAACTTATCAGAATCAACATGGGTATGTCGTGGACTCAGGATTTCCCTTGAAACAACGGCTTCATCGGACACCAGTCCCCAGTCCCAGCTCAAGGTCCCTGAACACACGAAGCAAAAATCACCAGCGCACTTTTGCAAACAGCAAAAAGTCTAACCGGGTCTCTGGTTCGGAAGATGCGACAACAGGCTGGTCTGAATTCGCATAGATCGCATCGTCCCAGCTACAAGGTCCGTATTGCGTATTGCTTAAATGGGAGGTGGGTACAAGAAAACCTCACCCAGATGGATGTGACGTCGGGCTTGCAACATCTTCCAACTATTACAGTCATTACAGTGATCAATTCTCACAGCCATTTAAAAAATTAAAAGCATATTATCATTTTTGTGTAATATTGTAAATCATTATAATCATAATATTATCATTTTTACAAGCATATTATCATATTATTTACAATCATTACAGTGAAATTAATATGGGTTATGAACAAAAATTCTTGATTTGTGTTAGGGGTTAATCACTAATGAATGAATGGGTTATCATATAATCATTATCATATTTTGTGAATGGGGAATTAACCCCTAAAGTCTTTCAAGCACTTGGAATTTGGAACATCTTCTGGATGCCTTGGATGAAAAATCTCTCCGATTCCCCCCAGTTTTTAAGGTGGATTCATCGATGGGAAAAGACATCTTCAAAAAATGGCCCATAGAAATAGTTGATTTACCCATTGAACATGGTGATTTTCCATAGAAATAGTTGATTTGCCATGATTTGCCTATTAAACATGGTGATTTTCCATAGTTTTTTGTTAACGTTTACCGCTTCCAGATGCTTCCAGACTCAACAGCCTCACAGTTCTGTGCCCTGAAAACGGCACGCTCGGTTCGGAGTCGACACGTGCCGCTGCCCTTTAGTTTGGTTCTTGGGCTTCCAGATGATCCAGCTCGTCCCAATCGAAGAAACCACCTTGCTCTGTGCATCAGTGGCACATCCCACGAATCGTAAGTGGCTTAGTTCACCCCAATTATAAGTGGATTAACCCTACTTATCCCATGTAAATCACTGGGGTTATAACCCACTTAGGATTCGTGGGTAGTTCGCCACCAAGTGTGGATTAGTGCAAAAGATGCAAAAGGATGAGGGACACACCAATCGGGACACACCAATCGGTTGAAACTCTGGTGAAGTTAGATGAACTTAGCCCCTTTAAAATATCCGAATAAGATGGGATGTCCCTTTAAATGTCCCTTCAACATCCTTCACTTTCGGGACGACTATGGCAATGTATAATGATAATGTTAGATTCAATGTTGCTAAAGAAAGAGTCTAGAGAAAACCAACCAACATCATGCAACGGTGGTTGGCTGTCGCTCATCAACATCTATCCAAAACTCAGGGACAGCTATGCAAACAATAGTTTCACAATGTTTCGCATTTGAAGCCGAAAATAAATTCTCCAAGTTCGGGTTGCCCACTGTTGACCTAACCCACAAATTGGCCAAAGTTGTAGCGTTCTACCTTGATGGCCAACCAAACAATGCCTTCATCATTTGGAACGCACGACCACTAAACCACCAGTAAAGGCTATTGGCTATACCGCCATTCCTGACTGTCTGTCTTTCTCTGGGGGAAATGCGCATTAAACACCATCTACCAGTTGAGGTTTTAGTCCCTTCGCCCTTTTAATGAAGAGTGCCACCAGAAGGAAAGACTGGAGCCAGTATATCACTTTTGATGCGGGGGTTTGGGTGTTCATGACTTTTGTTGAATACCATCCAACCAACCCTCGTTAATCCAAATTATTCCTAGTTCAATAATTGCCGTGTTTATTTTTGATATAATCCCCAGCTGTTAAAATCATCAGCCAGCAGAGATGTTATTATTCTTCGCCACATTACTAGATCACGTTAAACCGTAGATAGCCACTATTTCATTAATGTATTAAAATAAGAATAAAACTAACACCCCCAAAGACCACTAGTTCATTAATTATTGTATTAAAAGAAGAATATAAGAATTTCACTAACACCCCCAAAGATAGAACAGGTTCATTTGATACATTAACTTACCACAACAGTATGTGTGAATTTGAATTTATATGTCATTCTATCTTTTCGGCGATCGCTAAAACGTGTCAACAACACATTCAAACAATGGCAATTTTGCGTGACTGACCAAATACTACCAACAACTATCGAAATAATAATGCAAATCTTAAGCACCCTGCAACAAACAAAACTTTGCCGCTGGTTGGCAAATATCCCCATGTGTTTTATATCCTACTTAAGGTTTTTGACCCTAAGATGTTATGTTTAATGGTGCACACAGCCCCACGAAATAGTTCAATACATATCTACCACTTAAACATCCACAAACCATAGTTACCCCTCTGGTAAACTAACATAGCTCTGGAAATGACCTTTGTTTTGTAGGTATATCATCTATTTTCGTGGTCCATTTCCCATAGCAAACTGTTAGTTTACTGGAGGCTAAACTACAATGTGGTGCCCCCCAGTTATAAGTTGTTAGATTTGCCCCATTAACTAGTTCGTTATATCTGCCATAAACCAGTTCGTGAAATGGGAGTTATGTTCATCAACTTATCTAACGATTTTTGGGCACCACCGAACGTAGTGAACTAAACCAACCTGGCTATCCTAAACGGGGGCCCTCACCTTTTACCACTATGAACCACCCTGATGTTCCCAGCACCTCCACAGTCCGCATCGGCTGCCTTGGTGACCACCACCCAGCCGTCCTGTCGAAAAAAAAAAATTCGGGCCGTGCTTCGATGAGGATTTTTGGGGGAACATTCTGGTAACTTTTCTGGTTCTAAATTTGGCTAAAATCAGAGATTTGTAGTTGATTTTCGCTAAATTCACCAACTAAACACGCCCATTGTAGTAATTCACCCACCTGAAGCCCATCGCTTTTGGGCCCCCTAAGCCTCGATCAAAAAAAGAGTCCCAAAAAGGATCATCCCATTTGGAAGGACAAAACGCCACCAAGCAGTAAACCAGTCGAATCCATTTGGTAGGTTGATATGATGCGATATGATGCTGATATATGCTGATATGATATTTTGATATATTTGTGATCGAAGTGCCCGATAGAATGGCTGTTTAGCTGTTTTTTGGTGGTTTTACCAGGTCAAAGAGAAAACCGAGAAAGCCACCGAGCGCTGCAGCGAAGCGCGGCCGGTTGTTCACAGCAAGACAGCATGACAGCACGGCTGGGTTGATCACCTACCAGCACCATCTACCACCATCTACTGGTCCTCAAGCGATCGAACTAGAGGTGGATGCATTGATCTCCATATGGAGGTGTCCTAAGTCATGGGGATACCACCTTGCATCATCCAAGTCATGGATGACCAGTTGAGTATTGAAACCCATGGTGACTTGGGGATCCTCCATTTCATTTCATCTAATAGAATCTATGTGCCTGCTGTATATGTTTAGTTGATAGCCAAGTAGCCATTGATTTCCGCATCTTACATCCACCACTGAGTAAGATAGTTCTTCCTAGAATCAACTAGATATGGCAGAATTCGCGGAAATATATTGAAATATACTTCAAATCCCTACGCCGGTTATCTGGTATTGTTTTCTTTTTGTCGGTGCACAAAAAAGATGTTCGCCATTAGAAATGATGATCGTCACCAGAAAACCAGCCCAGGGCATATCTTCACCGACTATCACCGACTCACTGCTTTGGTGACCCAGTGCCACAGTGCAGCCACCGGCCACCGGCCACTGGCCCAGTTCTGGCCCTCAGCACTCATAGCTGCCCTTCCCTAGGGAAGAGATCCACACCTGATGGTACAAGGTGGTGCCCAAAAATCGTTAGCGAAGTTGGTGAACATAACTCCAATTTCACTATGGTTTATGGTAGATATATCGAACTACTATTCCTATGGTTTATAAACCAACTCAACTTACATAACTATGGTTATGGTAGGTAGATACACCTATGTTTACTATGGTTTATAAATCAACAAACATAACTGGGGGGCACAACCTTGTAAGCATCCGTGGATGGCGCGTTGAAACATGGAAATGTTGGGAATGGTAAACTAACATCTAACTTTATAATGTTATATATATATTATATATTATATATATTATATATATAATATATTATATTATATATATATTATATTATATATATATATATATTATATATACTATATATATATTATATTATATATACACATTATATTAGTTCCACCCGGGGATCAAGACCTGCAGTACTCGCATCAATCAGATCTTAGTTTTCACCCGTAAACATGTACACAATGTAATTCTTTATACGATGTGGCATGTGAATGGCTCCAAATCTACAGTTCTGTATCCAATTTTAGGCATGAGTTTGGCATGAAATCACACTCAACTGACTCTTAGTTCTGTATCGCATACGTGACCACCTTGGCCAAAGATGATGTCGTAAAGACATGTAAAGACATGTTTCCAATCGTCGGGGTTGTTGAGAAATGAAGTCAATGGGTTATTTTAGGACAAGTTTTTCGGGGCCGGTTTGGTACACCAATTATGTTCAATTAATGTGGATAAAACAATAATAAACCATTTTCCAAATCACCATGTTTATATAGGTGATATAAAACATTCCCAAATGGGTGATTTATTATTGTTATAACCACATTACATTCATTTACCTGTTGGTCTATGGTTGTAACAATGTTGTAACGGAGGAAACCATCAACCAATAAGGACATCGATGGCCCCGTTGCCCCGAAGTCCACCTTCAAAGCTCCATCAACACCTCCCTTGGCGCCAGCTCCTGCCATCCGGTCCCGGCCCTAATGGCCGTGGCTGATGATCATCCCTACTTGGTGGCGAACTACCCACGAATCGTAAGTGGGTTATAACATGTTATAACCCCAGTGATTTACATGGGATTTTTGGAGCGGGTTAATCCACTTATCATTGGGGTGAACTAAGCCACAACCACGATTCGTGGGTAGTTCGCCACCAAGTAGTAGATCGGATAACTTGGATCTTGCGTTCACGCGCGATCACAACAGTCATACCGGGAGCCATCAAAAAAAATCTGGTGGAATGACGAATGACAACCGAGAATTACCCTCTGGCAATTTAACATAGCTATTGAAAATTGCCATTTATAGTGAATTTTCCCATGAAAAATGGTGATTTTCCATAGTTATGTTAGTTTACCAGAGGGTACATCCAATGCATAGTGGCAAATCCAAGGGAAGTCCTTGACGTCTCGGATCGCTTGGAAGTTGTGCTTTGAAACTACCCTATTAGTCCCCCAAAACACTACGTGTAAGCCACCAAGAATCCAACCCTGTGAATGTTCCAAACCTTTCCCAATGTCGGCACCTTAAACCACAGCCTTTGGTATAAAATGACTGCCCTGACTAGCATCATCTAGCATCGAACTAAAATGGGCTAGGGTTTTGATAGCAAACTGTTCAATTACCAGGGAGTAAACCAAAAACACCTAATAGAAAAAAACAGTTTATGGGCCTGCCAAATTTCAAAAATCCTGTGTTTTGGGTCAAAGTTCAATCTGAAAAGGCGCCCATACTTTTTGAAGTACTTGTAAAGGGCGGACTGTCTAAAGTGAGATGTGCATCACAGTTTCAAAACATGTAATATCAGCCAAACATGAACTAATTCATACACTGAAATACTATATAGAGATATGAAACATTAAAACCGTTGCAATATCAGGTTCATATTGCTGACCCTGGATATGGGTTTGTCTGAAAATAGGGTATCTGATTCCGTACAATGGTCATAATTCCAGACAATCGTCCCGATTCAAATAACTAAAAATTGCTGGCATAAACTCCATTCTCAGATACTCCCACATCCACTCTCCATTGGTTGAATATGGTTAAGTCCCTGCTTGTTCATGGTTAATCCCCATTTTCCCACATGTTTGATGGTTAAAAGCCATGTTCATCCAGTTTACCAGCATTTCCTCCTAATCACCACTAAATTCCAATTTCAGGGTTAAATCACCATAAATCACCATGTTCATCCAACTTTCACTCTTATCTGCACAAAATCACTATAAATCACCGTATTTTTCATGGTGAAAAACTCCAGAACTCACCATTTCCCATAGGATCCATGTATGGTATATATATACTAACATTGGGATTATTTTAAATTACTTTAGGGGTCAATGTAGGTAAATATTCCATACATGGATCCTCTGGGTTTTTTCATGATGAAAACCCCAAAAAAAAATATCCTTCAGCCAGGCTCAAGGCGGCTCGGATGCCAACGCCACCACCTGAGATTTTCATAGGATAACTATGTGATTTTAATCACCAGCAACAGGACTTGAATAGGGATTGATAACTATAAGATTTTACCGAAACAATATACATATATACACGGTGTTTATAATATATACTATCAATAGAAAAACATGAACCATCAACTGCCATCAACCAAAAAAAGTTCAGTTCAATCTATCACCAGATTTTTCGATAGGATCTGGGAAACTTATAATAATTCACTAACCTGAAAACAGCTTGATAGTTTGGCCATTTGGGGAGGGAGAGTAACCACCAATTTATGAGACCGTCACCTATTTTCGGACAAAACCATAGTTTAGTACAGTATAGTTCTGAGTCAGAACCGTGGGCTAGCAGCGGCCAAGAAGTTTCAGAACATCTCAACCGCTCACCTGGTTGGTGGTTTCAACCCCTCTGAAAAATATGAGTTCGTCAGTTGGGATTATGAAATTCAAAAAACTATTCCATATATGACATGGAAAATAACAGCCATGTTTGAAACCACCAACCAGCTCACATATCTCACATCTCTGGGCAAATTATAATATTTCACTAACCTGAATAGTTCGGCCATTTGGGGATGATTTCCCCAAAAAATAAACCATGATTCCAGTGAGGGAGAACAGGGTTTGGTCATGATCAAATTTCCCCAGACATAACTCACATCCGACATGTTTTTCAGGCCAAAAAAAAAAAAAAAAATCACCGCGCCTCCTGTGGGGTGCAGCACCTTGGTTTTTCAGAATCACCGCGTTTTTTGGCTCCGTTTTCGACGGGAAAATACCAAATTGTTCATGGGCGAAATCGACTATGACTGGGCAATTTGAAATAGCAAACACAACGTTAGGGATATTTACCTAATTTTAAATGGTAAATACCTAATTGTAGTTCATTTTCTGTTAAACCTTGGAGGGTTTAAACGCAGTCGCAGAAATCAATCATTTCAACGTTTTTTTTTTGCATCCCGCTGTACCGCTGAGCTTGGCACCATGACATCATCAATCCTGGGGATGATTCCGAAATGGCGAATCGTAGTACTTGGAATGAAAAAAAAACGTCTGTTTCTTGAGGAAAGCGTGGCTTTTGGTATGTTTTTGTTGGCATGTTGTTGTTTTACAATATCAATTTTATGCCACTGTTTATGCATGTTTATGCTCACCTTTTAAGAACTTCAAAATGGTGATATCACCAACATTGGAAACCACTGAAATCTCTAGACCAGTGATGCATCGGCCACCGTACAGGCCACGAGATGAATGGTGCTACTCACTTCGATTGCGATGTAGCCAATGTTGATTGGTTGGTTTCTCATGGTGTACAGTATATATATATATGTATATATCAAAATATCCTTATAATACCTTATAATGTTTATTGTATATACATATATAGAAGTATTATACGCAAATTTCTATGTCCCAATGTATTGATCCGATTGCTTGGCCAGCCCAATATCAGGCAATATCCCTTGATAGTTGGTGATATGGTTGGTGACACCAGAAACAGTATTTTTTCAAAGACCCCAAATGGAATGATTGGGGAACATATACCCTCTGGTTATGTCAAACATAGCTATTGAAAATGATGATTTATAGTGGATTTACCCATTAAAAATGGTGATTTTCCATAGTTATGTAGAGGTTTACCAGAGGGTATGTCTATGTATGCTATGTTCTTTATTGGGGAACAGCCAGGTTTTTACTACTTACATGTTTCTACATTTCTGTACAGGAAATCTTCCGGCCATCGCCCAAACAGACGATATACATACATACATTACATTACATTACATGACACTACACTACATTACATTACATACATACCATTGCATTGAATTGCATTGCATTACATTACATTGTACATGTATTGTATAATATTACAGTACATTATATTATAAAGTATTACATTATATTGTATTATATTCTATATTATATTGTATTCTATATGCTATATATTATATATCAAATTAAACTATATATTATGTTATATTATATATTAAATTGAATATTTAAAAATATTACATTATATTAAATTAAACATTATATATAATATTATTGTAAATTGTATGATATATATATATGATATTTAATTAAACTAAATTCAATTATTTTAATTTATATTACATATTACTTCTTATATATTAAATATTATATATATTGAATTAAATAAATTGAAAATTAAATATTATATATTATATATTATATATTATATATCATATAAATTAAATATTATATATTATATATTGTAGGTTATTTAAAATTATATAGTTGAAGTATATTAAATTAAATATTATAATATATTATATGTTATATGATATGATATTAAATTATATTATATGTTATTTATATTACATCATATTATATATTTAAATTATTTAATATTTTATTACATTATATTATTTTATGTTTTTTTTATGTTATATGATATGATATTATATTATGATATGTTATTTCATTATATTATATCATATTATTATATTCTATTTTATTATAGTGTTCAATTTATTATATTATATTATAATGTTAGTTTATTATGATCTTGTAATGTTATATTATTATATTAAATTGTTATATAATATTATATTATATTGTATTATTATATTGTTATATAATATTAAATTAAATTATATGAATATCATCTTGCAATATATTAAAGCATATTATAGCATAATATATGTATTAATATATAATATATCATTATATATATATATGAGCCCGGTCCCCGGACCCCCCCTCCCCCCCCAATGGTATCCCCCCCCACTCCTAACCCCCCCCACCCCCCCAAAACCTAGTATTTGCATGTTATTTGCACATATACATACACATATACACATATATACTCCCCTTTCCACCCCTCCAACCTCGCATCTCTACGTTATTTGCAGCACTTGAGAGCCACGACCTCGTCAACGGACCTTGTCTACCTGTATATTTCTATCATAACCTTTTTTTCGAACCGCCTATAGCGTGCCTCGCACATGGTTTACAACATATTTGCTACCTATGGATTACGCAAAGCTTACCTATGCAAACCTAGACATATGTACAGTAGAAAAACAATAAATACATATATATATATATATGCACATTCTAGATACTACAGATTGATATCTTGATCTTGTATCTATCACATATTTCTTTTACATTGTACATACTGTACACGTATATATATATATATGCATATATATATACATATATATACACATAAACTCTAGATATACAGCGTGTATTGCTGTCGATATTCAATATACCACATATACTATGTAAAATTTATTCAACGAACATATTTACCTATATTGTATATATTACATCTACTGTGGATACAGTACATGTGGCATATACTATCTATATTCTATCAAAAACCACATATACGATGTATATATATATATATGTTCAATATATATATATATATGTCAAATATATATTATATATATATATATATTGCATATATTATATTTATATCTTACATATTATATATATATATATACACTACACATACACTCTATATTACATATAGTATATCCATTCTAATTATTGATACATATGCATTATATGCACTATAAAGACTACATACACCATGGCTTGGCTGCTGAGAAAACCACCCCTCCCCTGCCAAGGGGGGGGGGAACCATCTGGCTGGGTGGGGGGGGGGGGTGTGGGGGTCCCTGCTCATATATACAGTGATATACCGTGGCACAGCAATCAAGTATAGTATAGCAATGGCAGATTCTTATTTAAATTCGACAAATGTCATCTCCCCCGAAGCATCGCGGTTCCACTCGAACGTTCTCAGCAAGTCGCGGCAGTCTCACAGGGCCATCGATGCTGCAACTTCCACGTGCGCGCGCCACCAGCGTCGTGGGCGATGCTGCCGTCGGTGCCTCGCGGAGGACGCAACCGCAGCCATAAAAATGGAGATGTTATCGATGTTATCCATGAAAATGGATGAACATGGTGATGTTTTTACATGTTTTTACTATCACATGTTAAAAAAAGGTTGATACCTAAGTTATCTAAGTTCTATTGCTGAGACCTTTAGTCATTGAGGTCCTGTATTCAAACGGCTGGGATATGAGAAAATCCAGCCAACATATCATCCATCACAAAACTTTTTGCCAAAGGATTGGAACACCTGCCATGACATTCATTATACCTAAGTCAAATTAATGTATACTTACAATCAAATATGGTAAAACCGTAAACATACACTAAGTATCAGTAATTTGACTTTGGTAAATTGATTAACAAACCTGAGACAGAATCTTCAACTCCAAAGCTAATCTGGGTTTACATATCTTCAGATTAGGTACTTCCAAATATGATGGGTAATCACATGTAATCATATGTAATCATTGTGTTCTTCATCAAGATGACAATTTGGGGGGGGTATACCCCATTTTCAAACACACCCAAAGAGTTACCACTATTCAGCGATCATGTAAATCATCGCAAATCCCGGATGTTTCATGGTGTAATCACCATGTTTCACCGTTAATCCCCATAAATCCACCACCATTCATGGTGATTCATGGACCTCTTTTCATGCTTTTTGTTAAGACTTAATTGTTATCATAATCTCCCGTAAATTTTCGGAGTACAAGTCCCTAGAAATAGTAACCAACCAGGGTTTGTCACTTTCATGGCTCAATTCTTCACCATTTTTTATGGCGAAATCGCTCCCCTGGATGACAGCCTGGCGTGTCGCATTTGAAGTCGCTGTCGATGATGATGCTGGCAGCTGCAGAGTTAAGGCCTCGTGAGCTGTTTTAGTGGTTTAAAGATGTTCGAAGATGTTTACAATAGGACGTGGTTGGGAATTGGCCCTCAAACATGGAGTTAAAAATGAAGGTCAGAGTTGAATAAAGTAAATGAATGTACTTAGATGGGCGACGGAATTTAACTAAGTGAACTAGTAAATGGATTACACTTCGGATTGGTGGTGTATCACTCCGGTAACCAGGAACCGCTAATCCCATGGCCCATCTAAGTAGGATTTTGAATTACCAATGTTCAAAATGGACTGCAGTGGAGTTTTTTTCGGCCCAAAAAATGGGCCAAAAAATGGGGCCGTGATCCTGAGTCGTGTTCGATTGGGATCCGCAGGATCCGCTGAAAAACTCCAGTCATCGCGCTGTGAAAAGGTATGTTTTGGTGTCTTATGTCGTTGCAAGGGTCGCAGCAAGGGGGTATAGGTGCCTAGGTTGGAAACCCCAAACAACACTTTTTTTTGGTGTCTTATGTGGTTTTTGTCTCCACTGTAGATCCATCAAAGATGTTTTTTATGTTTCTTTTAACACCACAAACGGTACAGTTTGATGTAATTTTGACACTTTGGATATTCTTGGGTTACACTCAGATTGGGGTTTATGTCTCATCCACAAAACAGTACCAGGTGGTGCCCCCCCATTCATCTTAGGTATCTAAACCCCATGAACATCCATTAACCATAGATTAGCGTCTTAGTGTCCCCCATCTTAGTTGGTACTTAAACTCCATTAACCCTAGATTTATGATCATTTATCTGGGTAAATTACAATATTTCACTAACCTGAATTAAGGCCATGTGGGGATGATTTCCCTTATTAACCATGATTTCCAGTGAGGTCGTAGTGAGGTCGTTATAATTTACCCAGATTTATGTGTCATAAACACTAGTGAGATTGGAGAAAAACTCTCTTCACCAGCCATGGCATCGGATCCGCCAAGCCGCAAATGGCGCGGCGAGGCGCGTTGAGGTGGTCCTGGTCGAAAAAATGTCTAGCCCAAGAAGAGATACCCTCTGGTTATTTAACATAGCCGTGGAAAATGGCCCATTTATAGATGATGTTCATTGATTTTCCCATTAAAACCTCCATTTATAAGGGATTTTCCATGGCTATGTTAAATAACCAGATGGTAACATATCTATCAGCATATGTTATGATCTTATGGGTGTGTTCATGAAAACAAATTTTCATAACCATAGATAACATATCAACATATGATCTTTGTGTTGGTGTTTTCATATATATATATACACAGTATATGTTGTCATTAATATATGTTCTAGTTCCAATATATAAAGAACAGCGTGGGATAATTCAGAGGACATCGAAGGCTGTGCGAGATATCATCGGATCCAGGATGGGTTTTCCAACACCTAATCATTTGATGAAGATCTGGGCAAATTATAACATTTCACTAACCTGAATAGTTCGGCCATTTTGGGATGATTCCCCGAATCCTAACTATGATTTCCAGGGCTCGGGAGAACAGGGTTTGGTCGTGATGAAATTTACCCAAATATATCATATATTATCCATAGATTCACCATTATTAACCATTATTAACCATAGATTCACCATAGATTCACCATAGATTCACCATAGATTCACCATAGATTCACCATAGATTCACCATAGATTCACCATAGATTCACCATAGATTCACCATTATTAACCATTATTAACCATAGATTCACCATAGATTTCCCACTGGTTCCACCAAACATTGGGGAAATCTCTTCGTGGTTGGTGGTGAGCCATTTAAAAAAAACACCAACAAAGCCTGTTCATAAACCAACCAGCTCACTGATCGCCGAAATTTATCACCTGTCACCTTATCTGGTTGGTATCTGGTTGGTGGTTTTTCCCTACCCATCTTGAAAAAATATGAGTTCGTCAATGGGAAGGATGACATCCCATGTATAAAATGGAAAATAAAATTCATGTTCCAAACCACCAACCAGAACCATATTAAGCCCTATTAAGATATATTAAGATATATTAAGTCCCAACCTGGCAGGTGGGGAAAAATGTTCCAAACCACCAACCAGTCATGAAACATTCAAATATCCAAAGTTCAATCACCGTGAAAACATAAAACATCAAACCAAATGGACCCGGGCAAAAAACGCGGCCGCCTTCTCCGTCCAGACTCGCCATCCTGACCATGTTTTTTTTACCACCTCCCGAAGGTTTTTCTTATGCTGCTTGGTGGTTGACCTACCCCTCTGAAAAATATGACAGTCAGTTGGGATGATGACATTCCCAACTGAATGGAAAAAGAACATTGGCATTTTATAGGAATGTCAATGTGATTTTCGTGGGAATTCTTCGTCGTTTTTATGGGAGTTGTTCACTGGAATTTTGATGGGATTTAATCTCCGGGATTAGAACAACAACCACACGTTCGGTGGTGCCCCATAGTTAGCTAAGTTGGGGGCCACATAACTCCAATTTCACTATGGTTTATGGTAGATATATCGAACTACTATTCCTATGGTTTATAAACCAACGTTCACATCACTGGGGGGCACAACCAACCTTGTAGCCCTGAAGGATCTTCCAAGTGGATCATGAAATGGACCAACAAAAATCATGTTGCCGAAATTTCATGAAATTTCCCACGGAAGCAAGCCTTACATGGTGAATTCATCATTTTTCTTCGCAGATATGTTCTGAAAAAAAAAAAAAAACATCCATTTACCCTCTGGTTATTTGTTACATAGCCATGGGATTTCGATGGCCCTAATCGAAATAGATGGTTTACCGTTCTGAATAGCATGGTGGATCTTTCCATGGCAAACTGTGAATGTCATAACCAGAGGGTATTTTTGGATGTCTCTAATTTTAAGGTGCAAACACTCCCGGTCTTTTTATTGGTGGCAATTTCACTGGGATCTGTGGTAGTCCATGCTGGCAATGGCAATTTCTGGTTTTAAGGGGTCCCAGTTGGGACCAACTCAACTCACTTATATCATGAACCTAACTTTTGCATTAGATAATCATTGGATAATCATTGGATAATCATTGGATAATCATGGGATAATCATTAATTAGATACTCATTGGACGTTAAAAGAAAAATGTTCCCTAGCTGGGACCAACGAAAAGATAGAAGTAGCCTCTGGTCGTTTTTCACATAGCAAGGTTGGTTTCCCCCCCCAGTGATGTGAACGTTGGTTAAGAAAAACCATAGGAATAGTAGTTCGATATATCTAAAGTTGGTTTATAAACCATAGTAAGTATAGATATCTACCATAAACCATAGTGAAATTGGAGTTATGTGGCCCCCAACTGAACGCGATGAATCGCTCACTGGGGCACCACCTTGTATGGATCGGATGTAAAAACCATCTCTCCACGGGCCATGGCTTCGCCAAGCGTATATATTGGATTGCTTTGAAGAATTTACCAGGAACCCAAAAACAGATTTCATACATTTTCATACTACCCTCTGGTTAATGATGGTTCATGATGATAAATGGTTAATAATGGTGATAAAATGATGATTATACATAGCCATCAAATTCCTGTTACCGTTTTTTTCATGTTCGAATACCAATCCATTACCCATAGGATCCATGTATGCTATATATGGTAACATTTACCATCCATATACCCCCAATGTTAGCATAATATATACCATACATGGATCCTATGGGATTAGGAGATACCAGCCTATTGTTGGAAGTCACCTCCCATGGCCCACTGGGTCCCATTAAACTGAAAATCTCTTCGGCAAATTATTGATTCCTGGAGTCCAGCAACATTGCGTGACGTGACTTTATACATAACTCATAGAATTGGATGATGGGAAAAATTTAACCGGAAAGCCCATCAAATTTGATGGTAAAACCCATGGTTTCCGGTTAAGATTTTCCCTTAAACCAATCCATTGAATAACATGTATGTGAGGGTAAAGGCCATAAGATTTCACTAACCTGAAATGGTGGTTTATGTTTCATTATATTAATCCATTTATTTCATACAACTCGATGGCAAAAACTCCAATCGTTTTTCCAACAACCGCCACGTCTCCATCTTATCGCCGCTCAGCGCGACCTTCAATGAGATGCTCCTCTGAGGCGAGCTTTGACCTCGGTAAAGATCCAGGATTTACACATGAAAAACATAGAATATCATAGAATCATGTAATATATATTTATACATTAATATATATATATACTAGTATTAGTCTTATTATTACTATTGTATTTATATATATACATATAAATGATACAACTTATATTATATATACATATCTAATGATAATATATATATATATAACTATATATATAATTATATAATTATATTATGATAAATCCCTTAAGTTTCCATATCCATCGCGAACAAAGGAAGAGCGAAATTTAAGACCTCTTGGATCCCATCGAAAACATCGCAGATCGCAGTTTTCTCTTTTTCGGTTGCGGCGTTTATCAGCAAAATCTTGGCAAATATGATATATAAATACAATAATAATACTAATATATATATAATATTAAATGATTCCAATAAACCATCCAGATTTTGAATATAACACCCTATGCATTTACAATATTTACAATTGCTTTGCCAACATTGTATATTATTAATGTATATTATATGTGATATGAATTCTGAATTTAGATGATACAGTAAGGAAAAAATATGTTGTTGTTGGGTTGAAATCCAGAGCTTCAAATACCATTCGTTGATCATACATGGCGGGCTTTTCCAGCCATGTTTGATTTCTGGAAGGTATAACATATAGCAACCCCCAAAAAGATGGTTTCCAGTGTTTCCAGGATGCATTTTTTAAGTTCCTCAAAGAAAAAAGTTTTACCACTCTTCCGGCATCTTTTTTTTGGGTCTCTATACACATATAATTAAGTATAACTAAAATATGTATATATATATATAACTATATATATATAACTAAATATATAACTAGTTAACTATAATACTACAATTATCCTATGCATCTTTAATTTTCAAGTATCTAAACACAAAAAAGGGATAGCACTGCTGGAGTCATCCATTTTGGGATGAGGTGTGTGTTTTTTTAAGCTTTTTTTACATCCCAGAAATGGGGGCATTCTCAAGCAATGGGTGTATTAATATATCTAGGTAAATTCTAATATTAATGATGGTTAATGATGATGGTTAATGATGATGGTTATTAATGATGGTTAATGATGATTAATAGTAATCTGGTTGGTGGTTGACCTACCCCTCTGAAAAAAGGAGTTCGTCAGTTGGGATGATGACATTCCCAATATATGAGAAAACACAAAATGTTCCAAACCACCAACCAGTATATACATATATAATATCCCTATGAAAATGGATTGATATCAATGGATTTTTGGGAATGGGATATTAAAAATTACATAGGGATATATGATATATGATATATATATATATACCATTCCCAAAAATTGAGATATCATCCAATTTCATCTAATAGGTGCTTAGATGAAATGTAGATACCCCACGAAATCCTCATATTGAGCGATTGTGAAAACCCTAGGTTCACGGAAAGGACATCCACAAATTTGGGAAGGTCCCATCGCTTACCACACGTTTGTACAATAATGATATATGGTAAACTTGGGGGGTATCGCTTGCAGGAAACTGCTGCATTTATATATATATATATATATGTGATGAACTATGAATAATATGTGATATTTGGGTATCGCTAATGTGGATATTAGAGAAATATGATGACATAACCTTGAAAAGGGGTATCGCTAATTTGGGAAGGTCCCATCGCTTACCTCGTGTTTTTAACAATTTCCATCAATTTCCATAAACCAATGTCCGTCGAATACATATTTAGTATTGCCGGGGTTTTTACGGTTGCTCATATGTTTTTCCATTAGAATCACTATTTCAGTGGAGTATTCCAATCCAACTACCTTAACCACGGAACATCCATGGAACATCCATGGAACATGTATCAATGGTCATTCCAGGATCCTAAAATGGAGGTACTGTACCATATAAGGCCATATTTTCTGGGGATATTCCCTTACATAGCCCTGAAAAATAGGCCTTATATATGGTAGGTACCTCCAATGAATCGGTTCCTGTTGCATGGCCGTTGAAGCACTGCGGCACCCCACGGCCGCCCGCGGACGTACCTTGCGGTGCCTGTCATGGCATGTCATGGCACAAGCGATAGCCCCACCTGTAGATTTACTTGGTGGGGCCTCTCAGATTTTAGGCTTGGTTTACAAACCACAATAACATACATTAAGTAATGGGTGTGTATTAATAATATTAATATATCTAGGTAAATTCTAATATTAATGATGGTTAATGATGATGGTTAATGATGATGGTTATTAATGATGATTAATGATGATTAATAGTAATCTGGTTGGTGGTTGACCTACCCCTCTGAAAAATAGGAGTTCGTCAGTTGGGATGGTTATTCCCAAGAATATGGAAAGTCATAAAAGTAATGTTCCAAACCACCAAGGAGTATATAGATATATTTGCCATAAACCCTAGTAAATCTAGTAACTAGGGACTGGAATTCAAGCCACCTTGAAGAAGTTGGTTCAGGTTGTCGGTATCATGACATGTTGGTCTACATGTTGTAACCAACAAATGGCAACTTAGAATCACTTTTGGGGTGGGTTAACAGGTGTCACAACCTACAAGATTTGCATCATGTTACAATCATTTTTGGGATGGGTTTGAACATGTTGCAACCAAGTAATAAGGCGTTTTTCACCGTTGTTGGGTCGCTCCACTTGGGTTTTTTTCAGCTGGGATAAGCTAGGAGAGAAATGGACATGAACTGTGCTAAAATTGATGCGTACTTATCTGGAATACACCCAACATGGTGGTCAGTCACATGGTTTGCTGGAAAATCATGGAAAATCCAGAAATTCATAGAGTATTTAAGTCCGCATCACACCCATTTCCAAAAAGGGAATTTTCCAGCGTTTGCCACGTTTTTTTGGATACCGGGTCAAACTATGAAACTTGGTCCCATATTTGGCTGTCTCTGAAAATGGGGTGTACGGAAAAAAAAATCACCTGTTTATGGCCAAAATATTGGACACATCATCATTATCAAATAGATGGAATTGGGGATTCCCCAATAGTTTCAGGTACAGGATGGTGCCCCCCCAGTGATGTTTGTTGGTTTATAATCCCATCTAAATATAATTCTTGGCGTATCATACACTATTCTAGCTAGCAATTTCTTGCCCATATTCCAGGGCCGAACATATTCCATGCCAAAATAGCTGGGAAATTTCAGGGAATTGCGAAGACCCCTTTCAGGTGAAATTTGTATTTCATACAGTTTGCCAAGTACTCCTTTTCTTCTGGCACGTACGCTGTCGACTGCACATGTTCTTCCCCAAAGAAGATCCTTACTTTCAACAATTTCTGGAAATGTAATAATTAAGAATGTTGAGCTTTCCAAAAACGGATTAATAATGTTCTTATGGGAATTTGTCATCTACACTTTTCAGGATCCCAAAACCCAATTCATAAGCTTTAAGCTTATGTTCTGGCACGCTTGGCGGGCCTTTCATCAGCAGCGCCATCCCCATCTTTCTTGACATCTTTGTGGCCCCGCAAAGAGCTCTGCACAACAGGATCTGGGAACACAAATCATCGACGATCCTGTTTTCTTCCGTGCAAAATAATTCCACCGATAGAGTACGATGCCACCCCTGGAGTGCGCTAATTTTCTGGAATGCGAAAATAAAACAGTATGCGTGGCCCACTTCGACCTTCCCCATGGATCCAACACCAGTTTTTTCCATCATATACCAGAAAATTATCACATTTCACCCTGCTGAGCTTTGTTTATTTTATTTTTTATTTTTAGTCATTTTTGGCCAAAATGGCCTGGAATGCGATAGTATGTGAAACTACAGACGTCTCACGCGAAACCGCTACCTTGCCCATATTCCAGAAAACGTGATTCCAGGCGATTTTAGCCAAAAAAAAACGAAAAAAAAACAAAAAACAAAAAAAACAAAAAATAACAGAAAAAAAGAGAAAATTACCGAGTACGAAGATTTTCTGGAGTGCGAAGATCTTGCAGAGTGCGTGGATACTACAGTATGTGTACGTCCCTAGCTGTGGAGTGCGATGCCCTCGCTGGAGTGCGAAGAATTTGTGGAATGCGAAGAATTCCGAGTATGTGTGGCTGGTATAGAGACCACATAGGGAAATTTCGGGGCCAGAACCAAAATTCCAATCCCAAAGCCAGCCCAAACTTCCAGGGGCACACCAGTGGGTTCTATTTTTCCGAGTTCACCTTGGGTGAGGTCCCGGGGAAGAAACTTGCTAATTTTTACTCAGCCAACCTTTAAAAAGGTTACCTTTGACAACCCTGTCCTTCTTTGGTAGACAAATGAGGAAACTTCCTTATCAAAGCAGCCTTCAATTCATTCAACGTCCACAGCTGCTTTGGAACGACATAGGGGATAGAAAGCTGTGGAGGGGCATTCAGTGGATTCGCCGTGGGCCAACTGTTCCCTACAGATTGAGCTGAAATGCCTATCAAAGTAACATACCAAAACCCAGGTCTGGAGTACGATGAAAACATGGTATGCGAAGATTTTCTGAATATGGGAATGTTGCCTCTAGAACTATTGTTTTGTTATAAAATGTTATAAAATGTTATAAAATGTTATAAAATGTTATAAATCAACTTAGCTAATGAATTGGGGCCCTATCCTGTACCAAACCCATTAAAATTACTGTAAGGCCCAAAGCTGGTCGACCCCGCCAGTGACCTGAGCCAAATTCTTGACTGCTTCGCTCAAGGTCTGGTCTTCCGTCAACTCGAACCTGACTCTCCGGAGCTCAACTTCAATCCTCATGAAATCACCATGAAATCGCCATTAAACATAAATTAAACACCCATCATATCCAACTGGTTTGTGGTATACCTACCCCTCTTTAAAAAAAAATGAGTTCGTCAGTTGGGATGATGACATTCCCAACTGAATGGAAAGTCATGGCTACCAGATATGGTAAGCTCCCCGAAAGACACCGAAATACTTCCGACCTTGGGACCGCACCAGAGCAGCAGACCAGCTTTGGTCCTCATAGCCGCCCAGCCAGCCTGGCACCATCTGGCACACGCCAAAAATGTACATCATCTAACCATCAAAAAAGCTGTAGATTTGATAAGAATTGCTGGTTTCACCATTCAAAAAAACACGATAAAACCAGGGAGATTTAACATGATGTAACCTTCAAAAAAGTTAGAAATTGTGATTATAATGTGATTTTTTCCATCAAAAAACATGTTTTTACCATCGAAAAATTATAGTTGAAGCTGCTAAAATTAGGGAAATGGATTCGAAAAAAGTGCTGGATTTAAGCATCGAAAAGGAGGAGTTAAGTGGAAATGTGAGCATCAAAAGTTGGGATTGAATCGGGATTTCATGGATATATACATTATTTATATATATATATATTTAATAATATATATAATGTATACATATATATATATATAATGTATACATATATATATAATGTATACATATATATATATATAATGTATACATATATATATATAATGTATACATATATATATATATAATACACTATATATATAATATAGTCATTGGTTTGGGTTTCAGGTAAATTATCAAGCGGAATGGTACATTGTTCTTACCACCAAGAACAGCTTGGGATGTCCTGCAGATGGTCCTGAAAAACCATCTTCAACCCATGGAATGAACGGTTTACCCAAAAAGAAAGAGTTTAATGCGTTAAACAAAATAACAACGCATTTTTTGGCTGGTTGGTGGTTTCAACCCCTCTGAAAAATATGAGTTCGTCAGGTGGGATGATGACATTCCCAATCTATGGAAAGACATAAAAGTCATGTTCCAAACCACCAACCAGTTGAGTTTGCGTCCAGAACTGGATCCACATCATACTTGGTGGCTCATCCCACGAATCGTAAGTGGCTTAGTTCACCCCAATTATAAGTGGATTAACCCGCTCCTTATCCCATGTAAATCACTGGGGTTATAACCCACTTACGATTCGTGGGTAGTTCGCCACATGCCCAGATCCCACCCAGCCCAGGTCCCCAAAAAATCCCAAAACGCGGCCAAGGCGAGCGGACCGGAATCCGAAAGAATTCTTCGCCGTCTTTGTAGCACAAGGATGGTGAGAACGGTGCCTTCCGCAGGGATCGGAGTCCAACAAGATGCACTAAAAAAAATGGAGATGGATATGGTGCAATGGATATGGCTGCTCAAAATAGGGGCTCCGAATTAAAAAAAACCTCATACACCCTGGATGTATGTGGAAATTCATGAAAATTCATGGAACAGCCATCATTTAGTTCATTGATTTTCCCAATGAACATCTCCATGTTCCATCATTTTCCCATGAAATATCCTTGAACATCCACCATTTATGGATGATTTATGGATGATGTTTCCATTTCAGCTAGGCATTTCAGCTGGAGCTCGCACCTCGTAGAGGTGTGGACGACCACTGGCACACTTTTTCCCAGCCAGCCTTGCGCTCCAGCTGCGCTCCAGAATAGAATAGTAGTCATGGGATATTGATGATCAAACCATGGGAAAATGAGGTAAATCATCAAACTAAATACATTATATGGTTAATGATGATGGTTAATGATGGTTAATGATGGTTAATATATGGTTAATGATGATTGCTATTATATGGTTAATGATGGTTAATAATCTGCTTGGTGATTATAAATAATCTGGTTATCAGATTATTATCAAACTAAATGATAGATGGGGATGATTTTATAATCTGGTTGGTGGTATACCTACCCCTCTGAAAAATGATGTTGCGTGAGTTCGTCAGTTGGGATGATTTTCCATTCCCAACTGAATGGAAAGTCATAATCCAGTCATGTTTGAAACCACCAAGCAGTACTGATGGGACATGGCGTTAAATGACAATTGGATTTAGCTGAGATTTGATGATATTAATCATCTATAAATGGGCTCCTGGAATGTTAATGGAATAAAAATCGACAAGAATGGGAAATGCTCATGGAAAAAAAAAACTGGGAATGGAACTTCTGAATGGACTCATGGGAATTGAATCATGGTCTATTTTTTTTTCTATGCCAGGTGTCATTGATTCCAATGTAACATGAAAAACATCATTACCCATGACGGATCCATGGTGCTGCTATATATGGTAACATGGATCCCATCAATATACCCCCTTTATGTTAGTATATATACCATACATGGATCCTACAAAGTGGGGCCCCCAAACGATAGCTAAGTTGGTTTATAACTCCCATTTCACTATGGTTTATGGCAGATATAACTCAAGTTATTGGGGCTTATAAACCAACAAACATAACGTTTGGGGGCCCCACATTGTATGGCTTAAACCATTCTTCGAATAATTGGGTGTCATCATTGCCGTGGGACAAGTCGTCAGAAGTCGTCCCGTCGTCCCATGGCCTTCGTTAAAAAATGTCCCAGCGCGAAAAAACACCGTTTTTCCACGTGGCTTTGATTCCCAGGTTTTCGCCATTTTAATACGGAAAATCAACTGAGGTCATCGTCCTAGGTATGGATGAATATAAAAACTAAGTGGAAACCCTTACTTACTGGTGCGTTTAACTACGTAGGGAATGGATGGGTTGCTGGGGGTTGCTGGGATGATTATTACTAGTGATTATGGATCATTCCCTCATTCCCTACGTTTAGCACCAGTAAGTAAAATGTGATCAAACCGAGCTGTAGTTCAACCACCAGAACGTGATGCTGCAATGAATCATTAGAATGTAAAAGACGGTGGGTCGGAAAATCGGGTACAAGCATTTTCCCAGAATTTTCCGACCATTTTTCCCAGATCAATCATGGTTACCCTCTGGTAAACTAACATAGCCATGGAAAATGGCCCATTTATAGTGAGATTTCCCATTAAAAATGGTGATTTTCCAGTTCGCTATGTTAGTTTACCAGAGGGTAATCACCATTTTCCCAGAACTTGGGTGGTCCATGTTTTTCGGCCCCCAATAACTGAGGCCACCAACGAGAAGTTGATGGACCTCACAGTCAGCGACACAAATTTCCAGCGGTGGACATTTCTCGTGGTGGAGCCGTAACCCGTTTGGGCAACGTGCTGGACCTGACGTGAAACAAACGATTACTTGGTGGCGAACTACCCACGAATCGTAAGTGGCTTAGTTCACCCCAATTATAAGTGGATTAACCCTACTTATCCCGTTTATAACTGGGGTTATAACCCACTTACGATTCGTGGGATGAGCCACCAAGTAGATTGCCACAAAAACAAGCAAAACTTGGATAGCCAGGGCTATATTACCACTATAATCACTATGTTATCTCACTATAAAAAATTCTCACTATATTACGTAATATATTCCCATTTGTTCCCATCATGTTCCATCTTCATTCACATTTTGCCACCCCTCTTGCTACGTCACGGCACGGGAGCTTCTTCGAAATCTTGGCCTGGGACAAGAACTCGGAGGGGTGGAATCCCATTTCACTTAAAAATTGGGGATGATTTGTTGGTGTTACCACATTTTAGGGAGTTTAGTTGGCAATTTTTATATATAACTCTTATAGATATCTTTTAGTTTGCTTTTTTTCAGGATTTGCGTACCTTTTTTTTCGCAGTGTGCTAGGGATGTTCGTTTCGTTTTGCTGGTGCCTTTTTGTTGACTCTGCTGGTCGTGGGATGCACAATTTTCAACACGTGGGTTTGTCGCAAGATTTTGGGGGTACCCCCACAATCCCAGTGTGTTTCATCAGTTTCTGACAGAGGGCCCATCCTGAATTTTATGACACAACCTGCTACAACTAATTACATGTACCTGGTGCCCTTCTAGACTTGTAATGTCATGTAATTATCATAATTATCCATCCAGTCCTGAAAGATCACTCTTTTAATGTGATACCCTGTGGTTATTTAACATAGCTCTGCGGGAAATCACCATGTTTAATTTTTAATAGGTAAACCATCATAAATCATCTATAATGGGCCATTTAACACCATACAAGGTGGTGCCAATAGTTAGCTAAGTTGGTTTATAACTCCAATAACTATGCTTTATGGTAGATACATCTATACTTACTATGGTTTATAAACCAACTTATAACTGGGGGGGCACAATCTTATCAATCTTGCAATTACAGTAGTTGGTGGTTTAATCAAACTGTCATGGTGTTTGGCAACAATATGTTTCCAGTAAAATTGAAGAAAGCTGTTCAGTTTCAGCTACAATATTTCTGAATAAATTGCAATATTTCCCAGACGAGGATTTTCCATAATATAGCTTATTGTATGCTAGCTAGTGTAATCCCTTATAATCATCAACCAACAGGGGTTTGAACACTGAATAATTGCATGTATCCTGATAAATTACAAGAATTCCCGAAGCAGATCTATACATTTACATGATTCCATAATAATTTCTAAGAACTATATAACATGTCCCGTCTGTCCCGTCAACACTGCTCAAGCACATTCAAAATCATACTGTTGATTATTAACTCTCATTATTATATTCATTTATATTCCCATGATACTGTGGATGCTTGCGAAATCCTGCACCACCAAAAGGATGGTCTTTGCAACCCTAATTTATAGTGAGACAAACATGTTTAATAAACCATCTATATCAACTGGTGCAGGATTTCGCTGGCCCATCCACAGTATGTCCATTAAATCGGATGCCTAAGCCTAACCATCCATTGTGACTTGGGCACCGTCATCCCTGGGTTCCCCTGCATTTCCACCAGTCATCCCAGTCTCGATCTGGGCATGGTCTCCGAGGTCGGACCCGGCGGATTTCAATGTGGCTATGGATCATTTTCCTATGTCATCCCCTGTAGTTACTAGTCAGTTCACAGCTAAGATTAGTTGGATTCGTTGGCAAGTGCACGTGAAAAAACACGTGTTTACTTCACATGAATTCCGAAATTCCCTGGTTCTGCATGGAAAAATGATACCAAAATAGCTGGGATTTCTGGATGAACATCGGGATTTTTTTGTTCAAAAAAATCCCTTGGAAAACTCATAGCTTTTGATCCTTCCCTGTCATGGTCCATCCTGGAAATGTCACCAGGGATGAACATGGCTGATGGTCATCCACACCGACAATGGGAATATGATCCCGGTCCGTAATGGACTGATGACCAAGCCTGATGACCAACAAGGTTTCTAGATTACCTCTTCATCGGTTTTTTTGGATCCAATTCTTCTCTAAAGTCATTCCGTTCTCTATCTATTTTAGTCCGTATATGAGTATATTTATGTTTACGATGGAGTATCTATCACAAATTGAGTATCTATCTTTCCTATCTTCCTTCGCTTTATTTCGCTCTTCATGTCCTATTCTTTCTACTCCACTCCAATCTTATCAGCTCTTACTTGGTCTTCGTGGAACTTCTCTATCCACTCTACGGCATTCTTTCTACCCCATCCAAAGTATCCAGATCTTGTCAAGGTCGAAACAGAAGCATCTCACTCCAAATTGGACGGACAGCTATCAATTATTCCACTCGTCCATTCTCATCCATCCTATGTCTCTATGTGAATATATTCACATATTGGATCAGGCATATGAATGTTATAGCGACTGTAGTGGCTTAACGTACCGACCCAACAGTAGTTGCCAAGTTTTTGGGGAGGTCCCTCGGATTTACCACCGAGCCCTGAAGCAGAAAAAAAAAATGTTGCTTTGGTCCACGGAATTCTAAACTCCTTAGAAACATATAGAAACACTATCAACATCTATCAACAATTTTTAACCATAAATAACCGTGGATCATTGTGGATCCCTTTGATATATGTCTTTCCCTGTCCGAGATCTCCTACCCGACAGGATGAGGACGTTGCCCACCTCAGCGCAGCTGGTTTTTACAAAATCAAACTCTTTCCGTAAGATTTGAGGTGGCAACAGGTGGCATGTTTTGTGTGTATTACTAAATTACTATCCAATTATAGATGTAAATACTATCAAAACAATTCAAAACATATAAAATATCACTTAACTGCCAATCCAAATCGGCTTGCGGAATTGACCAGGATGGCAGCTGATGGCGATTGGTTCTTTTCATGACCTCTCTTGGGAAAAAGGTGAACTTTCAAGTGAGCACTCGCCAGTTGATTTTGAAACCTGGTGAAACAATACGAAACAAGAAAAAGTTGGGCATCACTTACCAGACTTGGCAGTTCAATGTTGCACAGCAGCGTTTTTTGGGGGTGGGTCCCTATTAAATCACTACCAGCTATAACGGTGGGATGAACATCTATCAGCTATAACTTGAGGTTCACTCCAGGGTTTTGACCCCTTCACCATTTCTATGTATATGTATACATATGTGTATATATATATATATATGCATGTATATAATATATATATATATACATATATATATATATGTATATATATATTATATACATGCATATATATACAAATGACTTTACTACTGCAAAGTTCTTTGTTCATGCTATTTTCAACAGTCCAATGGTCCCGGAGTTTTTTTCGCGAACTCAGCGACACACGAGCGTTCCGGATCTGAAGGAGCTTGGGAGACCTTGGAGGACCAAGGTCTAGGCTCGTTGGATATCATGTTTTTATTCCCATACGGATGGTTGCAAAATCCTGCACCAAAAGGATGGTTGAAACATATAATAAACATGTTGAAAGCCTACAAATCAGGGGATTTCGCCCATCTATCAACTGGTGCAGGATTTCCCAACCATCCACAGTATTAACTGTTTGCAATACTACTGGGTGAACTATGTGAATACAGGTTATTAAATTTATTAACTAGTTGGTAGAATTAGGAATCTACTTGGGGAGTATCTGTTTCGTAACTACATACTCATATGGGCTCTGATATATTGCTGTTGGCTGGGGTTTGAAACAATTATATATAATCACAAATAATCCACGATACAAATAGTATTAATATCAATGGATTGGATTAAGGGAAAATTTACAGGAAAGCCCCATATTTAATGGGAAAATCTATGGTTTCCTGTAAATTTTCCCTTAAACCAATCCATTGATAATACCTATGGTGTAGGGTATAAAGATACATATTTGGGACATTTTCGGACAGAATGGGGGGGGGGGTGTAAAATAAAGGGGAAGGCGTTGAGTCTCCACACCAGCAAAGATCCAGGTCTGCTGACCTCACATGGGGCGAGCATTGCTAAGTTGCGATTTAAAAAAAAAAAGTAGGGGTGCTCACATAGATAGAATCTTTTTCCAGGATGATATAGAGTACCCTCTAGTAAACTAACATTTTGGTATGGAAAATCACCATTTTTTAATGGGAAAACCACTATAAATCACAATTTTCAATAGCTATGTTAAATTATCAGAGGGTATGTTTGCACATACAATTTCCAGGTGTTCAACCCTTCCCCTGTTCTGTTGGATAAACCAATGGGAAAATGAACGATGATCTTCAGCAAATAAAGATCTAGGGCACCAACAAAAAAAATCTAGAACAGAATTTAATGGATTTATGGTGCCCTAGTCAAACATGGGGATATCATGTATAAAGATATTTTTTTTACATTTATCAATGTAAATAAAGATGCCCTAGTAAAACAGAAAAACAATGAAGAACACATACACAATGTTCATGGATGTGCTTAAGGAACCACCAAAAAATTAAAAACAAAAAAAAAAACAACCCATAGATTCCTCAGTCGTAGATTTCCCATGGAGAAAATAAACAATCATCTGCAGCAAAGCCAAGGGGTCATCGGAATTTTGTCGGCTTTACTCGGGAAAAAAAACGATTTGCGGGCAGACTCCGACCCCCAGACCCCCAGTTCCAGCCGGTTCTGAGAGAATAGGCCAAATTGGCGCGGCTTGGACCCAGCAATGGGTAGCATTTCTACCAGATTTGTTGAATGAAAAATCATTTGGAACTACCCTCTGGTAGTGGCTGACATAGCTATAGAAAATCACCATGTTCAATAGGTAAACCATGGTAAACCATCTATAAATGTGCCATTTTCATCCATTTTCCATAGCTATGTTAGTTTACCGGAGGGTACCATGGATTCCATCTTGGTAGAAAAACTTTTTGAACACATCCAAAGCACCGGTTGCGAAAAACTGTTTGTAAACATCTTGAAACCCATATGCGAACCATGGTGCTGGAATATGCACACCAACATTTGCCACAAAATCGCCCAGTTTTGTAGCTGTGCATATACCAGCACCATGGTTCGCATATGGGAAACCATACCATCATATATATATATATACATATATGGATTGACCTAGTAAACAATCCTTTTTCAATGGAAAATCACCATTTTTAATGGGTAAATCAAGCAAATTTCTATCCACGAAGCCATCCACCTGATTTCTATCCACGAACCCATCCCCCACCTGCAGCGTTCTGAAGGCTGTTGGAGGAGAGGAACGACAAGCCGTCATCACCTGCACGTTTTTCGTGAAGGGATCTACAAAGTGGGGCCCCTAGATAGCTAAGTTGGTTTATAACTCCAATAACTATGGTTTATGGTACTTATAACTATAGTTATTGGGGCTTATAAACCAACTTATAACTAGGGGGCCCCACATTGTAGAGGGATCGGCCTCAAATTGGTCCAGTTGTACTCTGCCTGTGTCCTGTACGGCGAGACGACTGCTGGAGCCGCTGGGTACGTCACCGGCACCGCTGGGTACGTCACCGGCACCACCTGAATCAATCGTGGCCCGTGGCGATACGAAGGCATCGAATTTTTGGGCTTGGATGAAATGGTGATGAATGGTTGAAATACCCATCAATAAGCATATAATTTAAGGATTTGATTAAGCATATGGTTGTTGGATTAATGAGGATTAACTATAGAAAAAAAATGTAACGTTGGAGTGTCTCTTTTGTGTCTCAGACAGTCTGAACTTATTGGAAAAAAGTTCAACATATTTTGTTAAATTAGTGTTGACGCCGTCATAAACGAAAAAACAAAATATGGTTGAAACAAGGAAATATACCCATAGGATCCATGTATGCTATATATGGTAACATTTACCATCAATATACCCCAAATGTTAGCATATATACCATACATGGATCCTATGGGATAATTTTAATTTCCTAAATATAGTTGAAACTTAGATATGGAAAAATCATGAAAACTCATTTTAGTTTTGACGCTTCAATCCACATGTTTGTCCACATTCTTGATGGTATCCGCCAGTAAGTGTGAAATATGTTGTTGATCCGTGTAAAAGAGTAATCCCAAGCACCAGACACATTAATATGAATATATATTCATATATTCATATGATATATATATATATACATATGGTACAAATCCTGATTGTCCCAGCATTTCATGGCTAAATAAAATACTAGCTAGTGTTTCAGAGAATTGTGGCTACTTTGGATGCTGAAATCACCACATTTTCACGCGCCTGAGGGATAGATGTCGCCACTCCAGACCTGGTGAAAGATGGTGAAAGGCAGATGCTGCGCTGCTGGAAAAACCATGGAAAATATCTGGTTGAGGGATTTCCCACTGGGATTTCCATGGTTAAGAATGGTTAATAATGGTTAATAATGGTCTGGTTGGTGGTATGCCTACCCCTCTGAAAAATATGACAGTCACTTGGGATTATTGTTCCCAATAGATGGAAAAAAAATCCAAATGTTCCAAACCACCAACCAGCAATACATGAAAAAATGACATCCTTCAAACCTCAGACTGAGACTCGACCGTATATTTACTTACAGGGTTTCTTGCCTTTTGAGCATCAATGACGATCAATGAACATCAATCGATAAGCCTGATTTTTCTACTTGCACTGATATACCCTCAAAATGAGCCTTAAATGCAACTTACATATTATGGATGGCATGGCTAATCTGTGCTAGCTGAAATGGTTCACTCAGGCGCCAGCCACATATATGGTGCCGGGCTAACAGGGGGTGACATCACCACCTGCCGGAGAAGCTGCACCCCAAATCATTCAGTCGGGATGGTGATGTTTGGTAATTGGGATACATTCGGATGATGTAACGGTTTGGAACCCATATTGTCTCATCGCTCTCAAAAATGAGATGGTCCTATATTATACTCCCCCCTAAACAACTCCACTGCATATATCTCATCCAGTTTTCTTCTTGGGGGGGTGAACTGGGCTTCGATTCATGGTACGGAATTTAAGATCTACTGGGCATTCCTGGCTCCGCCACGAATGCATGGCCAGAAAAATGGCAGTTTCCACCGCGAAAATCAGCCAATTTGTTTGGACAAGAAGTAAATCCAGGCAGTGAACATGATGATTTACCATGATAAAAACCGGTGGAAAAATCCAGGGTACCGAAATGCACTGGCCATGTGGTTTTTATCCCAAAGAAACCATGCCCAACCATCCTCGGTGGCCATGGTGAAGCTCGCTGGAACGGATGGAACTTGAAACAGGACTTGAAACAATCATCATTTAAAAGATGAACGGGAATTAAACTTTGAAACAATCATCATTATATAGGACTTTGAAACTTCAAATATATGGTAATATTATGTAATATTCAAAGTCCTATTAATTCCCGTTCAAACTTCAAACTTGTTTTCATGGTTGTTACTCAAACCAGAAAAATCGGAAAGTCGCTATATAATCTAAAACCACTTCTTACTAAGTTTCCACTATGTCCTATTCTTGGGTTTCAAAACTATCATCATAATATGACATAAATCAAAGTCAACAAGTTGTTTGCCGGATAATAGAACAAAAACTATAATCCGTATTAATCAATATGTTGAATATATGTAACCAAATCACACAATTGCTCCAAACACCCAGGGTACAAGGGGGGTAAATTGAATAAACATAGAGGTGAAATGAATTAAAATGACTAATCAAATACATTGCCAATCTTAGATACCCTGCAAAAAATTAAATTCTTTGCTGGTTAGTAGATATTCCCATCAATACCAAAAGACTAAAGGATTAAAGTATCCATGTAAGATTGACCTAGAATACGCCCTTGTGGTTATAATTCATCTATAGGTTGGAGCAACCCTGAATCATCGACAGTTCCCCTGTTGGCGGAACGGCAGGCTGTGGTACCCCGCCGGAGACACCGCTGTGCGCTGCGCCGAAGAAAAGCGCGACACGGATGGGGTGGGTCCTGCGGATGCCGCCAGTTGGGGGATATCATGGGGATATATGAAGCCGGTTGGTTGACCTAGCCCTCTGAAAAATGATGGAGTGAAAGTCAGTTGGGATGATGACATTCCCAATATATGGAATAAAAAATGTTCCAAACCACCAACCAGGAAGGTTTCCATAAATGGGGGTACCCCAAAATGGATGATTTATAAGCGAAAATCCTATTAAAATGGATGATTTGCGGGTAACCCCTTTTATGGAAACCCCCATATAGCAACCCAACAACCCACCAAAAAAATACAGAAAACTTGGAAATCTGGAAATACGAGGTAATTATCATCAAACTACCATTCTGGAAACACTTTTCTATCTTTTTGAGGCTTACTATCATAGGAATATAATGGGGATGTATTTCTCACGAAGAACAGGCTGGAGGCTAGCGGCTGTTGTTCCCAAACCTGGTGGAAACAGAACTGGCTGGGCTGGGAAACCCAGGGCCCAACCAGCCATGGAGGTTTTCTTCGGTGGGAAAATCATCAAACTGTGGGGGGATGGATTTCCAGCAAGCCATGAAGCTGATCACCAGAGGCTGCATAAGGTGTGTTGCTTTATCCCGATTTATGTCATTTTCTTTGGTCCGTCAGAAACATCATTCATCCCCAAATTGCTGCTTCGCGTTTTCTGCAAAACAGAAAACATGGCAAAACAGAATCTGATCATATCTGGGCGTCATGTAGATGATTCACCTTTCAAAAGTGAGGCTTTCCGCCAGAGATGTCCGGTGGTACTCTTTTTAAGGTCACAACCGTCGCTCCTCTGATGATGGTCACCGGTCGAATCTGGCCATGAGCCATGACGAGCCATGAGGTGGTAAAAGCAATGAGAAACTCCAATTCTTCGCAAATCAACACGCGAATTTACATGGTAAGACTTGGCTTGATCATTGGATATGATTGGTTTCATCACTGGGAAACCAATGTCGTGAAAAGTCGATACAATGGGCTTTACTGCAAAGCTCTTACTGTCGTTAGTAACCCATCCCATCGCGCATAAATTCATCGTCTCGGAGAACTGGTGCGTTCCAAGTTCATTTAAACGCATCCAAATGCCATGTTTTTCTAGGTTTTTGACGGTGAAAAACTGAAAAGTCCTATATATGACACCGTATCAAACGAAACGACAGTTCAGTCGCCGCATTCGGATCGAAACATGGGAAAGTTCGAAGCAGTCTTGGCATCAGTGGTCCAACTCCATCAACCACCACAGTGGGTTGGACAAAAAAAATGGCTCTGTTGAGTCAGCCTGCCTCTGCATCCATCCATCCATCAATGGGAATTTCAGGATCCTAAAAATGGAGGTACCTACCATATATAAGGCCTATTTTTCAGGGCTATGTAAGGGGATATCCCCCCAAAATATGGCCAAACATATGGTACTAACGTACCTCCATCAATTGGATCCTGGAGATCTCCCATTGAATCCATCCAATCCATCCAGTCGAACTGAAGTGATCGACTGAGTTTCGAAATAAAGACCATTGCCCAAACATAGACCCTGACAAACAGGGTTTGGAAGATACCTTTCCACTAAAGATATATATATATATATATTATTATTATTATATATATTATATATATAACTATATTTTATAATATATATATATATATAACTATCTTTTTACAATAATAATATATATATATTATATCATTATATATATATAACTATATTTCATGTAATATAATATATATATATATAACTATATTATATAATATATATATATAATACATATATATATTATATATATATATTATGGGTTTCGCGGAAAATGGGGCACCCCAATTCCATTGGAAAATCATCTCCTATTGAAATACCCTGAAATTCCACGGGTGCTCAGCTCGCCTGCGGGCTTTCAGCCATCGCCTTGGAAACTCTGCACCGTGAAGAACGGTGGTTATTTAACCATCAAACATGGTAAAACATAGCGATTCCTGTATCATTTCAATAGGGATTTGACATGATTTAACTGCTTAACCAGTAAAGAATGGAAAATTCGTCTGAAAACCGGGGAATCCTCCTCAATAGATTGCAATTTTCACGCGGAAAATGGGGTGTTAACCAATGTTAACCATCAAAGTGTGATTGTCGTGTTCACATCGTTCATTTTCAGGTACCTAACCCATCAGCTCACCACTTGGAACAAATAAACAACAGGTGTTGCAAAAGTCAGCTGCAACATGTCCAGAATTTTGAAGACATCTAGCAGATGTCACATCAAGCCGGACAAAATGTGAACATGCTTGGAACATTTAGGCAGCTTTCTTTTGATCATATCTGCAATACAAACCTACACATTCCCATGTTTTCCGATGTGCATGATGAATTCCCATCCTTTCGGCCTAGGAAGGCTATCATCGGAAGATCATCCTTGATCCAAATCCCCAAATTTCGTCGTGAAATCCTACGAAAGTCCTTGGTAGAGAAAGATCCACCATAGAATTTGTGTGATTTTTCCCATGAAAAATGGTGATGTTTCCAGTTTCCATGAGTTTTTTGTATGTTTACCAGAGGGGATGAATGGATACCACCATAGATACACCATAGATATCATGGTGAATTCAATGAATTCGAATTAAACCTTACCATGTTTCATGCGAATCAACCACTATGTTTCTTCTAGTTGTGATGGCCCAGCATGTGAAACATGTAATTTTTCCTGGTGAAAAATCTGCATGACAGTCATGCTTAAACCGTCATGAAAATTATCCTTCATTGACTGGATAAACATGGATAAACATGGATAAACATGGATAAACATGGATAAACATGGGATAAACATGGATAAACATGGATAAACATGGGATAAACATGGATAAACATGGGATAAACATGGGATAAACATGGATAAACATGGATAAACATGGGAAAAACATGGATAAACATGGGATAAACATGGGATAAACGTGGGATAAACATGGGATAAACATGGGATAAACATGGATAAACATGGGATAAACATGGGATAAACATGGATAAACATGGATAAACATGGATAAACATGGATAAACATGGATAAACATGGGATAAACATGGGATAAACATGGGATAAACATGGGATAAACATGGGATAAACATGGATAAACATGGATAAACATGGATAAACATGGATAAACATGGATAAACATGGATAAACATGGGATAAACATGGGATAAACATGGATAAACATGGATAAACATGGATAAACATGGATAAACATGGATAAACATGGATAAACATGGATAAACATGGATAAACATGGATAAACATGGGATAAACATGGATAAACCACCAATTCTCATCATTTTCATCGGTGAACTCTGCATCGGCATCGGCCAAGCAGCTCTTGCCACCATGGCCTGTGCGCCTTCGGCACCGGAACCATCAGCCTGGCTCGAGGCAAGGGCAAGGTTTCACCATGAAAAGATGGAGATTTGGATGGTTTAAGTCTATCAAAACTCTTCTGAAGAATGGTAAATCATCAGAAATATTTAATGTTTAATCTTCTGAGAATATTGATAGTTAAACCCCATTGATAGTTCAACACCAATTAGCGTTTGGAGATTTAATCATCAGAAAGAATTACTAAAATTGGGGTTTTAACTATCAATATTCTCAGAAACGCTGGTTTAAAGCATGAAGAAATGGTGGATCTATTCGAATGGGACCATCATATTTTTGTGATGAAGAAGTTGATGGTGAAACCGCCCATCAAACATATTCGATCATATTGGGATTATAATGGTATATTATATAATAATCGTATCCCAATATATACAATATAATGGTGTATACAATATCATGGTATATACAATTATCAAAAATGTATTTCGTATAATTGTATATATATAATTGGGATCACATAGATAATGAAAAATGTTCATGAAACATAGGGGTTTGACCATCAAACATGTGCAATTAAGTGGCGAAGATTGCGGTTGAAAGGGAACAATGTGGGTTTACTAACACTTGTGATGGGTTTACTACTGTTTCAAGACAAAAAAACATGAAGAATTGGGGATTGAACAGACGAAAACTCAGGCTTAACTAACAAAATTGAGATTTGACACCATCAAAGGGGGGGGACTGCTGCAACCACTGTTGAGCAGCGAAAATTGCATTGAATGCAAGAGTTTAAGTGAGAAACTTTGGAGTACTGACAACTTTTGGAACCCTGTACATCATGGGTTTCCTTTCAATCTTTGCTCCATTATGCTTGCTGGATTTGCCTTAGGGCCCCCTTAAAATTCGCCTGGATTCCCCGAAGCCAGGTTTTGGTCTGCGGCAACCCACTGATGGTGGTCCAACCTCGAAAATTACCCTCTGGTAATTCCTAATGTAACATAGCTGCATTGCTTCAAAAAATAAAAGATTGTTGTTAAAGGAAATGCTGCTTACAGGTTACAATCTGCCTTGAAGACAAGATATTCCCCTAAATAAAAAACAGTATCCTTGCAAGAAAACTACAATGTGTGGAAAGATGCAATACATCCTTTAATGAAGCTCATCCTTCCTCTCATTTGTCTTGTATGACAATTTTTTTGGGAAAGATTCAACTTCTTCAAACTAATTGCCGTGAAGACAAGGTATTCCCTTAATAAGAAGCAGCATTCTTGCAGAAAAATACAAGATGTGGAAAGATGCAATACATCCTGCAATAAAGCTCAGCCTTCCTCTCATTTTTCCGTATGACATGTGATTTTAAGGAAAGACTTGACATATGGAAGGGCATATTGCACACATACAATCATGACCTGTTTCTCTCAAAAAATACTACATACACCCAAGGGTTCTACTTCATAGTATTGCGTTTCTTCGTATGCAATTGTGTTTCAATCAAGTGGTTCACTCCCTTGTGAAGGAAGCTTTGCACATACTTGCACCAACACGTTCGTTAAGGAATGCCATAATTGTTGTCTAAAATGGGTACTCAAAGGATTCCTTTCCCAAGGAGCACTACACCCTCTATTTTCCAGAAATGTATTACTCTTCTTAATGAAATATAAAAGTGGTGCTACCCTTCTATTCTATTTGCAGATATAAAGGTGTGCATTGCATTCTATTTTGCGCATTGCATTCTATGTTGCTTTGTGCATTGCATTCTATGTGCATTTTATTTTTGTACCAGCGTCACATACGATATATGACTTGAAGTTATGCTCAAATAAAAATGTTTAAAAAAGCGACGTCCGAAATCATTCCCTAGCCATATATACATATATATATATATACGTATTATATAAACCCAACAAACACAAATATATTACCCTCTAGTTATTTAATATAGCCATGGAAGCCATGGCCCATTTCTGAATTATTTTCCCAGCTACAAACCTCCATTTACAAGGGTTTTTCCAGTTTGCTATGTTAAACAACCAGATGTTAACAACTATACAGCAGTATATAGATCTTTTTTCAGTCCATATTAAGATATTAATTTCGTCCCATTACATAACCCATGAATGAAGTTCCTACAACGTTGATGGTTTAATGACTATATTATACAGCAACATCAACATTAATCTGGGTAAATTATAATATTTCACCCACCTGAATAGTTCGGCCCATTTGGGGATGATTCCCCCTAAATAAACCATGATTTCCAGTGAGGGAGAACAGTGAGGTCGTGATCAAACTTACCCAGATATATCATATATTATCCATAGATTCACCATTATTAATCATAGATTCACCATAGATTCACCATAGATTCACCATAGATTCACCAGAGGGTAATGTTTCCAACATTCAATCGTTGAAGCCATTGGAAAAGGCTGCTCTTTTATGCCATAGGCCCAGAGAGGAAGCTCGGAAGCTCCGCCTTCGCCAACTCCACGGCGTTTTTCAGCTCGATGCAACGTTGCCTCGGCGTCTTTTTAAATGGGGGGAAATCATTAGCCCTAAGGATCCATGGTGCTGGAATATTTACCTACATTGACCCCTAAAGTAATTTAAAATAATCCCAATGTAGGTAAATATTCCATACATGGATCCTATGGGATTAGTGAAATCACAAAAAAATCGAATTCAACACTTGTGGTTTAAAAGTTTTGTTGAAGCTGTTCTGAACCGATATTTTGGGGGATTCCGAAAAAGAAGAAACCATGTGAATACTAACATTCATCAACATATATATATATATGTAATTACGTATAGTAAGTTAACACATCACATACAACACTTAAAATAGTGTAAAACATATTACTGCATAAAATTGATCATGACTATTTCTATGAATAAATATGGCTTGCCAATCATGGCAGTCAACATCCAGCAGTTTCCAGCCACAGCAAAATCCACTGGCTTGGTGTTCCCTGCCGGGGGGATCTGGGAACCACAAAAAATGACCTGAATGTGAATGGGATATCATGGCCAATCAAAACATCCCATTGATACCAAAAGACCAAAAAGCGGATGAGTTTCTACCCATCCAGTCGCTTGACCTTATTTTCTTCGCAGTCTCTGACCTCCCTTGGAAATTGTTTGGCCATACGGACACGTTGCGTAAACCCTGGGTTTTTATGGCCGGATGTTCACCCCCTAAGAATTGCAAAAAGAGATTCATGCATAGACAAAGGGTGTGCATCCCCCGAAAGAAAAGTTGCAGATGGGTTATATCATAATATATATATATAAAAGTTACAGATCCATGTCTTGGTTGTACACTTTGGAGGTTTCCTAAAATGGGGGGGGGGCAAATCATCCATTTTAAAAGAATTGTCCACTATAAACCATCCAGCTATTGGGGTACCCCCATTTATGGAAGCCCCCGTACAGTATATGGATCATACACCTTTTACCAAGTGGGATGCACATCCAGGTACCCTCTGGTAAACTAACATAACTATGGAAAATCACCATTTCCAATGGGTAAATCCACTATAAATGGCCATTTTCAATAGCTATGTTAGTTTACCAGAGGGTAGCCAAATTGAAGAGAAGCAGTGTCAATCTACCACAGCCACCATCCGCCATGAACCCACAATGTTTTCACTCAGGCTTCGGCGCAGCCAATTCCACAAGTTTGCGGGTTTCCGCAATGTCCTTGTCTGGTGGTTTTTCTCCCCAGAAAAATAGGGAAAAAGATGAGGATCATTATCCCATGTTGTGGCTTGAAACAAGTTGTATTATGTATATATATGTACAGTATATATATGGAGATTTCCTGAAATAGGGGTACCCCCAAATCATCAATCTTAATGGTATTTCAATTATCAATCATCCAGCGGTGGGTACCCCACCATTTCTGGAAACCATGGTTCCCCCCCCCCGCTGTGGCCTGTGGTGGTGGGGTGTTTGGGATGTTGGTGATGGCTGGTATGTATGTTATGTTATGTTATGTTATGTTATGTTATGTATGTATGTGTATGTGTGTGTGGTGGGGGTGTGGTACTGTCGGGGGGTTGGAACACGGAACATGTATGTATATATATATATATGTATGTATATGTATATGTATGTATATGTATATGTATATGTATATGTATATATATATATGTAATTATATAAATATATATGTATGTATATATATATATGTAAATATATAAATATATATGTATGTATATATATGTATATATATATATATGTATATATATATATGTACATATTATATATATATATATTTATATGTATATATATATGCATATATATATATGCATGTATATATATATATATATGCATATATATGCATATGTATATATATATATGCATATATATGCATATATATATATGTATATATATATATGTGCATATGTATATATATATATATATATGTAGCAACTAGGAAGTAGATACATAGCACATGTATATATGACTATAGGTAGCATGTAGGTACTTTGAGCCAGTAGTGCTATGTAGGTCGTCAGAAATGCTGCCAATCTGGGTAAAGGCCATAATATTTCACTAACCTGAATAGTTCGGCCATTTGGGGATGATTCCCCTTATTAACCATCATTCCAGTGAGGTCGCAGTGAGGTCGTTATAATTTTCCCATATATGTATATATATATATATATGATCTTAATCATAATGTATACTTGGTGGCTCATCCCACTTAGTTCACCCCAATTATAAGTGGATTAACCCTACAAAAATCCCATGTAAATCACTGGGGTTATAACCCACTAAGTGGGTAGTTCGCCACCAAGTACATATATACAATTAGAATCAACTATATGGCAGTGTGTCAAAACCAATAGTACCCCTGTAGTTCACATCAAAATAGCTGGGATTTATGGATGTGAATAACCCCCTAAAAATGGTATTTTCATAGGTATTGATCCATACCCTCTGGTGAACTAACATAGCAATGGAAAATCACCATTCTTAATGGGAAAATCCACTATAAATAGCCATTTTCCATTGCTATGTTAGTTCACCAGAGGGTACCCATATACAGAGGTGATGTTTCAACACCAAGGATCACTCACCACGTCATTCCCCCCGCGTCTCAGCCGTCATAACGCCAGGCCTGCGACGTCTCATCGTCCACGGTCCACTGGGTCCATTGATCCGCTTTCGAGGCCATGGCGATGGAGCAGTGGTGCGGCCGATGATTCCCCAGTGGGTTCGGTGCTTTATCCCATGAAAAATGGAGAAAAATGGTGATTTTCCATAGGAAAAATGGTGATTTTCCATAGAAATAGTGGATTTTCCCATGAAAAATTGTGATTTTCCATAGAAATAGTGGATTTTTCCCATGAAAAATTGTGATTTTCCATAGAAATAGTGGATTTTTCCCAGTAAAAATGGTGATTGTCCATAGGAAAATGATGTAATTTATGTCAGTTTACCAGAAAATAATCCAGTTATATGAAATATACTAATTTTGGTGGTTTCAAACCCTACCCCTCTGAAAAATGATGGAGTGAAAGTCAGTTGGGATGATGACATTCCCAATATATGGAAGAATAAAAGTCATGTTCCAAACCATCAACCAGCTGTAATGTGTGTTTTTAGTTTTTGTTGGGTTGCTGTGGAATTTTGTTGGGTTGAAGTGGATATGATCAAACTTGTGGGCAGTTTTACCACACTATGTAACGGTTCTTATGCTGATCGGGTATGTCACCAACCACATGGGTGCCTAGCGAAAACTGGCATTTGTGTCTGTCCAGTTGCGAAAATAATGTGAACTAATGATATATCTATCCATAACATTCAACATATTTAAAAAAAAAAACACAATTATGAAATACTACAAGTGAGTGAGTGGAACCATCCAAGATAAATGTGTTCGACTTTAGCATGCTTCCGTCCTCAACTTGATGGCCTGTTTCTGCTTATGGCATCACGGCCGAAGCTTTTCAGTGCTTTGGAAAGGGGCCATGGTGAAAGTCGCCTGAGACATCGATGAAAAATTTCGTGAAATATTGGTGTGTTTCCCCAAAAGAATTGATGAACAATGAATCAAATGTCAAACGTTGCTCAAGAAACAAACGGCAGATAGTTTTTGGATTTCAGATGATTTCAGCAATTAAAGAAAGACTGACTTCGAAGTTCCCGGCCTCTGCGGTCTCTTCAGGCTCCTCCGGCCTTGCAAAGCTGATGTTTAAGGCCCCATTGATTATCCCTGGGATGCAGGCTCCGCTGAAGCCGATCCTCATGTTCGGGATTCGACTCCCGGCCGTGACTTTGGTCCCATTTATTTGAACCGGTTGCTTGCGGCACAGCATGACAACGATCAAATGCCAAAGCCAAATCTCTCTCTTTCCAGAGGATTCTTAGTAAGTCTTAGCCATATCCTGGAGTCGAAAATCTGCAATTTCATCAGCAAGATATGTAGGATTCGTTCCAGAAGATCCGACATATCCTCCCGTGAAAAATCATAAAAATCGAGCATGGGCTTGTCTTAATCTAAAGCCAGAGAGATACTCGAAATCTCATGGATGGCCGCCTTGGTTGTTCCATTTCCATTGCTTGATTCCAATTGTTCACCAGTTTTCATAGCAGAAAATTCACATGAAAAATGACCCAATTATATATCCTATTCCCATCTTTGCCAATTGCTTTTCACCTGAATTCTTGCTTCTCAAATTCTCTGCAAAATCACATCACTCTCATTTCAAGCCATGGTTTTTGCCATGGTTTTTGCTGTTTCAACCATCATTTTCCATCATATTTCCGTCATATTTCCGTCATATTTCCATCATTTTTCCCTGTCCACACCACGGTTCCGGCGCTGTTCGAAATCCCTGCCTCGAAGGCGTCGGCGCCGCCCCGAGATTCGGCTCGGGCGAAAGCGTCGAAAGCGTCGAAAGCGTTGTTTTCGCCCTGCGCTGTTCATCAAAACGAGGGATGTTAATCGAAAAAAAAAGGATATGACCAATACTGTCCTTTTGGTAAAAATAGAAGGGCCGGTTTGGTATACCATCTATCATCAACCAACCAATGGGAAAAGGACATCTATGGATATGATATATTACCATAGGGTATATTACCATGTTTTCGATTAAAATATATGGGATATTACCATATATGGGAATGGGAATGGGAATATTACCATATTATTACTTGGTGGCTCATCCCACGAATCGTAAGTGGCTTAGTTCACCCCAATAATAAGTGGATTAACCCGCTCCTTATCCCATGTAAATCACTGGGGTTATAACCCACTTACTAAGTGAGATGAGCCACCAAGTACCATATATGGGAATGGGAATATTACCATATATGGGATACCATATACTATGGATTACTATGGTATATCTAAAAAGACCAATTTAGGCTAATATGTGTTTTTTTTATGGTAACCATATTTATGATAACTCTTTAGTATAATTCAATGTTGAGATATAATGGTTATGGTATATAGCATCTCATGGGATATTATGACATGGTTACAGTAATATTTTATCAGACAATGGGATAGCAAACCAATATACTATGGATCTATAACTAGAGATTTTATTAGAAAAAATGGGATATCAAACCATATATATTATATCTAAAAGACCAATTTAGGATAATATGTTATTTTTTATGTGACCCATATTTATGATAACTCTTTAGTATAATTCAATGTTGATATAATGGTTATGGTATATATAGGATATCATAGGATATCATGGGATATCATGATATAGTTGATATTACTAGGATATATTATACCCATCACTAGTAATCCCATTGTATTAGAATATTGATAGGACATTGCTAGGGATAATAGCATGGGATAATGTCATCAGACTAAGAATGGTGATATTACTAGGATATCATTGGATATAATGGGATATGGTTTCATCCTGAGATTATGAAATTATGATATGATAAAATGAAACAGTCTTGCCAGTCGAATTTTTATGTGAGGTTGATGATTCCGCATTAATCATCAAACTAGGAAATTCAATAGAATATAATGGTGATATGAATAGGATTAATAATCATGGGATATAATAGGATTCAATGGGAATAATGGGATTTACTGTAATGGGATTTAATGGGATTTTATGGGAATAACTATCTACCCATAGGATCCATGTATGCTATATATGGTAACATTTACCATCAATATACCCCCAATGTTAGTATATATACCATACATGGATCCTATTGGATAGTTATATACTAGGATATAATGGGATCTAATGGGTTTTACCCTGACATAAGCATAGATAAATAATGACAAATGTCTGGAAAACCCATGGGGAAAGCCTGGGAAAATGATCCAAAAATTCATGGTGGGTAAACTCCACATCGATGTTGCAGGAGGGCGACCATCAAACTAGGGATTTAATGGGAATATAACGGATACCCTCTGGTAAACTAACAGTTTGCTATTGAAAATGGCCAAGTTAGTTCGTGGATTTACCCATTAAAAATGGTGATGTTCTATGGTTATGTTAGTTTACCAGAGGGTATACTAATATAAATATAGAACGGGATATAGAATGATATAGAGATTTTCTTGGGCTTCTTGGATTTGTCTTAAACCACGATAATAAAGTTGGGATTTCATCATCAACATAGCCAGCAAAAATGCGATATTTTCCATGGGATATTTAGGGCTGGGGAGGCGAAGTTTCCACTCAACAATGGCCATGTTTTTTGGGTCAAGAAGTTAATTTATTGAAATTGGAGAGTAGCTATTCTTCAACGGATATTCAAATGTATCAAAAGAAAACATACAGTAGTTCTTCAAAACAGATTCACTGACCTTTGTTTAAAACAATTACTGTAATTATATACAACTATCAATGATTTTCGACTAAAGATTAATTCCCGTCATGAGCCAACGATGATCGCAACAAGTCTGAGCCATCCATAGCCATGATGGCGGGATGGTAACGTGTTGTGTAACAACAATATGAGGGTTTCCTAAAATAGGGCTACCTCTGAATCATCCCTTTCAATAGGATTTTCCATGAAATAAACCATGTATCTGGGTAAAGGCCATAATATTTCACGTTCACCTGAATAGTAAGGCCATGAAAGGGGATGATTTCCCTGTAAAAACCCATGGATTCCAGGGTTCGGGAGAACTCACTAGTGAAGTGAGGTCATTATAATTTACCCAGAGTTATATCATATACTATCCATAGATTCACCATTATTAACCATTATTAACCATCATTAACCATAGATTTACCATAGATTCACCATAGATGTATTCTTTGGTACCCCCATTTTACAAACCAACCAGCTTTGCCCATGGCAGTGTCGAGGTCGTGCTGGGAGGCTAGACGTCTGCTATCTTCACCATTTCTTCGGTGCTTGAACGGTTGGATTTCGAAAATTCATGATTCAATTCAGCTTCAACAAAATCTACCATCTGGTTATGACTAACATAGCCATGGAAAATCACCATGCTATTAATAGGTAAGCCATCTATTTCTATGGGCCATTTCCCATGGCTATGTTAAATAACCAGAGGGTAGAAACCATTGGAACCCATGAAAACTCATAAAATCCACATTCAGGTTTCAACAAAAATCATAAAAAAATCTAGAAACCCATGGTTTCTCCATCAACACAATGGTTTACCTATGATTTAAGTCACCACCGTTCAGAATTTGGGATGCACCCTGCACCCACCTCGCAGGCGAAGCCGAAGCTTCCGCTGACCTGGAATCAACATCTGCAGTGGTTTCTATCCAATGCTTACTACCCTACAGTAAATTAAGATAGACCCTGGCAGTTGTTGGGCTTGGAAGATTAGTTTCAACTAAACAATGACTATTTTCAGGGTCAACAAGTTAATTTACCCGAGGGTATATCTTACTATAAATCAATGGCCATAGCACTAGAACCCAAAAACTGGAGCTACCTACCATATATATATATATACATACTTGGTGGCGCATCCCACTTAGTAAGTGGGTTATAACCCTAGTTATAAATGGGATAAGTAGGGTTAATCCACTGATAATTGGGGTTGTACTTACTAAGTGGGATAAGCCACCAAGAATATCGATATATCAGGCCTTTTTGCCAGATAATCAACGATTTTCAAATTTTGTGTCCTTGGGATACGAGATGATCAACTATTATAGATCATTGTTATTCAAGATCATGGATGATAACCAATGGGTTACTCTCAGGCCTTTTTCACGGATGATCAACTATTATGTAAATGTAACTAATTGGGATGCCTATTGTTACAATAATTACATAATAGTTGATAAAGATCAATATGCATCCCAATAGATCACCATGTTGTTGGGATGCATATTGAGATTAACCATTGGTTATCATGCAATTCTTATTCATTCAAGATAAAGGATGATAACTAATGGTTAATCTTCGGAATATCATTGGGATACAATGGGGTTATGGGATTGATGGGATGAATCATCTATGATCATGGGACATCATCTATGTTCATGGGATTGTTCATGAGATTCATGATAGTGGGATAATAAATGATGTGCATATAGTATCAGAATGTATCAGATGTCACCCCCAATTGTGTCCTCAAACATGGCTGGCTGGGTTTCTATCCCTGAACTAACCATGGAGTTTTAGTTCATGGGTGATTTTCCAGCAAGCCATGTGGCTGAGTAGAGGCGATTTTTTCCCCCTAGGACATGATCCATTACTATGCGGTTGGGTTTTTCTTGGGTTTTCTATATTATTCTTAATCTATTTATATATATATATATGGGTAGATTACAAAATTTCACTAACCTGAAAATAAGGCCATTTGGGGATGATTTCCCTTACTAACCATGATTCCAGTGAGGTCGTTACCCAGATCTATATATATATATTGACTGTTTATTCGCTGGAGGGCATTAGGCCAAGATCAAATAGCAAATTCATATCAAATTGTGTACTGCTGTGCACACTCGTATCAACCTTTACACCCACCTCAATGTCGAAGAAGAACTGATCTCATTCACCCTGCCCATGTGGCGCACTGTGCTGCAAACGATGTTTTGTAAAGGGATGTGCTATGCAATGAGACTGGGATATGAGCACTTCGAAATCTTGGATTTCTATGGGTAGATCACTTGTAAGTCACCAACAAGTCACCAACTGCAAAGTTCGGTCATTTTCCAACAAGATACCCCAATAAATTCCTACCATTCCAGCGATGTCGCAGTAAAGTGGATATCAATAATGTCCTTTTGATAAAAATAAAAGGGCCGGTTTGGTATACCATCTATCATCATTTACCTGTTAAAGGGGGTTTCTTCAAACCCCTCTATTAATCAACCAACCAATGGGAAAAGGACATCTATGGTGGATATAATCTATGACTTTACTGCAAATGGCAGTGAGAATCACTACGCTCTCCGACCCATGCCAAGGGTCTCGCTGCGCCCAACTTTTCATCATGTCCGAAAATCAAATGGAAAATCATGGAAAGTCCCGTATACAGTGGTTGATGAAGAACGGTATACCGTATTCCTAGCGAATTGTGACAAAACCAACATGTGGTAGTAAAACAAAGTAAAGTTCCTATCATATCAACCAATGACACCAGGGTCATTGAAACTGCTCAACTGTCATAGAAGCTTGAGGGCTATCCCTTGATACTGCTTGGTTGAGAAGGAGATTCCCCTACAGTAACTAATGGATTGTGGTCATCCCCAATTAATCTTGGTGAGTATAACCCTCGCACTAATCATCAACCAACGGAGATTTAGCAACCACCTCTCAAGCACATCCAAAATCACAGCGTTGGTAGTAAACTATCATTAGCATTACATATATATGCATGTATGTATATATGTATATACGTATATACGTATATATGTATATATGTACAAATGTATAAATGTATATATGTATATATGTATATATGTATATATGTATATATGTATATATGGATATATGTATGTATATATATATGTATATATGTATATATGTTATGTATACACTGTATGTTCCCATTATATGTATATATGTTGTGTTTGATTTGAAATATGTTCATCTTTTTTCACTTCATATCACTTCACCTCCAAAAGAAATAAGACCAAAGGACACCGGCGCCGGGAGCAACTCCTGGCGTCCTGCCTCGCAGCTTCCGCTGGAGCAGCTTCGGCTTCCGTGGCAGGCTCAGCCGACCTGAGGCGATATCCTGAAGGAAGCAAATATGCCAGCACAATCTAGATATCTAGAATATGTGTATATATATATATACCTATATATATATATACCTACATATATATATATATACCTATATATATAATATGTATATATATATACCTATATATATAATATGTATATATATATACCTACATATCTATATATATATATACATAAATAGATATGTAGATATTATATATATATACATACATACAATTCAATCATAGAATGTGTATATATATATATATCAACTACAGAATATTTGATATTAAGTATCTACATATATATCTGTATACATAAAACAGCAATTACCATGTTCTGTAGACACATATACATCATATATTATATATTGCATCCGTTTGAATACCAATTGTAACAAAATGCTGCGCATACACGGCATGTCGAGTTTACGTTTTTCTCGGTTTTTCATCAAGTCGTATACTCACTGACTGGTGCCATGGCCCGCACCTCAATGTCGAATAAGAACTGGTTCCATTTACCCTGGGCATGTGCGGCGGAAAGTGGTTCTTGGATGATGCATTGCGCTGCGCATATGCGAGGACACAGGGACAAAAAAGGGACTTGACTATGGTCAATGATTTTTGGAGCCAGGCAGACCAGCAAGCGCATTGAAAAAAGATCAGCGACAAACCGCAGATATCGCAGATGTAGCTAAAAGAAAGATAGATATACAAGGGCGGGGTATGCAGGGATAACTTCCTTGAACAACGGTTGTACCAGCAACAACTTGAAAGAGCTCACCATGGTGATCTTGGTGCGCTGCCAGAATACTTCAGCCAGCAACCCCAATCAAAGCTAGAAAAAATTGGAAAGCTTCACCCATTTAAGTCGTATTTCTTTCATCATCTTTTGCCAAATATATGTTATATATATATAATTATATAGGTTATTCCATGGTTCCATGTATAAATAAGTGGATGGTGTAGTCACCAACATTTGAATTTTATGTAGGATAAGTATTAATAAGTATTCCAGCACCGTGAAAAATATGGCTACATACATAGAAATGTATACATGTATACTCTATAGCAACTCCACAAGAGATTGGAAGTCAAATCCAATTCCGATTCGTGATAATAATCCAACATAATTGAACATTGTCTGAATCTTTCAACTTGGGGCAACTAACATCTGGTTGGTGGTTGACCTAGCCCTCTGAAAAATATGAGTTCGTCAGTTGGGATGATGACATTCCCAACTGAATGGAAAAAACAAAGCCATTTCCAAACCACCAACCAGTATATAGATCTATTAAGTCCATATTAGGATATATTAAGTCCCATTAACCCATATTAAGTCCCTATTGTTGATGGTTTAATGACTATGAACGTACCAGATATTCACTATAGATTCCCCAGTCATGGTGGATGTTCCATTGGGAAAATAAGCCAAATCACCTTAAACAAACTCATTGTATCATGACGTTTCCGCAACGAACGCCCGCCACGGTAACCGGACGCGGGCGCGGTTCCAGGACGTTGAGCGCCCGCCTGGCATTGTGCCATGGCGCCATCCGAACAAAAAAAGGGCCTGAAAATGGGACATTAGCCACCAAAAATGGTGAACATGTGAGATTGAACCATGAAATTCTATGACAAGTTGAAGTTTAGCCATGACATATAAGAAATCAACGATCAAACACCTTGAACATTTGCATGAACAAATTGTGATTTATGCACTGAAAAATGGTATTCGGATTTGCGACCATGGGAGATACATGGTCAAAAAACCCTCAAATTGCCAGTGGATAGGGTAGGAAAATCATGACCAACAAATTTTGGGATACCCTATGTTCAACCAAAATTATACGTGGGAGGTGGGTTCTACAGGCATCAAACCGATTTTCGTGTTCAACTCCAAAGCTAGGATTTGCTTCTTTAATTTCTGTTCATGTTCAGATTTCTCCGTATAGTAAAAAAGAAAAATATGTTTCCAAACACTGATTTAGAACACGAGAATCATTTTTCTAGCTGATGATCCATGAGTTTCATGCCATGAAGAAACAACATGAAACAACCATTCCCGTTAATGCTCCATGGTGCTGGTATATGCACACCTACAAAAATTACAAAACTGGGTGATTTTCTTCGGGCACATGTTGGTAAATATTCCAGCACCACGGAGAATACAAGGTGGTGCCCAGTTCGGAATCGCTAAGTTGGGGGCCACATAACTCCAATAACTCACTATGGTTTATGGTAGATATATCGAACTACTTTCTATGGTTTATAAACCAACTCAACTTACATAACTATGGTTATGGTAGGTAGATACACCTATACTATTCCTATGGTTTATAAATCAACGTTCACATCTGCCTGGGGGGGCACCCCTTAACGTTGGTCAAGTCCTCGAAATCCCCCGCTCAATCCGACCGCTGAGCATCCCAGGAATACAATTAAATGGTTTATAACTTGTATATAACCCATATTTAAGCCATACAGAAATATTATATATATATATACCAGCATCTTCGAAGTGACCTTGTTTAGAGGTCACTTAACATCAAACTGAATTGAGGTCACTTACAGATGCCATATATGTAAGTCTAACTATAGTATATACTGCAATTATATATATATAATATGGCGGTTGTTCTAAGTTATTTTATCTGCAAACGGCCATTCTTGGCGAATAAACACAATTACTTTCACGACTCTTTCGCGACCCCCACGTTTACCTTTCGCGGGGGTCTCATGTTAAAACCTTTCGCTGAATCGTTTGCCCAAAAAAAATACTTACGCGAACTCAGAAAAAAAAAAAAACGCGGGGTCTCATGTTGGAACCCTGGCGGCCGCAATTAAAAACCTTGGACCTTTGTTGCACGACTCCCATAGCCAGCTTGGGATGAACCCCCAGGTTTTTCTGGGGTCGCCATAGGTTGCTATGTCATCAACCCAAGCCTTGAACTATGGAAAATCACCATTTTGTAGCTGGGTAAATCATGGTAAATCATGGTAAATCAATGTAAATCAACTATTTCGACTGGGCCATTGCCATTTTCCAGTTCGCAAACTGTTAATTTCCATAGCCACACCAAAAATCTGCACCGATGCCTTGAACGTGACGTCGGATCCGTTGTTTTCTCCGGTGTTTTCTCCATTGACTACGTCTGGCCTCGAGATGGAAAATTCAACACAGCTGGAGGTCAGCGACGCCCAAACGCTAAGCGCTAACCAGGGATTTATAGGGAATTTGTGGGGAATTTATAGGGAAATTATAGGACAGTAAAGAAATTGGTGCAAGATTTTGATTCGACCAAGAAACAACATGCAGCACCCTCTTGCAGACATCTAGAGTTGTTGCGCTACAAGGTTCAAAATGTTCAAAGGACAAGGATCTCATAGTCGGAGTCATAGGCGTAATGTCCATGTCCATCCATGCCCCATGACCATTCTTGCCTTCTGGCTGGAACATTACAGGATGGTGCCCCACAGTTAAGTTATAAGTTGATATAAGTTGGTGAAAAAAAACAGTTAGGTTATAAGCTGGTTTATACAGTATCATACACTGTTGTTATTATAGTTACCCTCTGGTAAACGTTAACATAACTATGGAAAATCACCATTTTTCATGGTTAAATCATGGTAAATCAACTATTTCCATGGCCATTTTCAATAGCTTTTTGTATGTTTACCAGAGGCTATGGTGAAATGGTGATTGATTGGTGGTTTCCAGCTGGGAAAGTCATCTATAAATGGGCCATTTTCCACGGTAAACAACCACCGGTGCTGCGCCTCTTCGGCTCGAAGTGCAGGGGAGGTGGATCCACCTCTCCATCCCGAGATATCCCGGGATAGCCCCGACATGTTTCAGGGCCAGTCGGAGAAAATCTCTGGATTTTTTCGCCAATTTCTTTTTTGTCAAATTCATTGGGTTGGTTTAAGGGAAAATCGAAGCCGTAAACCCATGGGTTTTTACCATCAAATAGGGTTTTCCTGTAAATTTTCCCATCATCCAATTCTATGACAAATAGAAAAAAAACAAGTGGCTGCTGGATATTTGTTGCATCCAGCAGATGGCTGCTGGTCCTCAATTTTTAACGTTTTGAAAAGCTATGATTTAATCCGATTGGGATGTCATGTAAGAGTCATGTAGAATCAGGTAAACATCTCTTGGTGGTGGTTTCAACCCCTCTGAGTCAAATGGGATTATTGTTCCCAATATATGGAAAGTCAGAAAATTCCATGGTTCCAAACCACCAACCAGATCTTCCATATGAAGAAACCTCAACACATCACGTCATCCCCATGTCGATTTCTCGACCCTCAACACATCACCACCTCGTTGGCAGCATAGAACAAGAGATCGGCTTGTTGGTCCTGGATGGCCGCTGATTCACTGATCCCTTCACCATGACTTGAAGATTTTAAGCGGACAGAGTTGAAACCCCAACATGTTCACCATGAACAGTTTCAATCACACCTTTCCATTTTGCTAGGGACACCATGGGACACCTGGAAAACATTTACAAGGTTTTACCCTCTGGTAAACGTTTACATAGCCATGGAAAATCACCATTCTTCATGGATAAATCAACGAACTAACTGGGCCATTTTCCATAGCTATATGTTAAATTACCAGAGGGTAATCTTTCCAAATCACCACGAGACCGCGAAAATTCCAAAAGCTTGATGAAACGATCGACCTTCTCCCAATCGATAGATACCGCAGCGGAAAATCCTTGAAGAAAATCCCTGAGGACGTGGGGATGATTATGGAAAAAAAAACCTAAAGAATGGTTGATGTTCATGAGGACTCTTCATAGTCATATATACTTATTGTCAGTTCAACCCCCAGTATATATATATATACATAGTCACATATTGTTGATGCGTTTGGTACTACCATTGCCATCAACCAACCATCATCTATCACTTATATGCCAATTTTTGATGCACCATACATCCGGATATAGTACAATGTGGGGCCACCCATTTATGTTTTGACAGCCTATAACTAGCCTATAACCCCCATTAACTATACGACTATACGTAGTTACGAGATATTACAAGTATCACAAACCATAGGTTCTTGGAGTTTTATCAACCAACTTAGCTATCTGGGGGTCCCCACTTTGTCCGTATAATTCACCGAAGGATTCGGCCTTCTTGGTGACGCCCCACTGTTTGATGACTGAAGGCTAACACAGATCACCTTCTTGGATGCACCGTTTTTTGATTGTGTCAAGACCAACATTTGATGGTTAAATCGTGACTTAAGTATCTTTTTCCCGACTTCAAAAAGCCAAAAAATTGCAGTTTTCTAACATGTTTTCTAACATGTTTTCCCGCTAAAAACCCCTATGTTTTTCATGGCTGAATCTCGAGTTTTCATTGTAGATCCCCTGGGTTCATGGCGTTCCCTGGCGTCCTGCACCGTGGCCCAGGAGCAGGGTGAGACCGAGGCATCATCCATCATGCGCCACCTCAGGCGGTTCGTACTGGAAGCCACATGGCCCATGGCGAAAGTTCGTTGATTTAATGGGATTTACTGGGATTTAATGGGATTTAATGGGATTTAATGAGATTCAATGGGAATAACTATATAGTTATAGTTATATATCATTGCCAATCAGCCAGAGGGCCCCTGCAAAAAATGACAAATTCTGAATGCTGGTGAACGTAGATATTCCCATTAATACCAAAAGATTAAAGGATTAGTTTGTATCCATGTAAGATTGACCTAGCGTTGATTTACTTGATTTACTGAACTTAAAGATGGTGATGTTCCAGTGTTCCAGTTCTCTAACTGTTAGTTTACCAAAGGGTACAATCAATAGTGGGAGTGAGTAAGTAATGGAATTTCGTGAAAACGGAAAATGACCCATTTATAGATGATTTCCCTACAAAGTGGGGCCCAGCATATTGTTACTAGGGTTGATTGGGAAAACGCCAGTAACTATAATATTCATGATACTTATAACAAACTAGTTTTCAATATGTTGTCATGGGATTTATAAACCAACTGAGGGGGCCCACATTGGAGGTAGTATCTATAAATTATAAATCTAAATTCTGTGGCTATAGTTTACCCTCTGATGCGTTAACAGTTTGCTATGTATAACTGTATACCCGAGTGGCCCCATCCTGCAGGATTTCTCTTCATCCTGGAGTAGAATATGGAAATGTCAAACAATCCTCACTAGAACGGGAATATGTTTGAAAAGTCCATTCTTCTATCTACTTCAGGATTACTATACAGATTTTTATCTTTAACTGATTTTGGAAAAATGTATGATTTTCCTAAACATGCTAGCTCTGGAAACGGGTGGTAGGGAAACTTGCTGATTGGAATGTGAACACGGGCCAGAAAAACAACAAGTCACAAAGGACCCGCAAATCATGCCTGGTTTTTTGATACTGACCTTAAAAAATGATATGTTCAGGCTGCTCAGGATGAAACTAGCCATCAAGTTGGTTGACCCAGAAATCAACCATGTCTTGGTCCGGAATCTTGAGCCTCTCCTTGAAAAAGGGTAAATGATAGGGCCAGCAACAGCACCAGGTTGGGCCGGTTCTTCTGAGGTCTGTCTTCTGGGCCCTCATTCGTGAGCAGAACTTAAGTTGTACCTTTGCTGGTAGATTACCACAAAGAGTTTTTACTAGCTAATCATGACCATATAGGGATTCTTAAATACGGCGGGAAAGCATTTGTCAACCAGATTGTACACTGTCAACCCCGGATGAAAGAACCACCTGGGTTGTTTAATTGGGGGGTACCATTTTAATAGCACATGATCAAACGTGGCAATTGAAAATCCCCCTATAAATGGAAGGTTTTAAACGATTTCTGGAGGCTACTCCCCCCGACTCCAATTTTGGGTACTCCCCCGGCCATCAATTCCATCGATCATCGCCTAAGAGTGGCACCGTCCATCAGTTTTCACCTGCCGCGATTCAACATGGCTTAACCCCCATTGATGCAATCTGCACATGTTCAGAGATGCAAACCTTTGCAAAGCGTAATCAAATCTCGAAAAAACAACGTATCAAAGAGCTCCAGGGATGAAAAACAAATTTCCATATTATTTGCCATACTGCCACACATGCTCTGAGATGTTGATTTGAGAAAAACTGTAGAAAACTGTCACTCACAAACTACACACGAGCTGGAACTGACCAAGTTGATCTCACTTGCAACTTGGAGACAAATATATCAAATATCATATAGAAAAAAAAACACCAAAATGATGGTAAATTGTGTTTCTATCTTTTTGGTGGTGCTATACATCGTGAATATTTACGAATATTTGCTGAATGAGCAGGGTTGAAAGATATTGAAAGCGACTTGGAAATAGAATAATTAGCCCTGGGGCATGTGCTAGCGATGCTCACGGATCACCGATATTCACTTATAATGTGAATAAAACAATGCCATTTGCACCATCCCCCAGTCATCACAATTTTTATAGGTGGGATGGTTACCATTCCCATTTCTGGGTGGTAAAAATATGTAAAAATTGCATTGTTTGACCGACATTACGCTAGATTCACTAGATTGTGGCTTGGTGCCCCAGCATCTACTCTCTGGTAAACTAACATAACTATGGAAAATCACCATTGTTAATGGGTAAATCCACTATAAATGGCCATTTTCAATAGCTATGTTAGTTTACCAGAGGGTAGTGTTTTTTTTACCTCATGTTCCCACAAAGAGATGCTAGAAAACAGGATCTCCCACGGTAGACCAACGGTAGAGATTTCCTGAGCTAAACAGGCCGGGAGACATAGGCGATGTAGTGCCCAAAAAAGGTGGAGTTGTTGACATCTTTGTGCACCTCAACGACCATGGAAAACGAGCTAAACATGGAGGTTTAGTTGGCCAGGAAAATCATCGAACAAGACTTCGAATTTTCCCAGTTTTGGGCTTAGCTTGCCTGACATGGCAAAGATCGGGAAACCCAATCTTGGGGATCCCAAAGCTGGTGAAACCACCGTTCCCAAAGTCAGAAAAAATGGAGCATTTTACTGAAGTATGTGGGAAACTATCATTTTTTACACAACTCCTGAAGGATGTGTTTGAAAAAACACTTCCCAGGAAAATATCGTGTTACAGCAATATATCCCCATAAATCCATAATTCAAAATTGCATCATACAGTATCATACATAGTTCATGATATTGGCTAAATATCATGGCGGCTTGCATCATTTGTCGGACAATCCTGTATCCAGTAATATCCAGTATTCACTGGTTAAATGCCACTTATTGATGGTTACCCTCTGGTAATTTGTTACATAGCTATTGAAAATGACCATAGAGATAGTGGATTTTCCCATCAAAAATGGTGGATCTTTCCATAGAGGGTAAATGCCACAACTGTTGATGGTTCAGTCCGTTTTTGGTCCGCGATGATTCGATGCTTAGATCCTGTGAATGTTTACCATTTTGATTCATCCTCAGATCCCTGTTGTAAAAACCACGGTTTGATGCTTAAATCCACCACCAAATTGGATAGTCAAATCATGTTTACCCTCTGGTAAACAGACAAAAAGCTATTGAAAATGGCCATTTATAGTGAGTTTTCCCATCAAAAATGATGATTTTCCATAGCTACGTTAAATTATCATGTGAAAAATCATCTGTGTTTTCACCATGTTTGATGTTTCAATCATCTGAAATCCGGATGTTTTATGATTTTTCGATGGGCAAAAAATGTTCCAAGGCACAACCACTCCGTAGAGACGATACGTCAGGTCACCCCGGGGCCTTTCCTCCTGGCGAAGCAGGTTTTTGACCCAAGGATATGTGCACAGTTATTAACATTATTACAAGGTGGTGCCCCCTAGATAGCTAAGTTGGTTTATAACTCCCATAACTATGGTTTATAAACCAACTTATTAACATTATTAACATGGCAGTGTGTCAAAACCTTGTACCCCTGTAGTTCACATCAAAATAGCTGGGATTTATGGATGTTCATCCCACTAAAAATGTATCTATAGGTATTGACCTAGATAGCTAAGTTGGTTTATAACTCCCATAACTATGGTTTATGGTACTTATAACTATAGTTAGTGGGGTTTATAAACCAACTTATAACTGGGGGGCCCCACATTGTAACATTATGGTTATTAACATTCTGAACCCACTGGGCTACCATTATACTGGTTTCCTATCATCAATGGTCAGGATCCAATTGATGGAGGTACGTAAACGTACCATTTTTCAGGCCGTATTTCCTGGGGATATTCCCGTAAACATTGCCTTGAAAAATAGGCCAAAAATATATGGAATCGGTACCTCCAATCAATCCGTTCCTGAAATGACAGGAAAATATGAGGATATCATTCAATGGGTAAATCCACTATATATGGTCAATGATGATGGTTAATATATGGTTAATATATGGTTAACATATGGTTTATATATGATTAATGATGGTTGATAATATATCTGCTTGGTGGTTGACCTACACCTCTGAAAAATGATGGAGTGAGTTCGTCAGTTGGGATGATGAAATTCCCAACTGAATGGAAAAATAAACCAAATGTTCCAAACCACCAATCAGCAATATATATATATATATATGATTATAGCTGCTATATATAATAGTAGCGGACAAAATTATATGATCAATTTAATGCCATGCACAAATTAGGGTCATTGGTTGTGAGGATTTCAGAATTCCCGGAGAGGGTCGTCCCCTATCAGTTATAAAGGTTTTGTGCAACCTCGGAAAGGCCAAGGCGAAGCAAGACTCAATTAGTATTACAATAATTTTCTTGGTTACTCAAATACATAAATCAATACTTATATATTGATTTTAATTATATTAAATTATACTAACATATGTATATATATACATATGTTTATATACATGTGTATCTAGTACATATGTCTAGAAAGTATGTATATATATATATATTATATTATATTATATTATATTATATTATATATATATTATTATATATATATTATAGTTGTCCTGTAGCTTTTCCCTTGAACTTATGCTGGGAATTTCTGGGATAGGTACCCCACGAAACAAAATTAGGATGTAGCCTGTAGCCATGAAACACATTTGGATTCAGCGTGATTTAGCCATCAAACATGACAATTTAGCCATCAAACATGTGGATTGTAAGCATCAAACAAGTTACAAAATCGCGTGTCAACCTGGAAAAGAACTTCTTTCTTTAGCGGTACTCTATATCTTCCCATTGAGAAAAGAAATAATGCACTGGCTTACTGGCTTACTAAAAAGGGAAGGCAGAAAGCGGGACCCCGGGACGGCCCGGGACCCCCTCATGTTAGATTCTGTAGATCTAATCTCAACATGACCAAAGCGGAGTCATTGCCAATCTTAGATACCCTGCAAAAAATGACAAATTCTTTGCTGGTGAACGTAGATATTCCCATTAATACCAAAAGACTAAAGGATTAGTTTGTATCCATGTAAGATTGACCAAAGCGGAGTTTTGAATCAACTGGCTGAATACCCGTGATGTATCGTTCCTCGTTCGTCCCATCACGTTTTCTTCCCAGAAAGTCCCAGGAAAGTCCCAGCCGCCGTTCCGTGCACGGGAACCCCGGTTCACTCATGATCCAGAATTTCTCCAAGTTCCTAATGTCGCAGGTCAACCAATACCCTCCAGTAAATTAACATAGACCCTGGTAGTTGTCAGGGTTGGAAGATTAGTTTCCTCTAAAAATGGGTGATTTTCAGGGTCAACAAGTTAATTTACCAGAGGGTAGCGGTTAGAAAATCCCAGAATCATATCTGGTGGTTGTTTTAAACCCGATTTCGGCTGCGAGATCATCACCATCTCATTGGTTCACTGATATTCCCACTAGCTATATCATCACCTTAGATGCTGAAAAATCACATCTTAAATCCCGGATATATCATGATATATCCAGTATCACTTTACTTTTCGATGCTTAACAACCATGATATGTATCCCCAGTTAACCCGTTGATGTTGCAATTCGTCCAACTCCAAATCGTTCGGCCTCCACAAAGGGTGACAGATCAAATTGCTGAGGGAATCTCCGGTCGCGACCGTGGCGATGCACCAAGGGTAGGATGAGAGGGGCGCCAGGATGATCACGTCATCAAATACTAAAGAAAAGGGTCAGAATCCATTGGGGTTGACCTACCATTGTGGTTAATATATGGTTAATCTACTGTTAATATATGGTTAATAATGGTTAATATACTAAATAGACTCACAGACTAAGATGATAAACTCATAAACTGGCTCGAAGGGTGCTAAACCCAAATGATACCTCTGAACAGTTCAACAGAATTTGCTCTGGCAAGCTATCAATCGGCTGAAGTCCGTCGCAAGCAAATCATACTCGAAGTATATAAATGTGTGCAGCCTCAACTACTGATGTGACAGCAGCTTCAGCTTGAAAAATTCCGAATCATCGGAATTTGTAAAAAGAAGTAGTTGAATAATTGAATCCAAATTTACAATCTGATCATGTCTGATCCCTCAATTTGCATTGGCCTTCCAACATGTTCACCGGGACTCCCGACTCCACATGGCGTTTGATCTTACCGAAGCGATTGGTGTCCTTCTGTCGGGAGATGTAAACCACCAAGATGTTGGGCGGGTTTTTGATGTGGCTGCTCCGTTCACAGCCAAGCCTGCGAAAAAAAAGAACCAACGGCCGATGGCTGGAGGTTTAGTTCGTTGAAAAAAAACATTGCCAGGTTCAGTTATAGTTATAATGGCAGTTATTAGCAGGTTATAGTTGTAATGCCTACTTATCCATGGTTATAGTTCTTCTACTTATTAATCTGGTTGGTGGTTTCAACCCCTCTGAAAAATATTAGTCAGTTGGGATTATTATTCCCAATATGGAAAAATAAAAAATGTTTCAAACCACCAACCAGTAATGGATATTTTCACCATGAATAACAGTACTTACCCTCCGGCGTCCTCAAACATGGCATGCCTTCGGGAAAATCACCGAACTGTGGCCGAGCCATTTTCCAGCAAGCGTTGAAGGCTGCAGGAAAAGAGATTCATTCTTAGCCATGTTTGATCAGTAAATCATCAACCATCATTAACCATTTTTTAACCATGAAATCACATTATTAACCATTTAATCAACCATTACTCATCAGTACTAATCATGATTAACCATTATTGATCAGTATTAATCAGTATCAATCATCCTTAGCCAGTATTAACATTCATCACTACAGGAGCAGGATGAAACCGAAACGGAAACTAACTCACTCTTTTACGGCCACTATTATTTATCAGTACTAACCTTTATTAACCATTATTAACCATTATGACAACCATTATTAACCATGAAATCAACCATTCTTAACCATTTAATCAACCACTATTAACAATTTAATCAACCATTACTCATCAGTACTAATTATGACAACCATTATTAACCATTACTAACCATTACTAACCACCATTCTCAACACCAAAATCAATACGAAAATCACTATACGGAAAAAAGGCCACCTGGAGTTGCATTTTTCGCACTTGTAGCCATCAATCTCCTCCACCCTGGCGACGAAAGGCAGCTTGTGCCCCCCGCAGTGATGTAAACGTTGGTTTATAAACCATAGTAAGTAAAGAGATATATCTACCATAAATCATAGGTATTGAAGTTATGTTCACCAACTTAGCTAACGAACTGGGCACCACTTTGTAGGTTGGTTTACTATGATTTAGTTTACTTACTATAATTATATAATGTTATATTAAATGTACCAGTCATATCTATACAGCTTCAAACATTATAGAAGTGAACAGCGACATGTGTATGTATATATATATGTGTGTGTCTTATAACATATTATATACATTATATTATATTACATTATATCTTTATGGTAATATAGTGTAAATATACTGTATAAATAGGAAAATTCAATGAGTTCCATCATGTTCCACCCATCAATGATCCATCCAACCTTCGTGAAAAATAGGAAACCTGGGAATTCATTGGGGAACAAATGCCAAAAATAAAAAGGTGTTCACAACATGTTTTTAGGTGCATTCCCTTCATTTTTGGGATGGAGTCGGCTAAAATATCGGTTTCACCCACAGGATCGAGCAAGGGGATGCTGCTGGCGAAATCGCCAACGACCTGTTCGTCTGGCACCAATCCTTCTTACACATGCTACTCCAACTCCGAAACATAAGTCATGCTGGACTTCAGTTATTTCTATTACCCATTCGTGAAATCCCACTGTTTCATGGTTAAATCCCCATTGATCACTATGTTGGATTGGTAAATTATCACTTGTTCATCATGTTTGATTGTTAAATCATCTTAAAAATCCTCAATTTTCATCAATTCTCCATGATTAAATCATGTTAAATCCCAATAAAACCAGTGAAATCCATGAAATTTCAGCGAGATCGATCCGCCAAAAACGCCTGGTGTAAGCTTCAAAGAGTTCCCGCAGAGTTGTCTCTGGCATCGCCTCAGTACCCCCCTGAAAAACCGGAAAAACTCCGTCGTCAATCTGAAAATCTTTTGGATTTGCTGATTCGGGGTCCCCCAAAAAAAAAAAACATACCCTATGGTAAACGTTTACATAGCGAACTGGAAAATCACCATCTTTAAGAGGAAATCAACTATTTCTATGTGCCATGTTCAATAGCTATGTTAAATTACCGGAGGGTATTCACTATAGATTCCCCAGTCACGGTGGATGTTCCATTGGGAAAATCTACGCAATCACCTGAAACAAACTCATCTTTGGGGGTTTAGTAAATTTCCAACTATATAGACCCTTCCATCTTTTTGGGCCGTTTTTTTGGTGCTAGTATATCTCATCCTAACTAGACCCAAAAAATATGTCTCACATATTTCACACTTGACCCGACAAGCTAGTCCCTTCGGGAAAAAACAAGTCATCAGCAAGGGAAGATGGTGAAGAAGCAACCAAAATCACCCTCTGGTAAACTAACATAACTATGGAAAATCATGGAAAATCACCATTTTGAATGGGTACATCAACTATAAATGACCATTTTCGACAGATATGTTTGTTTACCAGAGGGTATCCAAAAATGCTGGGTTTGGAAAAACAATCCATGTTTTGACCCCACACTAGTTGGCTTTCGTTCCCTCCGCTGGACCCATAAATGTCATTGTACTTCGACCGCTTTCATATCTCTTCTCAGGCCTGCAAAAACACAAAAAAAATACTAAAGTACACATCAACTATACTCCGGTGACATATGACATATGTGACACAGCTTGGAGCACCAACCGAATGCCTGCCAACAAAGGGTCACAATTAAGTACACATCTATACACATCTAGGGTTTGACCAGTTACCATTTGGTTATTTAACATAGCCATGGAAAATCCCTCATAAGAGGTTTCGTTCGCTGGGAAATCATCTATAAATGAGCCATCTATACCATGGCTATGTTAAATGACCAGAGGGTAAATCTCCATTTTCCTATGGTTTTCCTATGGTTTTCCTATGGTTTTCCTATGGTTTTCCCATGGTTTTCCTATACCAAATGGGATCCAACGGATCCAACGGATGTGTTTTTTTCCGACGTTTTCGGTGCCCAAGGAGTTGGATCCCGGGCGGAACTTCTGCGGTTTCCAGCGCCCAAGGACGAGGATCTTCGGTTCCTCTGCATCCGCCACCGGGGACCGATAAACAAAAACTGCACTTGAAATGGGTTAACTGTTTTCATCTATGTCTATTATGAATAAGAAGGTGATTTAAGACGAGTTTCGTGGGGAGTATTTATGTGTATAATATATATATATACAATATATACAGTAATATGATATCATATAATATCATATAACAATATCATATAATAATGTCATATAATAATGTCATATAATAACATCATATAATAATATCATATAATAATATCATATAATCATATCATTAAATAGTATAATATTATATTATATCATAATATACTGTATGTCTATATATATATATACTGACACATTATATTGGGATTGTTAATCTATTGGATTCTATTGGGTGCATGCAATTGATTAATGGACATAAGCATGGTAATTAACCCCATTATGCCCAGAAGTTGAGGTACGTAACCCTCCAGCAGGAACCCCCCCAGGGTCGCATCCCAGTGAGATCCGCGAGTCTTTGGTCCCCCCAACGAGTATGGAAGGTCATAGCCACCATATCCGTAACCGTAACCCATCGATGGCCTGCACCGTATCCACAAAGGATTCAGGATCGCAGGGAGAAATTCTACGGTAACAGGATGGACAAACTGATTTTTTTCTGCTGCTCGCAGTTTCTGAAGTTCTTCCCGCAAGGTTCATTCCAAATATGTGTCCAAAAGTCTCAGCAAAATGTTGTAAAAACCATCTCGGTCAACGATGCCTTACCATGTAAAACCAAGATTTGCAATCACAGTCTACAGATGTCTGCAGTAGATAGCCTACTAGATCTACTAGGTTATCAGGTTCTCGTTCAACTCACCCATCCTGATATTTAAAACCACCAACCTATCAAACAACGGGACCATCCGCCCAAAACCTGTATCTTGTTGAACCTTCCCAGTGGGCAATCGGAGAGTTCCGAAAGCATGGCCCAGCAGGGGCACTTGGCTCACGGTTCAAAAAGTTGGAGTTCCAGGATACTGCGCTAGCTGAGATGTACAAAGAATCGGCTGTACGAATCTTGGGTCTTCACCCCAGGTTAGTAGCCATGCTTCTTCCATGCTGCATTATATTTTTCTGTGTAAACTGATTCAATCACAGCGTGGCTACCAACCAGTATATATATAATTCTTATTATTGTTGGGATGAAAACCCGAATTTTTTCTCAAAATCTGTACAGTGTTTTTCGTGCTACAAATCGATTCTGAATTAGTCAGGTAGTGTGACTCGTGTGCGTCCAAAAAAGAGGACAGCACCCTTCAGCAATGTACGAACTCAGCAGTCGTGCACCTCATGGCGTCCTGCTTGCTTCGCAAGTTACCTCAGGCCGACACAGCGATGCAGGATGATGCAGGAACCCAGCTGTTGAACCTTTTTTGAGTACAGGATGGGGCCGTAGTTCGTTAGCTAAGTTGGTAACTGTAATACCAATAAGTGTATGATATGCAAATAACATCAAATAACTAAATTTAGATGGGGTTATAAACCAACAAACATCACTGGGGGGCACCATCCTCTAATGGGGAAATGAAGAATCATCTTCAAGAAATCGAGGTAAATGGATTGGTTTATGGGGCTAAAACCATGACTTTTCACATGAGTTGCGCTTTTTTGGGATTTCCTGCAGATCTCCAAAAAAAAACACATTTGGGAAAATTATGCTAGAATCTCTTCTGACAAAGACCATCAAAGACCCACTGATTTTCCGGAACTGTAGTCCCATTCTTTTGGTACCAATTTATTTTCCGGAATGCTAGGTTCACACAGTGGGTGAAAGGTAATCCCATTCTTTTGAAATGGTTGAATATCACTTGTTGATGGCCAAATCCCCCAAAAACAGCACTATAAAATGCAAATTTCTGTTGGTCAAATCAGGTTTGATCCCCCATCGTTGGTGAAATCCCCAGAAATAACAATCGTTACATATCTGGTTGGTGGTATACCTACCCCTCTGAAAAATGATGGAGTTCGTCAGTTGGGATGATTTTCCATTCCCAACTGAATGGAAAGTCATGTCATCCAGCCATGTTCCAAACCACCAACCAGTATATAGATATTAAGTCTATATTAAGATATACTAAGTCCCATTAAGCCATATGAAGTCCCTATTGTTGATGGTTTAATGTTCCAAACCACCAGCCAGATATCCATGAAGCTTTTTTTTCGCAAATGATGGTTTCCTGGATTGGATTTCATCAGTCGCATTGCATGTCTTCATTGCCAATCAGCCGGATACCCTGCAAAAAATGACAAATTCTGAATGTTGGTGAACGCAGATATTCCCATTAATACCAAAAGACTATAGCGGATTAGTTTGTATCCATGTAAGATTGACCTAGCAATCCATAGCTAAGTTGACACACAGAATAACTTGCTCAACTGGGCTTTATGGGAGATATAACCTGGTATCCATGTAAGATTGACCTAGTCTTGGCCAAATGTGCGACTCCAAAAAACCTCCGCGCGTTCCAAGCTTCGACTCCATCGAGGACGGAACGTCCGCATGCGAACCGCGCCGCGCACAGCAGCGGGCGGCTTTCGTATGCGGTGCCAAAACGCTGTACAGGAACCTCAAGCAGCAGGGAACCAGTAGGACTTTGACAAAAACACACTTAAAAGCTTTGATTTTTTTGGATGTCCCATGGATTCCATGGATTTTCAGATTGCTTCACCAAATTTTAGGATCTTCATGTATATTGGCCTAAAATTGAGGATTTTCATGGGCTTTCATCAACACCAAACCATAAGATTGGGGCAAAAATCCCTGATAATTCTATTGAATTCTTGAATCACTTGAAGCGCAGGTGTTGTAAACCTTGGAAAAAATAGGAAAAAAAAGGAAAAAATGATATTCCTGAAGTCAAGCTGGATCCATAGGCATGACGGCACTGGACCGATCTTGTTTGGCTGCCACAGGTGATCTATGGTGATCTCTTAGGAATCTTTGAAACTCAAGTCTCTCAAGAGCCAATTTTAAAATGGTGTGTTGCACCACATAGCAGCCTGTTCCCCATCAAAGATCACATACTCTTGATGGAAGGATCAATTAAAAGGGCACCGCAATTTTGGGATTGATTAGCAAACATCAGGCAAGAACACCAGATTTTTTTTGGATGAACCCCGCATTTTCACCAAGAATCACATTTGAAGCATGAAAAATACTGATTTCCGCGCACCCCTTTTCCATTTTCCAGCACCTTGCCGTGCAAGGTGCCCCCGCCCTCCAGACGTTTTAAGCCTACGGACTGGGCAATGTATTTTCGCCATATCTTCACTGTCACTTCAACTTTTTTATTGCTCTGGCTGTGGGACCAACCTTCACCGGTCGTTGCAACTTGGCACATCATTCAATGGGAGATCTTCAGGATCCTAAAACGAAGGTACGTTAGTACCATATGTGTTGCCATATTTTGCTGGGATATTCCCTCAAATTTAGGCCTGATATATATATATATATAGGCCAAACATATATGGAATCGGTACCTCCTTTATCAATCGGTTCAATTTAGGTTCATGTTGCATGGCCATTGAATCATTGAATCAAACATGACAGGGAAACCCCAGGCTTTCACCAGGAAGACAAGCAGCATGGATCCGCAGGAGAATATTGCAGCGCACACGAACCTGGTAGCGGCCAGGAGATTGGTTTTTGGGAAACACCAATTGAATCCATGGTTAATTTAATGGTTAATGATGATGAATGGTTAATAATCGTTAATAATGGTTAATAATGGTTAATAATGGTTAATAATGGTTAAACAATTAATGATTGTTATATTGAGATACCCTCTGGTTATGACATTCACACTTCGCCATGGTTTTTCGATGGCCCTAATCGAAATAGATGGTAAACACCGTTCTTAAAAATGGTGGATCTTTCCACGGCTATGTTAGTCATAACCAGAGGGTATTTTTTTTGGTGATGATTTATGATTTAACTGGGGATATAATGGAATATTCATGGGAATATCACTGGATAAAATGGGGATACCCTCTGGTAATTTACCAGTTGGCTATGGGAAAATAAACATGTTTGATAGGATTTGATTGGTAAATCATCTAGAAATGTGACATGTTCCATAGTACATAATCTTAAATTACCACAAGGTCCATGCTGATTTATTGTAGGGATCTGTATATCTGGTTGGAATCCCCTTCTTATGACTGAAAACCCCGGAAAAACCCAGCATTTTACATATTTTACCTGGCCAAGATATGGAAAAATCAGGCAAAGATCTCAAACAGATCGATCCAAAATAACCAGCAAATCTCTCTCTCTCTCTCTCTGATCCATGGATTCCATGGATTTGATCCAGGGCCCTGCATCCCTGGGGAAATAAATTTTGGTCCGGGGGAATCATCTCCGTAGATTCCGCAGATTTTTTGATTTTTATGTTGATCCCGAAGGAAATTCAAAAAATGATCAACTCATGGTCAATGAAATGTAAATTCATGATCCATCCTATATATATATATAGTCTGAAAATAAAGATCTCTAACAATTATAATAATCAGCTCCTTTGTATATTTTATGAATGACATGTTTTTTGATATGTTTAAAAAAAAAACTTCAAGTGATAAACTTAACCGATAAGCGTAAGGATATTGATATATAATGAACCATCCCATTATTCTGGTTGGCTATGGCTATTTAACGATGGTCCGAAGAAACTGGTTAACGTCTATGCCAGTCTATCCACTGGAATCCACTGGTGAATTTTGCCAAAACGGCCACAACGTAAGGAGGTAAATCCTTCATTTTCACACACACAAGATATCATATAAAGTTGGATAGGTATATTCCATTATATATATATATACACACATGTTCCTCCCAAAAGAACCAGCATGTTTGACATCATTGTTCATGGTGTCACTACTTCATCCCTACGAAAATTGCAAGTTTTTTTCGTGGGATCCCCACATTTTCACTCAGATTCCGGGCGCAAGCACAGCCACCAGCCCGCCGAACTCCAGGGCGAAGCAGCCCCTGCCATCCGACGGATGGATGACGGATGGAAGGTATTGGGAATATCATGGGGATATGAGGGTTTCCTCAAATGAGGGTACCCCAAAACCATAGGTTTCAATACTAAAATGGTCTAATGACTTGGATGTTTAGGGGGTACCCCTATTTTAAGAAAACCCCATATGATCATATATATATATAATCGCTGAATTCACCAACATTGAGGTTCTATGATTCTATATTATTGTAATGATTACAGTAACTAAAAAAATATACAGTAAGATTGACTATATGATTCATTGTGTGATCTGCAGGATGGGGCCCCCCCAGTTATAAGTTGGTTTATAAACCATTATAACCCCCATGAACTAGTTCGTTGTATCTACCATAAACCATCGTTTTTCAGCCACTTTTTTCTACCATCAAATGGTGCGTAATTTTTTTAAGGCTGAAACTTGCGGCCATTAAAGGGGATCATTCCCTATATCTAAGTCCCATCCAGGCTTCCGAAGAACAGGCTTCGGTCGTAATGAAAGTTTCCCAGATGATCCATTATATAAAATAAGATTCCATACTATACCCTTTTCATCTCCCACATGATACCACTATATTTCCCATGAAAATCCCCATTAATCCCCATTTATCTCCATTGTAGGAGCCTTAAATCACCATTCATTCTGGGTAAATTATAATATTTCACTAACCTGAATTAAGGCCATTTGGGGATGAATTCCCTTACTAACCATGATTTCCAGTGAGGTCGTAGTGAGGTCGTTATAATTTACCCAGATTCATCCCCAAACCAATGGTCCTAAAAACTCCATCTTTGGCCGCGCCTATCACTTTCATCGATGCGGCCGAGGTCCTCCTGCAAGCCATGCGCTGGTTCCGCCGGTTCCGGAGGTTGGATTGCCATGAGATTTTTGAACCAAAAGTGGTGAAAAATGCAGATTGAACCATCAAAAATACTGGAAAATGTGATGAAATTGGGACTTTACCATCACACATTTGGATTTGAACCATTTGAACCATCCAGAATGGACATTTAAGCATCCAAGATGTTGAAAATGCATGATTTCACTTGAATTAACAATCCAAGATGGATATTCAACGGGGATATGATATAATGGTATATTAACGGTATATTTTAGGGGATATCATGGAATATTCCATGTGGATATACTTGGATATACTTGGATATACTTGGATATACTTGGATATACTTGGATATAACATGATATACCCTCTGGTAAATTAACATAGACCCTGGCAAATAGGAGTTGGAAGACTAGTTTCCAATAAAAATTGGTGATTTTCAGGGTCCAACTGTTTATTTATCAGAGGGTAACATGATATAACGGGGATACCCGTATTGGGTAATTCAACAGCCATGGCTGTTCACGCCGACGCAGCGGACGCACAGCGGCGTCAAACGGCACCTGTACTTTCTTCGTCACCAGATAGGAGGCGGGGAGGTCACGTTGGATCACATTGTTGGGATGGAACCTCTGCGCGAGTCAAGCACCAAACATGGGGAAAATTCGCCTGGGCCTCGCAAGAATGGGAAATTTATAATTTCCCCAAAAAAAATGGAGGTTTTAATGGGAAGATCATGAGATTATATGATCTGTCATGTTAGTAAAGCAAGTATCAATAGTAAACCATTCCCTTTTTTTCATATTGGGTCGAACATTCTAAACCACCAAAAGTTTATTATTGCCTTACGCACATTAGATCTGTCTTAGCCAAACAAATGGGGGGTCAAGCGACAAACGTACTTGCCTATACTACCAATGCACATATGCTGGTTTAGCCGTTTGGAAAATGGCGAAACAGACCCCACACTAAAAATTGGAAGTTAAGATTAGAGACAGAAATGTAAGATCTTGACCAACACAAAATGGTATGTGCCCTCCGGCAATCAAACGTGGCTTGCTGGAAATTTCCCGATTTGTAGATGATTTTACCGGCTAGAACATCTTATTTAGTTCGAGATTTATAGGGGATGTTTCCATATGTTCATAAGATGTTCGCATTGAAACCTCCATTTCTATCATGGATGGATCCATTTCGGGTAATTCTCTGGATCCAAGATGTCGAAAAAATGATCTCGCTGGTACGGCCTGACGGCCTCCGCTGTAGCTGTAAACCTCACATGGCTTTAGATTATGACAATCATCTTACCATATTTTACCTATATGGGGATGTATCAAAACCAATCTTGCTATATTTGGGGGGATGAACATCCATTTACCAGTTATTTGGGGTTCACTAGGGTACCAAGGTTTTGACTCATACCCATATTATGTCCTATATTATTGCAGTACCTTAAAGCCTTTTTTATGTTTACCTTGAAGATGGTCTGCGATCCTGAGATCAATGGCCTGCGCATCATTTCACGCGGTTTGCTATGATAGCGACTGGTTGGTGGTTGACCTACCCCTCTGAAGAATGATGGAGTGAAAGTCAGTTGGGATGATGACAAAAACCCAACTGAATGGAAAGTCGTAAAATTCCATGGTTCCAAACCACCAATCAGTTGTTTAGAATCTTTTTGAATCCCCAAACGGCCCAGAATGTTACCCTCTGGTGACCTCAAACATGGCTTGCTGGAAAATCTCCCTGCGAACCAAACATCCATAATCAGTTCGGCAAAATCTCAGCCATGTTTGATTACCGGAGGCTATTGTCGTACAAACCCTGAAGAACTACCATCTGGTAAATTAACATAGACCCTGAAAATCACCCATTTTTAATGGAAACTAATCTTCCAACCCCTATCTGGCAGGGTCTATGTTAATTTACTGGAGGGTATATCATGTTATATCCAAGTATATCCAAGTATATCCAAGTATATCCACATGGAATATTCCATGATATCCCCTAAAATATACCGTTAATATACCATTATATCATATCCCCGTTGAATATCCATCTTGGATTGTGGTTTAACCAAACTCGTACCAATGCTCCCATCGGGTCCCTGATCATCCCGCACGCCCCGTTGAGCGACTGGTGATACTCTTCACCACGGAAAAACGGGTATTCCACCTCAGCAAACTAAGCAGAATCCACCAAGCCGCACCACGGGGCCGTTGATTCTTGTTCCAATTCACAAGAAACCATCGATATCCATCGATGTAGCCCCCGGCCCCAAAAAACCATCCATTTATGCTTGTTGCGATCATATTTACCCCATGTCTGGGTGATTTTTTTTGGTATGTACACGAGCAAAAGTAAAAAGAGAAAACAGGGTGCAAATCTTCAGGTGTCGTTCATTTCTAGTATTCCCTAAAGGTTTATGAGCAGCTAGTAAAAAACGATAGAACATGTACCCTCTGGTTATGACTAACATAGCCATGGAAAGATCCACCATTTTTAAGAACGGTAAACCATCTATTTCTATGGGCCATCTATACCATGGCGAACTGTTAGTCATAACCAGATGGTAACTAGTAAAATGCCTATTCAACATGATTCAATTGGTGTTTCCCTTACTAACACCTCCGAAACAAGCCGCGGAATCATAGACGTAGACCACAAATTCGCCTGGTGGAGTTCAAAAAGGCTAGGGTCTTTATGAAATCTGAAAACAAAGAAGAGATCAGTTGTCAATTTCAAATGATATTATATATATATATGTATTAGTGATTATGATAATGTAATAATATTCAATGACTTAACTATATGGCAATTGCAATATATCAGTTGTCAATTATCAATGATCATGATCGATACAAGATAGCAAGATAGATAGATAGATAGATAGATAGATAGATAGATAGATAGGTAGATAGGTAGATAGGTAGATAGGTAGATAGGTAGATAGGTAGATAGGTAGATAGATAGATAGATATACGTAGTGTTATAACTATCGTTATTGTCATTACAATATCATGAAAGATATCAATGATTATGTTCATTGTTTAGCATTTATACATATCAACTATTATGATTGCTAATGTCAGTGTGGTATGTATATATATATATATCAGTTGTCAATGTTTCTTACCAGTGTTAATCCTTCATAAATATTGATCGTGATTGTGATTGTCATTATATCCTATACTTACATAATATATCATAATATAATATATTGAGTTCCTGTCAAATCCTTTACATCTCAGTACTTACTAATATCGGCTATCGCTTTTTTGGGGGGGCATATGGCTTTCCAGTGTTTTGTGCCATTATCGCTTTTGGAAGGGGCCCTATCGCTTTAAAGTGTTTCGTGCACATCTCTGACAAAGGTGGTTCTGCAATACTACATTGGTCTTCAACCATTTTGATAGTAACTCATTTATATATATATGTAATATATATATATATATCATATAATATTGTATAGTGATTCGTGCTATCCTTAATTATTGTTAATATTCAGTAATTATGAATGATGTTCACTAAGAAACTTGAAGCAAAGCAGATCCGTAGGGCCTTCAGAATCACCGATCGCTCCACGTTGCAGCCGCATGCCGTGGGTATTTGCAGCCTGCCGAAAGTGGAATCTATGGAAAAGCACCATGGAAAAGCACCGTGTTTAATAGGCAAATAATCCATAAATGGGCCATGTTCATCCATTAGTTTAGTGGAGATTCTAGAAGATTTGACCATCAAAAAATCTGAAATATATATATATATATTATGTGTATATATAATTATGTATATATATATATATTATGTATATATATAATTATGTATATATATATATATATATGCACCAGGCCCTGCCCCCCCCCCCTCCCCCCCCCCATATGGGATGGGTCCCATATACTGGTCCCATATGAGATCTTCCCCCTCCCCCCCTGTGGTGTGGTGGGGGTGTGGCACTGTCCCCCTCCCCCCCCTGTGGTGTGGTGGATGGGTCCCATATACTGGTCCCATATGAGATCTTCCCCCTCCCCCCCCTGTGGTGTGGTGGGGGTGTGGCACTGTCCCCCTCCCCCCCCTGTGGTGTGGTGGATGGGTCCCATATACTGGTCCCATATGAGATCTTCCCCCTCCCCCCCCTGTGGTGTGGTGGGGGTGTGGCACTGTCCCCCTCCCCCCCCTGTGGTGTGGTGGGGGTGTGGTATGGTATGGTGGGTATGTATGGTGTGTATGGTCGGTCTGGTATGGCATGTTTGGAAAGTATGGTATGTTTGGTATGTATGGTAGGTATGGTATGTATGGCATGAGTGGTTGGTATTGTATGGATGGTAGGTATGGTATGTAAGTCTGTTGGATATGGTATGTTTGATATGACAGTATGTATGGTCTGTATGGTATGTATGGTTACTATGATGGGTATGGAATATGTCCTATCTAAGGTAGGTATGGTATGTATGGCATGTATGCTTGCTATTGTATGTATGCTATTGTATGTATGGTAGGTGTGGTAATTACATTTCATATGTATGGTATGTATGGTATGTATGATAGATATGATAGGTATGGTATGCATGGCATCATTGACATGTATGGTAGGTACGGTATATGTTCAACAGAGGTAGTGTTGTCAGAGTACACAGGTAGTAAACAGGAAGTAGATACAGTAGATACATAGCACATGTATGTATGACTATAGGTAGCACGTAGGTACTTTGAAGGAGTATGTGTGCTACGTAGGTCGCCTAAAAGGTAGCATGTACCTAGTAAATGCGAGGCTGGTAGTCAGAAATGCTGCAAAGACCTAGCAAATACGACGCTGGACCTCAGAAATGCTGCCAATAGCTTGCAAATAGAAGGGAATTGGGGCTACTACCTGGGGACCCAACCCATGGGGGGGGGTGGAGAGACGGAGGACGGGACCATATATATATAATTATGTATATATATATATAGATTAATAGGATTCAACATCAATAAAATAGGGATTTAGGGCATTTTTAGGGATTCAACATGATTTCACCCAGCGCTTTTTTGCGGATGCAGTGGGAAGAGTTCACCTCGAGGTATTTTTCTGGGCAAATTTTAACCGGAAAGCCCGATCAATTTGATGGTAAAAACCCATGGGTTTCCGGTTAAGATTTTCCCAACAAACCAATCCATTGAATAACATGTATCTGGGCAAATTATAATAATGATAGTTTAGAACCATATTTTCTTTCTTAACATGGGATTATAATGCTTATTAAGCATTATTCATCCACATTATCTGCCCTTTCTTGACCAGAAAAAATGCTTTCGGATATCAGATCTGTATCTAAAAGTGGAATCCATTCAGAATAGTAATTCACTAACCTGAATAGTTCGGCCATTTTGGGATCATTCCCCAAATCCTAAAAAAATGATTTCCAGGGCTCGGGAGAACAGATAGAACAGGGTTCGGTCGTGATCAAATTGACCCAGATGTTTGATATGTCTTAAGGGATTTAAAAATTGTATCTTAACCTTGATTGATATAATATGGGGGATGATAACCCATTTTTAATGATATAGCTTCCATCAATAATATCCTTTTGGTAAAAATAGAGGGGCCGGGAGCTGGTATACCATCTATCATCATTTACCTGTTGTTAAAGGGGGTTTCTTCAAACCCCTCTATTAATCAACCAACCAATGGGAAAAGGACATCTATGGCTTCCATTGTATCAGGGATAACCAACCTTAAGATTAACAAATCTGCCCGGCTGCCTCAATAATGGGCCACAGCTCCTGATTGTCCATACCCCCAGGAAGTCCAATGACCTTGTCTCGCCATCGCTGCTGGGGAAAAAAAGCACGTCGTCTTTAGCGCAAAAAAACACGGGGGGAATGTGAAATCTGATAGGTTCTTCTTGGGAAGATATAATTTCAATATATTTCAATATATTTCAATGATTCTTGCTACTCGAAATTCACTTTGCTCAAACTCTACCTTCTTGTGCTGGATTTTTGTGCAATCTTTGTTTGGGTTTGTGCTGGTTCGAGATTCGAGATGTACATGGCCCTGTACTTTCTGGAAGAAATAAACAAGTTGTTTATGTCCTTTCGGGATCAGTTGAACGGGGTGAAATCAACTTTCAACATACGTACGTGGCATGGCAGGACAACACAGAACTCACTATTGAGTTCTAGGGAATCTTCTGGAATCTTTTTCGACGTTCCGCGAAGTCACCAATGAAACATGGGGACAGAATGATATACCCTCTGGTAATTTAACATAGCTATTGAAAATGGCCATTTATAGTGGATTTTCCCATTAAAGATGGTGATTTTCCATAGTTATGTTAGTTTACCAGAGGGTATATACCCTCTGGTTATTTAACATAGCTGTGGTATAGATGGCCCTAATCGAAATAGATGATTTTCCCAGCGACCTCCATTTATGGTTGGGATTTTCCATGGCTATGTTAGTCATAACCAGATGGTAGGCAGCAAAACCCAGTATTCTCTTGGGACAAATAGGGGTGGGCGGGTTTGACATGCCATTGATTCTCATGTGGACTGATAACAGCCAGGTTTTGCCGCGAAAATCGACCAGTAGCGAAGGACACCGATTAGTGAAGCAACTTGACGTTTTGCCTACCTGAAACATCGTGGCTATTACTTTTAGATACTTTTAGCATTGTATAGTCTGTATAGCCAGTCTGACAACATACACTATCATACACTTGGTTGCTTCATTCATTCATGTCCTCGACATATTCGTACACGGATCAGTTGTCGACATATGCTGCTTCCAAGCATCCTATAAGGTTTTATCAGATCCTACAAAATCCTACTGTGGTTGGTTTTTGACCCTACCCCTCTGAAAAATAGGAAAGTCAGTTGGGATGATGACATTCCCAACTCAATTTTATGTTCCACCAACCAGATAAGGTCTTATAAGATCCTACAAAATCCATCAAGTCTCTAAGGCAAAAACCGGCCGGGCAGGCCCAGGTCAGCACAGTCTCACCAGCCTCTTTCGCCCCGTTCGCTCGCCGCTTTCGCGTCGGAATCCACGGCAGATGGTGACAACTTGACCATTTGTGGCCCATCGGCAGCGACAACGCCCGGGTGCATCTGAAGTGGGGTTGACTGAACCATGGATGGACATGTCCCCGAACAATACAGGTCATGTTGATGGGGAAAATGGTGCGCCACTCAGTCACCACATATGATGTTTTTTGGGGTTCGAGATTTTGAAATATAGCCCCAAATGTCAGGAGTCATGGATGTGGAGCCTGCGAGAGTTCTAGAGGTCGCCACTCATCTTTTTCGATGCACCCCGCCGCAAGCGCAAGGGCCTAGGGGCCTAGAGCTCTCAAACACCCGGGAGCCAATTCCCAAATTAAACATGGATTCACAACCATGGAGAATCTAAGTCTTAGATACCCGGCAGAAGAACAAATTGATTATATTATATCTTCTTGTGGCCAAAAAATTAAGAGCCTACCAACGAATGCTTGATCTCCAACCCGCTATATATAGTTTATTCTGGAAACCACCGAAAGTGCCATTTCCAGCAGCTTCATTTAGATTTCAGGAGGTCATCAACATGCTAAAATTTCCTGAACTTTTGAGGACTACCACTTCCAAACAAATGCGTTTCCGGTGCGAAGCTGTGCATATCCATTCTGGTTTCTCCGGAACCCCACCAGAATTGGTTGGTTTATTAAGGCAGATCTTAGGTTTCCAAAAAAATGGAACATATGTTCACACTCCAATAATCAATGCCACTTGAGACCATGATCTTCCCATGATCTTCGTGGAAAACGATGAGAAATTCGGCATCTGTTGGCGATTCACATGGGTTCCAGGGCATTTTCGACACGGCCGTCATCACGGGGCCGAGGCAATGGCTTCATAGGTCTCGTAGAAGGACACCCTGGGCCGGGGCCCTGGCTGGGACCCTGATGGGCAAGGGCTTAAGCAACTTGGAGTCCCAAAAAGAACGTGTTCCATGAAAAACACGTCAAAACCCAAATGGTCCAAACAAACGCCCACTAAAAACGGATGAAAACCACCATGTTCCTTCAATCATCCCAGTAAAAGCATGTAAAAGCCACTTGAAACTCTATGTTGGTGACTTCAATCCCTTGAAACCCCTCTGAAACTCCCATTTTACAAGCCGCTTCCCCTTCAAAAAGCCACGTTTGTCAACGGATCCAGGCCACTTCTCGATGCGGATGATCTCTGCGATGCTGCCATCAGCTAGGCGGGTGCCGCTGGCCAAGTAGTCGCCAGCTTCCAGGCACATGGGCTCGCCCCAGGAAGCCATGAACTTTCCACCCGGGAAAAGACCTGCAAGGGACCAGGGCTAGGAGGCCGGTGTAGGCCGGTGTATGCCGGTGTGCCCCAGCCAGTGAGAAGTGGAAAAGGATGGGAACATCCACGTAAATGGAGGTTTCAGGGGCAAAATCCTAGGAAAACATGGGACAATCCATGACTTAAATGGGACAATCCATGATTTTCCCAGTGATAAACCATCAAGAATAGGGACTTAATATGGGTTAATGGGACTTAATGACTGTATCTTTGTTACGCTCTGGTAATTCAACATAGCGAACTGGAAAATCCATTATAAATGGAGGTTTATCGCTGGGAAAATCATCGGACAAATAGGACCAAAATGGAGATTTTCCGCCAGTTTACGATGATTTTGGTGGGGTTTTCACCGCAGAGACCGGGGAATGGACGTTGGACAGAGACATTGAATAAAGATATGGATAGTAGATCATACACAGCAACAATGTCCTTTGGGTAAAAATAGAGGGGCCGGTTTGGTATACCATATATCATCATTTACCTTTAACTTGGAAGGGGTAAACTGGGTAAACAAACCCCTCTATTCATCAACCAACCTATGGGAAAAGGACATCTATGATACACAGTTTATATATGTTCATATAAATTGATGTGATCAACAAAAATCAACAATATCTATATATGTAACATGAAGGTAATCAAATAGAAAACATGTACACTATAATTGAATCAATTATAAATTGATATAACATCATATAAAATCGACAGGTTTGTGTTCCTCCTAGTTATGTCTGTTGGTTGATAAACCATAGTAGTCCTATAGTAACCGATATATCATAAACCCACGAGTTGGTGAAGAAAAATCTCTTTGCGAACTTTGCGAGTTCGAACTGGGGGCACCACCGTATATAATGCTCATTGAAATCTATAAACTGATATGGGGATGGGTCAAAACCAATAGTACCCCTGTAGTTCACATCAAAAATAGCTGAGATTTATGGATGTTCATCCCACTAAAAATGGTATTAATAGGTATTGATCCATAGCCATATAGCCTCCAGTAAACCAACATATGGAAACCATGAACCATTTAATGATTTACTGTAGGGGACGGGCACTTAGAATATGAAAAATCTTTTACGAGAGATAGAATATGGTCTACGGACACTGTTCTAAAAGCCAACGCATCTGGAGTTAGAATATGGCACAAGTGCAGTTAGAATATGAGCTATATGAATCATAAATACCCATAACAATTGATCATCCAATTGTCTAGATTCCCAACCCAAATCCAAGAATCGCACCTCCATATTCCAGACTGCCTGGAACAATTCGCACTGTTTCCTCGTCTCTTTTGCTGCTCTTTGTTTTCCCAATCCCTTGTGCTATACTGTACTGCGATCGTGCCGAGAGGCTATGGTACGGTAATGTACTGCATTGCGCATGGAATTAATATCTACAAGCCATATATTAGTATGATTTCGGATACATAGGAATACAACATGTATTCAACAATCTTATCACTATATTACATCACGTCCCCAGTGGTTGATATCATGGTGTCCAACATCCAGTACACTACGTGGTGCCGCATGCGATGGTTCTGTACACAGCTCATTGCCGGGCTGCTGCGCATGCTCGTCGAATGGAGTATCGCATCAGCATCATATACTGTACGTGAGTCAAATTGTGTTGTAGTATTTTGGATGATGATGTTGGTAACACACTGCGATTCATCATGTCAAACACTCCATCCGTTTCCCCTTTCAGCTGCAAGTTCGGGAGCCTCACATAGAAATTGAATACGTATCATCATTGATGTATCAGTATCATATTCATGAATTCATACTGGCTGGTACGATAGTGTATTGAATATGTTGTACAATCCTGACGGTTGATCCATATTCTATCTGCACTGTTTCCCACCATTCTGTAAATAAAAACAATAATACACAATTACAATACATCAATAATCACATTTATTGTTGAATACTGTACAGTAAGTATAAAGTCAATCACCAAAAGATTTCAACAAGTACATTGTGGTGATCCACCAAATCAATCTTTATGTGGAGGCTCTTGTTGACGCTGCTTCCGGATTCGGCTAAGCTGGTGCTTACAGTAACCATTTTGCTGTCATGTACTCCTTGAATGATGTTGAGGGCACGCTTCTAACCTGAGAACCATCACAGATAGCAATACCTGCCAACTGATCGTACATTATTACAGAACAGTACAGTACGACATCGTATACACAATGTATTCAACAGTCTCATCACTACAGTATATTAAACCACGTACCCGGTGGTTGATACCATGGTGTCCAACATCCAGTACACTACGTGGTGCCCCATGCGATGGTTCTGTAACTGTACACAGCTCATTGCCGGGCTGCTGCGCATGCTCGTCGAATGGAGTATCGCATCAACATCATATACTGTACATGAGTCAAATTGTGTAGTAGTATTTTGGATGATGATGTTGGTAACACACTGCGATTCATCATGTCAAACACTCCATCCGTTTCCCCTTTCAGTTGCAAGTTCGAGAGCCTCACATAGAAATTGAATACGTATCATCATTGATGTATCAGTATCATATTCATGAATTCATACTGGCTGGTACGATAGTGTATTGAATATGTTGTACAATCCTGACGGTTGATCCATATTCTATCTGCACTGTTTCCCACCATTCTGTAAATAAAAACAATAATACACAATTACAATACATCAATAATCACATTTATTGTTGAATACTGTACAGTAAGTATAAAGTCAATCACCAAAAGATTTCAACAAGTACATTGTGGTGATCCACCAAATCAATCTTTATGTGGAGGCTCTTGTTGACGCTGCTTCCGGATTCGGCTAAGCTGGTGCTTAACCATTTTGCTGTCATGAACTCCTGAATTCTGTTCAAGGTATGCTTCTAAACAGAGTTCCATCACACGTAGCAACGCCTGCCAGCTGGTCCTAGCATGAGGGTATGATCGACCGAAATGACTCGATGCGCCGGCCGAAGACCGCCAAACACCTGCACCCGGGTGGATGCCCAATGAGCATCCTGGTGGCCGGATGGATAGGCCAAGCTCCTTCAAGCGAACATACTCTGGCTGCGACTCAAGTGCTCGCACACGAGAAACATGTTCTGCTGGAGCCGTACCGGTGTCATCATCACTTTCAGATTCATCCTCCGTGTCATTGAACCATGTGACGTCAGCGTCATCCATGTGAAGGTTCTCATCCTCAATGCACTCGAATTCACCATGACCTTCAGGTTCCACATCGTCGATGTGATCTGGTTGATCTTCAGCACAAACTTCGTCAACATATGCATGGTCTTTGATCATTTTTCCTGCAGGCTCATTGCAATGGCCAATCACATTAAAGTAGCTTATTTTAATCAGTGAGATCGGTGGATCATATCATTGATACAGTAGTGTATTGAATTTGTTGTACAGGCCTGAGGCTGGTCCATATTCTATCTGCACTATACTCCAACAATTCTATAAATAAAAACAATAATACAACATTTCAACACAGTGATCACATGCATTTTTGAATACTGTAATGATATAGTCCTTCGAAATGGTCTACTTCAGATGGCAGGTTGTCATCGACAGATCTTCCACATTCCAGCAATTTCAACCGCCAAAGTTTGCCGCAGCCGGTAGTCACCGCGAGCTTCTCGGCATCCTCATTCAAATGAAGTATGAGAAGTATGCAGTGTTTCTTCAATTTGTGCAATGGTTTTGCACTCACATTGGTCACTTGTGCTTTTTTCGTTTTGTCAAACACCAGGCTCCGTGTGTTTGATTCCATGAACTCTCGGTAGCTCTTCTGCTGTTTGGGTGGCAGCTCGTCTTTACCAGCCAGATGACGTTTCGAAATTCGTTCCTGCCATCGATGAGCTTGCTCCTTCCATTTGAGCAAGGCTAAATCAATGGTTGATCGCATCCACATGGGCAACGGAATTGGTTTCGATTCACTGTCAGATCCATTTGAGTCATCACAAATGGCCCAGAAGCTGACAAGTCGATGGTCATCATTCTGTGCATCGGTTGTAGCAGCAACTGTATCCTCAGCCCAATCCACAACGGGTAGCTCATCAAATTGACACAGTTCCGCAAGCTTACCAGGAGTGGCAGCAAGCGCATCCTTGCATTTTTGAACATCTCCTCCGAAGTGAATATTGGCCACCCATTCAAGTTCCACTAAACCACGAGACACCCAGGCCCAGATCAGAACCTTTCCCTCAGCGTACTGGGACAGCTTCTGTAGTGCCCAGCAATCTGCTCTCACACTGGACTCCACAGACATCCTAGGCTGCAAGCCATGCACAGCATTCGGATAAGTTCATGGGTACAGTACATTATAGTACAGTAATCATCGAACATTCGACATATATGTTATGTTTTTTAAATCATATTCTAACTGCATGATTCTGCAACCCAAATCATTACTGTACAGTATATCGGAAACCATATCATGTTCTGGTGTTGTAATCGTTGAACATCAAAAAACCTTATAGTACAATACAATAGTGTATTATAGCCAGATGGGCCAGATAACAACATTTTTCAAAATACTATATACTGTATTAGTAATGTTTTTCTTTCAGTCTACCATATGAACATTGCAAATTGTTGGTATTGAAAATAACAAATACTATTCACAACAATTCATATTCTCATTACACTACAGTATTCCACAACCCAAATGATTACTATACAGTATATTGGAAACCACATCATATTCTAATGTTATGATCGTTGACTATTCAAAAGCAGCAATCCGATAAAGCATATTTAGCATAACGATGCTCACATTACATTAAGGTGGTGAAATCGTAGTATGTCAATTACTGTATATGTGATACATCACAATATTATCATCAGAAGAATGGTCAACATCAAAACAATCATAATTGAATTGCAATTGCGATATTCTAACTGCATAATTCCACAACCTACATTCTATTAGGAAAACATCAAATTTTTGATTGCATATCGCATGAATACTGTACCGTACTCA